GGGGAACGGCGCCAGCAAATTCACACCAAAACTAGCTATTTACGTCGACATGCAGAATTAGCGCGACCAAAAACTTTTGACGCCGTCCTCCGTAGTCTGAGCTGGATCGACGCTGTTTATGCTCAGCAGAGGCCCCTGGGGCAGTCGTTGTATTTGGGAGGTCGGACAATGTTGCCCTCGATGAAACCACCACACCTAGTGGTAGTCAATGTCTCAGTGCGTCGTTGGAGCACCCATTGTCCGTTGAGATTGGAATGATGACTCCAACTTGGACCTGGAGTCTGAACGGTGACAATGAATCTCCATTAGACGGACGGATAAGCGGGTGGGGCTGGTGGGGCGTTTCGGCCACCGTTCCGGGACACAAGCCACATAACAAGCCACTTCCTCTCTTTAGCTTCGTTAACGCATCGCGAGACTGACGCGTCCGGGTCTCCGGGAGATAACGACGCGGTTCTTAACACAGCTCGCCAACTCCAACGCCAACGACACTACTTTGTACACCAGGATGGATCATGGCGATCGGGACCAAGAGGAAGCGGGGAACCGACGGATACATGAACAAGACTGGCACGTCTGAGTGTCCTGTGAAGAAGGATCTACTGGTTCAATGCTACACCACAGTGCAGACCTTGCGGCAGTATCTACAAGCGAAGTTGCCGCCGTCTTCAAGGCTGAGGAGGAAAAAGGTTGCGAGTATTGGCCTAGGCGAAGAGAAGCCCACCGAGCTCGAGGCGTCCGTTTGTCACCTGCTGGATACGTCTTTGGTTTGTTCGTCACAGGAAACCCGAGAGCAAGCCGAGATCCAAGCTGTACGATGGCAACAATGGCTCGCCTTTTCCCAAAAGGGTGATGAGTCGTACGTGACTATATCTGGCAGCCCACAGGCCATGTCCTTTGCGCAGTCCGAAGTAAGTGTGCCTCTAGCTTCTTAATTCCATGTCCTAATTTTGTAGATAATCGACTTTGTGATCTGGAGCTTGTTTACGCGAGAGAAGGCACTTTCTTCTCGACCAAAGCACTTGCTATGTGATGGTTTCCGCAAAGGTGCTCCTGGCGGTGGACAAGCCGCTTCCAGCATCTCAGGGGTCGATATCCGTTTCCCGAACCCACTGGTCAAGACGCTGAAATCGGCGCCTTGGCCGCAAGTTCTTGCGCTGCTGGGCCGGTCTGGTGAACGGATAATGGTCGACTTGCTGGTTGACTCTTCCATCTTCATTGCTGTCGATGCCGGCTATGGCAACTACTTCCAGGCCAGCGGTAGGTTCACCTATTTGGTTTCGCCAACGCGCGCTGACTTTGCTAGGATTTCCCCTTTACGAAATGCGGTTCACAAGAGATGAGGCGGCCATCTTTACTCGGAAACCATCAGACATCAGTCTGGTGAGGAGCAGGATCTTCTACGCAAAACCTGCCTTGACGGCAAAGGGGCTTGTGCAAGCAGGCTTCAAACACATACGTGAGCTCCCTGTGTAAGAATTGAATGGTCCTGCGTGCTGACGTTCCAGATGTTTTGAATAGATGTCCTAGGGTTAGATCGCAGCAGACTGGCTTGCTTCAGTCGCCGGCCGAGCAGGCGCCACCTGAGGAGGCCGACGCTGCCAAACGCCAGAATTTTATCAACACGCTCAAGATTGCCATGTATGTGTTTCCGAGACAGTTCAGGCTGCACAACGCTTTCACGTCGCACGTCGACTGGAAACATACTGCGCAGAAATTTCAGGACTACACGCTGCGGGAAGCTGAGGTTGGTCCCCTCTTGAAGGGGGAGCATCTTCCAAGAATACCAAAACGGTTGCATGGTGATGCGCTTCACTTGATAGAGCGTTTGCAGATACTACACGAGAGGTGCTCTTACTTTGAGCTTCTGAGGCATTACTGCCCGTCCGTGCTGGATCCGGTGCGCCTCGCAAAGGCTCCCATGACGAAGGAAGTCCCCTTGCCGCAGGCACAGACCAGGAAGCGTTCAAAGAAAGCCGGGCGGAGCACTCAGCCTGCGCTGACCCAACTTGATTACAAGGCGATTACAGACCTGGCCACGCCGCCTGCGCATGTGTCCGCCTTTTGCCAAGCTGTTCTGTCCAAAATAGTACCGGATGGTTTCTGGGGTGCAGACGAGACCCTGAAGCACAACAAAAGGACGTTCCTCCGCAAAGTGGATCATTTCATCAAGCTGAGGCGTTTCGAGACAATGTCGCTGCATGAGATCGTGCAGGACTTCAAGGTAAGGATTCACATCTGTAGGGAGCCGATAGGGTCTAACGATTGGTAGGTCGTGGACATTGCCTGGTTACACCAGCGACATTTGGGTGGGCAAAAGACCAGCCAGACAGACATCAACAAGCGATACGAGATCTTTCACGAGTTCTTGTACTATGTTTTTGATTCGCTGCTCGTCCCCCTCATACGAAGCAACTTTTACGTGACAGAATCGAGCACGCACAGATACCGCGTGTTCTACTACCGGCATGATGTATGGAGGCGGGTCGCTGAGCCTGCCACGGCAGCACTCAAGGAGAATATGCTGGAGGAAGTCAAGACGGCTGACGCGAGTCGTATTCTCAGCTCGCGGGGTCTCGGATTCAGCCACTTGAGACTGCTGCCGAAAGGTCAAGGGGTGCGACCCATTATGAACTTGAGGAGGAAGCAGATGCAAGCAAACGGAGGAGCCCTTAGGCCCAGTATCAATACTGTGCTGGGACCGGTGCATACGCTGCTCAAGTTGGAAAAGGTGAGTGTCCCAACATTCGGATACTGTTGCCCTGATTAATCCCATCAGCGAGTCAACCCGGGCCGGCTCGGATCAACACTTTTCTCTCCCAAGGACATGTACACCAAGATCAAGGGGTTCAAACAAACCTTGAAGACTGGCCATGGCATGCTGTACTTTGCCAAGTTGGACGTCCACGCGGCGTTTGACACCATCCCTCAAGAGGCCGTCATTCGCCTGATGGCAACTGTCCCCCAGCAGGCGTCTTACAATGTGGCCAAACATGCTGAAATCAAGCCTGGGGAACGCGCAATCGCCGAGGCCAATAGGACTGCCACGAAACCCATCCGTCGGTGGCATGCTATCGCCCTTCAAAACGGCGAAGTCAAGACCTTTCGCGAACGCCTGGAAGAGGATCTAGGTCAGCGAAAGAAGAACACCGTTTTCGTCGCCAGCGCAGCGCATCAACAGCACAACAGGAGTGACCTCCTATCTCTCTTGGCAGAGCACGTCTCCCAGAACCTCGTCAAGATTGGGAAGAAGTACTACCGCCAGAAGACGGGGATTCCGCAGGGGTCTGTGCTCTCATCCTTCCTGTGCAACTATCTATACGCTGATCTCGAGATCCACCACCTCGACTTTCTTGGTGGCGAAGATTGCCTGCTCCTGAGACTCATCGACGACTTCCTCCTCATCACCCTGGACAGGTCCAAGGCCGAGAGGTTTGTCGAGACGATGCACAGAGGATTGCCAGACTATGGGGTGCAGGTCTCTGCCGCCAAGACATTGGTCAACTTTGAGATGGCCCTTGACGGCGAGGTTGTCAGTGAGGTGGGCAAAGGAGCAGGTTTTCCGTACTGTGGAGTGAAGATCGACACCAAGACACTCGAGATCTCCAAGGACATTGAGAAAGGGGAGAAGACTGGTAAGCCGACCAATGGTCACGGATCTCGTTCGACCGCTGACAGATTAAAATCAGCCGTTGGAAACTCCCTGACGGTGGAGTATGGGAGGTCACCTGGACAGAATTTTGAGAGGAAGGTCCTGGGTAAGTTTCCAGGCAATCAGCTTCACGATGAAGAGCGTGTGCTCATGGTCCAACAGGCGCATTCAAGATCCAGTCCCATCTCATGTTCTTCGACACTGAGCACAATTCTGCTCGTACCGTGCTCGCCACCTTGCGTGCAGCGTTCGAAGAAACCGCGCGCAAGATGTCGGCCTACATCAAGTGCATGCCCAAGGGCAAGCAGCCAACAAGTAAAATCATCACTAGTACGAACGCCGTTGTCGTCGCCTGCACACGTGCTGACTCTGCAGGGACTATCATCAAGCTGACAGACCTTGCGTTGAGGCTCTTGACAGGGAGGTCGAGAAAATTGCGAAACCCAGAATACCAGTGCGACATTCGCAGGAGGCAGGTTGCCTTGTGAGGAGCCCCTTTAACAACTTGGAGGTCTGAACTAACCAGGTCAGGGCGGCATACGAAGCATTCGCTACTGTTCTCCGCCGGAAACAGACCAAGTATACGCGTGTTCTGGCTTGGCTCGACAAGGAAGCAGGTCGTCTGCGAGACAAAAACTGATTCAGCCCCTGAGTCCATCAACTCCGTCTATACGCTTCTAAAATTTCTACAGAGAGATTCCGCTTTGCCACCAATGTCTACCCGTATACCAGCCAGGTCTATGCCACTCATCCCATCGCCACCATCGATCACTCTCGCGCCCAAAGCCCAGCATCCTGAAGAACGAAAAAGGCACTGGTTCGAGGAGCCAGATGCCAGAGCCTGCCAAATCGTGAACGAGAAAATCCGAAGTCCAATGCAGCCATGCCATGGTGAAGAGAAACCGCAATCCCTGCGCCGCCCGCCTAGGCACGCGGATGCCCGTGCGACGCTGCACGCCGATCTCGACAGCGTACTGTATGAGGACACCGACAATTTGCAATGAGAAGAAAGCGGGCGCTCTCCAGACTTTTGTGTCTTCCGGTATGGAAGAAATACTGCCCATGGCATGCAGCAGACCACTCTGCGCAAAGCTCACCACCAAGGCCACGACGACAGCAGCCAGGGATCCGTGCTCGAGGTAGCCTTCTCGGACGAGGAACCGCGCAGGTGCTGAGAACTGGGATCGGAACGTCTGATGCCACCAACCACCCCACCAGCCCGCGAGTCCTCTCTCCAAGACTTGCGAAAAGGAGCCAAAAGTCGAGGAATGTTGCCACAGTTCGCCCCTTGCGGGAAATAGATGGCCCATCATGTAGTACTGCATCAGGTCGTTGAGATTGAAGACGCCAGAGATGGCAGAGATAATGCCAGCTAGGGAGAAGATTTGTCGGTAGATGCGCAGACCCCACAGAGGCAAGCCATCCAAGTACCACGGCAACGGGAGGATGGATGTGGCAGGGTGGTCAGGGCCAAGGATGAAATAGGGGTCCTTTGTCATGTGGACGGCCAAAAAGTCGAGAATGAGGTACATGATGCTCGCTGTGAGTAGTCGTGACCTGACGAAGCTGGACTCGGTCAGACGGCGACGGTAGCCCATGGGCGTGACTACTGGCAAGGAAGACAGATCCGCAGGCGTGTTAGGCTCAATCGAGCCATGAGAAGGAATCTTTGGGCGAGGTATGGCTGATATAGACCAGTTCCAACCTGTAAAGTGTCAGTCATACGCGGGTCAGAAGCTAGCTAGAACTGCGTACCTGCAAACCGAAAGTTGGTGGTCATGTCCAGAGCCCAGTTGAGGCGCTCGCCAAACGTGCCCTGCTCTGGAAATGGCTGCCACACATATTCCACCGGCTGTTCATGTTCGACTTGATCCGATCTACCCTGACCCTTCCTTTGCCGGATGCCATTCTCTGCTGGCTGTTTCTCCGTCTGCCTGATGGGAGGCCTGGGCTGGACTGGGACGATCCGCGCGGCGTCCCTCTGGGCGTTTCGCCAGATGAGCACGTTCATGGTGCTGATGACGCCCCAGAAAGCCATCAGTCCATTCGCATAGCCCACGGCCATGTTGCCACTTTTGGTCGTCCTGATGATGTCGGCATCGAACCAGATCACCCACGCCACGACAAGCCACCTCGCCCTCCATCGCCAAGGATGGCGCTCCGCCGAGTGCGGGATCGCCAGAAAGAGCGTCGGCACAATGAAGGGACCCAGTAGGGAGTACGGCAAGACAAGAGGGTGATGTGTCTGCGCAGCCAAGGCGAGCTTGTAGGAGGCTCTGTGCAGTGCGCGCACTGCGTCGGCAAGGCCGCCAACAGGTGCGTCGACAAGCGACATGATGGGTGCAGAAGCGGTGAGTGTCGTCTATCGTATGGCGTTCATCATGATGGTGACTGGCGTAAGTGACTTATATGCATGGCCAAGCGAAGAGGTAAGGACAGCGGGCGGGTGACTGGTGAGAATTGTACATGTCTTACTATGGGCCACAGCAGACCCAAGTGTGGCTCCTGACTCGTGTGACGTCAAGACTTGATGTGATCATGATTTTAGATGGCAGAATCAAGTGTATTTCTCATTACGGCTGTATTGCCTCTGAAATGGAAGATCATGACAGTAGGAAAGTGTATACTGAGAATGTGGCAAAGAGCACGTGGACTACGATCTGGCGTGGCTTGACAGTGTGACGCGGTGAAGTCACGGGTGAGATTCCAGAAGGTTTGACTTGAGGCGCCTGGGTGACTATAGGGTAGCTCGCTGCAAGCTGAGCTCATGACTTTCTCGGTGCCTGTAACCCGCCAGATTGACGTGATGAACAAATAACATGAAGGCAAGTTTACCTATATATTTCACATCATAAAGGGCTATCGCGATCATGGTTTATACACACCCTCAATCAGTTGCAGACTGCGTCGCTTCCCCGGATTACGCTGTCAACTGATCGTCGCCGTCTCCGTCTCGCGACTGTTGCAGGGCTGGAGTGGGTATTGTACATCTTTGGACTTGAGCAAGTTTCCAGAATGCCAGCCAAGCCTGGAGATATTATTATGGTATGCTTAAAAGGTTGGTGGATTAAGATCGGGGGTGGTCAGAATGCTGCTGATCATCAGGTACGCACCCGGTAATAAATGGTCAACTCCAGCCATGAAGGAGTCCTATCCAGCGACTCCGGAGTTCTCATTCAACCTCCAACTTTAGTTCTCAGTCACACACCGACCTTGGAATTGATTAAGCTCGAGAAACATTTCATCGCAATAAAGCACCTGAACGGACAAGACACACTGCCAACACCCGCTGCGGTCGGGCCCTCTCAACTTCAAGTCTCACCCGGAGACTTTTCATACGCACTCGCGCCTGGCGACTCGACTCACACTCATCAAACCATTCACCGCCATCCCAACCACGAAATCATCTCCAAATCGTAACGTCTGTCCTCGCCCGGCTCGAGGCGCCATGTCTTCTGAGACGACCCCCCACGCAGCCCAAAAGCGTCGGGCTTGCGACGAGTGCCGTACGCACAAGACCCCCCCGCTCACAACATCCTTTCGGAGACTTATTAACACGTACAGGGACTCGCAAGCTGGCATGTTCCAAAGAGCCCGCTGGCTGCGCCCGATGCTGCCGCGAGGGTATCAAATGTCATTACTCTCCACAGAAGCCTATGGGCCGGCCTCGCAAGAGGCGCCTGGTCGAGGACGCCAGCCTGGACGACGCAGTGCCCCTACCCGTAGAAAATGTGCCCATATCAACTGCGTTTCCCGAGATCGACTCCGTTATCCAACCGGACTTCTTCGCACAGGATCATGCCTTTGACTTTTTGGACCCTGCGCCCACCAGTCTGGATTATCTAAACCTCTTACCGTACGACTTGAGTGACACGACAGCCTTGGATCCGCAGCTCCTCCTACCACAAGATGCCGCGCAACCACCCCTGGATCTGGGCGATGTCGACCTATTGGACAGCATCAACTTTGATGACGACCAAGAGCCCGACCCCTCTAGTGTAGCCGCGCCCTCGACGCACGGCGAACGGGTGCTGCGCTTCTGGCAGACTCAGCTGCAGCCGCAGGGCCAGTCACACAACGACACATCCGACAGGTCGGCCTCTCCATCAAGCGGTCCGTCCAACTCTGCCTCATCGCCTCCGTCCCAGCACAACACCACGTCGGTCGAGACCTCGCCCTCGCCGGGGTTCAAGCCCGTGCGCTCCATCGAGTGCGGCTGCCTGTCCGTGCTGTACCGCACCCTCGAGTCGCTGTCGCGCCTGCCATCGGACATACCCAGCGCCGTGCGCATCGCGCGACGTGCCACCGAGGTGGCCCATCAGACCATCCGATGCCCCGTCTGCGGCGACCCCCAGACCCACGACCCGCTGGAGGCGCCGCCGATCCAGTGCTACCAGAACATGATGCTCGTCGTCACCCTCATACCCTCCGCCTGCAACGCCTACGCCATGATCCTAGACATGATCGACAAGGAGACGGACGGCGCGCGGCGCGACGGGCGGCAGATGTGGTTCAGTTTCCAGGAGCTGGGCGGTCTGATGGGCCGCGTGGGCGAGCATGACGGGTGTGCGAGCATGCGGGCCCTGAACAACCGGCCGATGGAGCCGGGCATGTGGAGGACGACGATGCGGGCCATCCTACGGCTGGACGTGTACGGGTACCACCCGACGCCGGGCGAGGCCGACGATTTCGGGTTCCAGTCGCAAGGGCTCAAGGACGTGGTGACGGCGATGGAGGACCGGAGTCGACGACGGCACGCCATCATGGACAAGCTGTTGGCAGACGGCAAGACCCCGCACGACAATATGTTTTATCGCCATGATGCGAAGACCGCACATAAACCGGTGCCCGAGGAGGAGCGCAGCTGTATGCGGGTGCTGGACTCGGCGCGCGTGGCACTGGAGAACTTGGTCATTGCGTGAGTCACGGAGAACAGGGGTAAGGGGCGCCAGCGCATGTTACAGACTTTAATCCTTTGGTATATACAATGCTACTATGGCATCACGCGTCCTCCATCATGGACAGCACCTCCAGCTCTCTCCGCACAAGCGACTCAAACTCGTCCCGCTCAATGCCCGCCGCACAGCCCAGCTGGTAGAGACTCCGTATGCTCCTCGAAATGTGCTGCTTGACGCCAAACTCGCCCGTGTCCCGCCGCCCAGCCTCCTGCTCCAGCTTGGCCACCAGCCGGTCACTGGTGGAGCTGCTGGCACTCGACTCCGGCCGGGGCTGCAGGATGCCTTCGTTCTGTGTCGCCGGCATGTACTGCTGCGGTGGCTGTTGACCGAGCCCCAGGGGCGGTGACACGTGGGGGACCTCTTCGTCCGGGTCGTGGTTGTCCATGGCGGGCTGGACGTTCTCGTACTGCGCAAAGTACTCCCTCTCCTGCGTCGCCGCGTCCTTGGCGCCAGTCGGCGCGGGGGATTTTGTGGCGGGCGTCCGTCCGCGACCTGGGGTAGCATCGTATTGCGCCCAATAGTCGTCATCGTCGTCGTCCTCCTCCTGTGCCTCTGCTAATGTGATGTCCGGCTTGGCACTGCCATTTTGTGCTTTGCCTCCTGATTGGAAGCTCTCCTCTGCTTCGTCCAGGGTTGACGAACCACCAAATTCGCGAAACGTCTCCGGCTCCAGAGGGAGAACCTCGCCTATGCGCCAGCCGTCGGGTCCATCAGGGTCATTGACGCACCAGACGATCCGTATGACCAGCCCTTGCTCTTGCAGCTTGACCAGGCCCTGGAGTGTCTCGCCGTCGATGCGCTTGTATGCCACTTCGGTGTCGTGCTCCCAGTCCACCTCGACCTCGCCGCTCAAAGGATGGGGCTCCAGCACGCTTGCCGCCGATTTCAACTTTTCAATCGCACTGGTGTTGTAGCATAGCAGGCGGAGCCAAGGCTCAGAAGACGTCGCAGAGAGGAACTGGACGCGCTGTCGCAAGATGGGGGACAGGCTGGGTAGGAGGGGTGTCGGTGGGGTGGGCGAGGCCGTGGCGGCGATGAGGGCTGGCAAGAGGGGACTTAGGAGTTCCCGCAGGTTCGGTCTCGTCGTTGGTTTTGTGCTTGGAACAGCCATGGTGGCTCTGTGATCGGTAGAGTAGTTGTGGAGGAGGATTCGATCAAAGGCTGGTCGAGGACATGGACAGAGTGGAAGCTCGATCACATGCAACTTCTGTGAGGGTGGGGGAGATGGATGATATTGCTGGACTTTGGCGCAATTTCGCTCTTTGGGGACGCAGATGGTTGGATATCTCAAGTGGTATTCAGGTTGGTAGATTTATGAAGGTCAGGAAGTGTGTCGCGACGAGGGAAGAACAGGACTGAATATGAGGGAGAGGAAGAGTGAGCTTGTCACGGAAAATGTGCTGCGACGTTAGCTTTGGGCGGGTCCCACGATGCAGGCCACTGCAGTGTCTTATGTCTACGCTCTCGGTGGAGTCCGATCCGGAGGAAAGGAAGTGTCCTGATCGGGACTGGACAGTTGGATTGCTTCGTGTTGCTGCCTTGCCTCACGAACATCGACAAATATCAGGAAATAAAGTATTGGAACGGCCGTCAAGACAATATACCACCCTTCTACTGCAGCAGGTTACGAACACAAAGTGCTGGCACCTGATACTGACATTGGGGCGCCAGAACATATCCGAAGACCTTCCACGGTTCATCCTACCCGTGACGCCGCAGCACTGACCCGCAGCAGCCCTGGCAGATGCATGCATCGTTACCTTCGGGTCTGCCGCGGGTCAAGCTATAATTACCTCGCAACACTGGTAGACTGGATGTCGATGATCAATAGTTTGCGAGTGATCTGGCCTCACATAATAATTATATAGTAGAAACTCCACCTCGCCCACAGCACAATAAGAGCAACCACACAATCCAAGTCCAGAGTTGGTCCAGTCGGCTGCCAGATGTAGATGCCGGGACAAGCCGACGCTAAGCTTGAGCTGCCGCTGCGACCTCGACCAGCGTCCTGTCCTGTCGCGTGCGCTGCAGTGTATCGAGCTGTGAGCTTGTCAGATCGACATTGATCTCCAAATGCTGCGAGATAGGGCATCTTGTTGGCCGAATTCACTCACCACAGCGCACACATGTACTCAATTCCATTGTCGCTGTGCTCGACGAGCCCTTAAAGCGAGGTACCTCGGACGGCACCCTGAATAGCCGTTGGTTTAGGTACCTTACTTATCGTGCCCGCCCTGGACTGGAAATTTCAACATTCCATCAACACCAACACCAACACCAACACCAACACCAACACCACTGCCGCCACCACCACCAACGCCCCATGTCCTGAACAGCGCGCCTCGCACTACGCCAGTTGTTCTCAGCTGCGCACAGTCCTGCATGTCCCTCAAAACCGACCGCCTCAAAGATGAGGGCTCGCGCACCCAGGTCGTCGCGGCCGGCGCCATAGCCGGCCTGACAGCACGGTCCGTCCATATCCTCGCCCTCCCCCCCTTCTCGTCGTCCAGCTTCGCTGACCAGCCACCCAGATTCGTCATCGCGCCCCTCGACGTCCTCAAGATCCGTCTCCAGCTGCAGACGCACTCGCTGACCGACCCCCTCTCCCAGGCCCCCCGGGGCACGCTACCCACCCTACGCCACATCATCAAGAATGAGGGCGTCCGCGCCCTCTGGAAGGGCAACGTCCCCGCCGAGCTCCTCTACGTCTGCTACGCTGGCATCCAGTTCGGCACGTACCGCTCCGTCACGCTCCTCCTGAAGAATATCGGCGGCATGCCCGATGCCGCGGAGAGCTTCGTCGCGGGCGCCAGTGCCGGCGCTCTCGCCACGGGCTGCACGTACCCCCTCGACCTGCTCCGAACACGATTCGCCGCACAGGGCCGGCGAAAAGTGTACGGCAGTCTGGCCGCCGCCGTGCGGGACATTTACCGCCACGAAGGGCCCGGTGGATTCTTCCGCGGCGTCGCCCCCGGGCTGGCCCAGATCGTCCCGTACATGGGCATCTTCTTCGTGACGTGCGAGGCCCTGCGCCTCCAGCTCGCGGGTTTCAACATGCCCTTTGGCTCGGCCGACGCGACAGCCGGCATGATCGGTGGCATAATCGCCAAGACGGCCGTGTTCCCGCTCGACCTGATCCGCAAGAGGATACAGCTCCAGGGGCCCACGAGAAAACGATACATCTACGGCGACATACCAGAGTACAAATCGGCCACCCGCGCCCTGGGCATGGTTGTCCGGGCAGAGGGCGTCCGCGGGCTCTTTAGAGGGCTGCCCATTGCCCTGGTGAAGAATGCGCCCACCAGTGCGGTCATGGTGTGGACGTACGAGCGTGTCCTGAATGTGCTGATAGCGTCCAACAAGACGGAGGAGAAAATGATACCCTGATAGAATCAAAGTCTAAAATGAAGTTTTTATGCCCTGTCTAATTTGGAAGAGTGGCATTGACGGCGTCTGCGCGCTCGATGCACTCCTCTATCACGTCCCAGAACTTTTGTGTATCACAACCCCTGGGTATCCTGACACCGGCCGAGCCTGGCGGCAGCACTTTGGCCACAGTCCGTCCCGTCTGCGTCTTGCCACTCGCGGCGTCTTCCAGCGTGCCCTCTGTCACCACCGTGACCTCGAAGCGTTCCTCGTGCCTTGGGTGAGCGCTCTTCTTCTCATCCCAATCGTAAAAGGGGATCTCATCGGGGGTACCAGCCAGGGCCAATGCCACAGCCAGGGGATCGTGCAGTGGCGGGCCAGCTGTGATGCCGAATGTGGTCCTGTTCCGAGTTAGCGCAGCACAACAGGCAGAGTGACGGGGATACGTACGCATATGTCTGTGCGAAAAAGTACAGCAGCTCCACGAGCATCTGCCTGAGAACCGTCTTGCCCTTGCCATCGTCCCTCTTGGGGCCGTCTCGCCCGCACAGCAGAAGCTGCCTCACATCGTCCGTGGCAAGCACTTGATGGCTCAGGTCTAGCGGCACGACGCTAATCTTGCCCTTGAGCGCCTCATTCGAAAAAATCTCAGACGCCGCCTCGGGATCGATGAGTATGTTGAACTCGGCCCACGGCGTGTAGTTTCCTATCCTCGGCTTGCCGTCGACCTCGCCCATGGGGGCGTCCGTGAACCCATTACCAATGGAACCCCCCATTAGACTGACGCCCTTGACATGAGACGCCAAGTCTGGATGCTGGCGGAAGAGCTGCCCAACATTCGCCAGAGAGCCCGTCGCCACGATCCACGCTGTGTTGGGCGGCTGGGCCTGGAGGGCCTTGACCATGGCTTCGACAGCCGGCACATCACTGGGGGCTCTGGCCGGCTTGGGGAGAAGTTCTGTCCCGTCGAGACCCGATTCACCGTGGATCTCAGTCGCAGGGTGGTGCGCTGGTCGTTCCAGGGGTTTGGCCGCGCCCACGTGAAGGGGGATCTCATCGTGTTTCCCTATCGCTGTGAGGAGCGCGCCTGCATTGAGGGTCGTCTTGGACAGAGGCGCATTGCCAAACACAGTAGACACGCCAAGGAGATTGATGCGCGGGTGGTGCGCGGCAAGAAGAAGCGCAAAAGCATCCTGCACGGTCAGCCATGGATTCAGTGTATGCAAGCACACGGACATGTGTCTCAACGTACATCATGGCCTGGATCGCAGTCCAGCCACACGGGCACCCTGTCGTCGGCCATCTTGATCGTATGGCACGCAATGTATGAAGAGGAAGTGATAGGTGTTGCAGGTACTGTGATAGGACTGGGTATATGAATTCCAAGGTGCAGTGCCAGGCTGCCAGCGCGGCTTGTCGTGGAGTACAGATACGGCGTACAGTAACGCCGCCCCCATTTCCTCTCCCCCTAATAATGTACTAAAGTTGTGGGGGACTGCTCTGCCCCTCACGGCAATCCTCCACTTTGACAAACAGCGGCTCGCCTGCGTCTTGGCTCACTAGCAACAATGTTCTCCAGAATGTTCGCTCGCCGTCGCTGGTGGCTTGGCCATACGTAACACGTTTGTCTGCCCGGCGCAGTTGGCCGGCTCGGGGGCGGAGACCTCCGCTGTGTGGGCGGGAGCAAAGGTACAATACTAGGTACTGACTTAGCCTCATTGAGACTTCTTCCTCGACTCCATTACGCGCAGCACGTCCGCGGCATTGTTCGCGTCGCCTTTCCTCTTCTTCGGCCCTCGCTTTCTCTTTGCGCCGCCTTTATCCTGGCCTTCTCCGTCCTCGTCGTCGGCGCCCCACTTGGAGATTTTGACCTTGGTCTCGTCAAAGTCCTCTTCATCTTCGAACCGACTTGTGCCAAAGCCCATGTCCAAGTCGTCGTCATCTCTGGCTGCGCTCTCGAGCAGCTTGCGGTGCCGCTCCTCGCGGGCTTTGCGAGCTTGCGCTTCCTCGTCGTCTTCGTCAGAGTCCTCCGTCTCCTGCTGGCGTCTGTTCTGTTCGAGCGCTGCAGCACGTTTGAAAGCGGCTTGAATCTCTGGATCAGACATGGATGGTGCCTTGAGCTGCTGTTCTGACGCCAGCCCAGTCTTTGAGTTTTCAAAGTAGTTTCTCTTGGGTCGGGGAGGAGGTGGCATGGCCAGCTGATCCTGTGCTGGTGCCTTGGCCTCCTCTGTCGTTTTGGCGTCGTTCTCCTTCGTTGAAGGTTCTGGCTGCTCATCAGAGTCAGAGTCCGAACCGCCTAGCCCAGCCAATGGATCGTAGTCGTCCCCAACGTCGTCAAAAATGTCCACGTCCAAGTCCTCTTCTGGTTCAGGTGCCTTCTTGTACTGCTCGGGAACCTCCATTCCTAGTGGCTTCGCGCTCTTGTCTGGCATGGGGAGCTCGCTCGCTTCGGCTTCAGCTTCCGGCTGACTAGGCTGCACCTTGCGCACCTTTCTCTTCTCGTGCCCATCTTCGTCGACGACAATCAGAACTTCCCGACCTTTGCTGTCGATTTCGATTCTCGATCCAGCCTTTTGCACGGCCCCGATTCGGCGAAAGCGCTCGCCCAGAGCTGGTTCCGCCGCTGCCTTTGCTGCCGCCCTCGACGCTTTCCATTCCGCCAGTATTTGGTCGCGACTCCGCTTCTTCCCTGCATTGAGTGACACTGTAGACAGCTGTCCCTTCTTTTTCTTCTCCTGCTTTTCCTTGGCTGCGGCGGTAACTTCTTGCTTCTCCAGTTCCTCAAAGGCCTCGTCCACGTCTTCTGCAGCGTCTTCCTCCTCTTTCTCGGGCTCTTTCTCGCCGTATACGTCCTCGCCCCTCCGTATTCGCTCAAGTAATTTGAAGTCGAGGCCTTTGACGAGATGCGTGCTCCCCAAGTCGCCTCCCGCGATCTCGAATCTCAGCTTTTCGTAGGTGTCCCTGTCAATCTCCTCCTTCTTCAGGGACTCTTCGAGCGCTTTGAGCCTGGTCGCGCGGTCATCATCCGTATCTCCTGCTTCGCGTTCCCGCGCGCGATCAGTGTAGCCGTCGGCGAGGCGAGCGCCTTTCGGTGCGGATGTCCGGAATTGCTTCTGGGGCTTGGTGGCGCGGTTGCGGTCGGAAAGCTGTCGGGCGAAATCTGCTTGCGATCCTCCGAGTGAACGACTGCGAACTGTTAGATTGAACCCGTGCCGATGGAGAGACGGGGGGACGGACGGAGTCATGGGAATGCTGCTGCGCTGTCGCGAACCGAGTGCTGACCCTCCGGGTGTTGCGGGGGGCGGAGAGGATGCATCCTTGGATTTCGATGCATTATTCGCAAGGATCAGCTTGCGGAACTGATCGTTGTTCATGCTTGACTCGAGTGATGGTCAGGCTGTCTTTGAAGGTTGCATGTGCTTGTACCGGAGATCAGTGAACTTTCTTGGTGATCGTCATGTGTGGCTGGTGCGAAACCCAGCAGCTCAACAAGCCACTCTCGAACAGTGTGTGCACCAACACCGAGCCTTAATGACTTGGACGCGGTCCAGAGGTTAACGCTCTGAGTCATAATCGCAGGCATAAAGCCAAGGCCAGATACGTAAGTTCTATAGCATACAGATGATCGAACAGTCATTATTTTCAACCCAGTTGCGAAGGTGTGGCTGAGCTGTGCAGAAAGTCACGGGACAACGTGTTGTAAGCGCGCCACACCGTGATCCGCTTTACGCGGGTTCCTCTCTTGATGTCGACCCTGCATCATCACGAACATGCACGCCCATTTTACCTTCTTGGACATGTGTACTTTGCTACCGTTTCCTATTGAGCCGTCGGGGTGAAGTAATGAATCTTCTGTCAGCACGAAGCCGACAAAGGCGCCGACGACTGAGATAGGCTCAATTACCTGAATCACCACCACCATGGGCAGCGTCTTGGACAAGAACTCGGCGCAAGTCCGCAAGCGCATCGAGGGGCATACCTTTGAGGGCGAAGATGGCGAGGAGTATGAACAGTCCGAGTTCCACGGGTTTGGAGACTACTTTCGCCGCAAGAAGATCAAGTTGCAGAACCTCGACGCCGAGTTGCGCACTGCGTCCGGAAAGCCCCAGATCTTCAAGGGTATCGTGGCGCACGTCACTGGATATACGCAGCCCCCTTTACATGTTCTGCATCGCGAGATTGTGCAGCACGGCGGTGGATTCCTGCAATACCTCGATTCGAAAACCATGGCTACTCACATCATCGCTTCTACGTTGCCGCCGAAGAAGTCAGTGGACTTTAGTCGGTATCGCATCGTCAAGCCAGGATGGATCATGGACTCCATCGCGGCCGGAAAGTTGCTTCCGTGGAACGAATACCGCGTGCTGGATGAGGGCCCTCGCCAAAAGGTGCTGAAGTTTGACGGAAGCAAAGGCATCACACAACAAAGTCCGCAGGCGAAGCATGGCTATCGTGACCAAATCGACGACAGCTTTTACACTAGCCAATTCAAATCCAGCAAAAACGGAACCCAGACTTGGAGCCAACTGGTGGAGAGGACGAGCACACCAAGCTCTTCCAAAGTGTCACCGTTCCCTCGAGGCGACAGCGGCGAGGGTAGCTTGAATACCCCCTCCAAAGCACCCATGTCTGACTCTTCAATATCTGTGACGGAGCAGCCGTCTATGCCTCCTCCACGAACACCAGCTATATCTCCCCGGAAGCAAGACAGCCATAGAGGCTCCGAACCTCCCAAAGACGCCACGTCGGAGGAACACAATGCTTGGCTCCTTGCTGACCCACGAATGCGAAAATCATCCACGGCCAATCCCGAGTTTCTGAAACAATACTACTCTGAAAGCCGCCTCCACCATCTCTCCACATGGAAAGCAGAGTTAAAGTCAGAGATGCAGCGCATGGCGGCCGAAAAAGGCATGACTGGCAGACCGTCCAAGCGCAAACCTGGCTCAAGGCGGTATATCATGCATGTCGATTTTGACAGTTTCTTCTGTGCCATATCGCTAAAGAAGCATCCCGAATACGTCGACAAGCCAGCTGTTGTCGCGCATGGAAACGGCACTGGCTCCGAAATCGCAAGCTGCAATTACCCTGCGAGAGCCTTTGGTGTCAAGAATGGAATGTGGATGAAGAAGGCTCTAGAGTTATGCAGCGACCTCAAGGTACTGCCATATGACTTTCCGGCCTACGAGGATGCGAGTCGGCTGTTCTACGAATCGATTCTGCAAGTTGGTGGGACCGTGCAAAGTGTCAGCATCGACGAGGCGCTGGTCGATGTTTCGTCCATTGTGCTCGATGCCGCTGGCTCGCAAGGCGTGGGGGTCGACGAAGGCAGCATATGGCGCGAACAAGAAAAGGTCGACGCTATGGCTCGAGTTCTGCGAGACCGCATAAAGCAGAAGACTGGCTGCCACGTTTCCATTGGCATCGGCGGCAACATTCTTCAGGCCAAGGTGGCGCTCAGGAAGGCCAAGCCTGCTGGCCAATATCACTTGAAACCCGAGGAGGTTCTTGAATTTATTGGTCAGCTACAAGTCGAGAACCTGCCTGGCGTCGCCTATAGCATAGGCAACAAGCTCGAGGAACTAGGTGTGAAGCTGGTCAAAGACTTGCGAGAGCTCTCACGGGAGCGTTTATCTTCAGTCCTGGGACCTAAAACAGGACAGAAGTTGTTTGAGTATGCTCGCGGAATTGACAAGGCTGAAGTTGGGGAACAAACCCCACGCAAGTCCGTCTCCGCCGAGATCAACTGGGGAATCCGCTTCATCAGCCAGGAAGAGGCCGAGGAGTTCGTTCACAATCTGTGTAAGGAGCTCGAACGGAGGCTGCTCAACGAACAGGTCCGGGGCAAGCAACTCACCATGAAGATCATGCGGCGCTCGCTGGATGCGCCGCTGGATCCTGCCAAACACCTAGGTCATGGCAAATGCGATGTATTCAACAAGAGTATCGCTTTTGGCGTTGGCACGAATAGCCACGAGGCTATCGGCAAAGAGGCTGTGACTATACTCCGCTCCTTCAAGTTCAGCCCGGGCGACCTCCGAGGGTTAGGCGTGCAGATGACCAAGCTCGAGCCTATCAGGACCAAGTCATCGGGGCCTGAAAGTAGCCAGCGAAAATTGTTGTTCAACGCAGCAAGCGGGCCTACAGCAAGGCGCAAGTCGTCGGAAGCTGAAGCCATCGAAGAGGATGATGCACCCGTCAAAACGAAGGATGTGCCGACGCCCAGTATTGAGCACGATCCCATCGCAGATGATCCAATGACCCCTAAAAAGCAAAAGGTCCATCCTGCTGCCGCTTTGGCTCGTGCCGCGGCCAGTGATCCCAAGGCGAAGACGCCGTTGAACGTTGCTGGCACGCAGTTCCTGATACCCAGCAATGTCGACCCAGCAATACTCGCAGAGCTGCCCAACGACATTCGGAGCAAGCTCATGGCCCAGGCAGCGCCCGCGATTCAGCGAGCCTCGAAGCCGCGCTCGGAGAGCCCGCTGCCCGATGTGTTGTTGCCTTCGCAGGTCGACGCTGAAGTGTTCGCTGCGTTACCGGAGGACATGAAGGCGGAAGTCCTTGCCACATACGCAAAGCCTCAGGCTATACACCGATCACCACAAAAGGACAAACTTATACAACTCAAGAGACAGACAACACCTACCAAGAGGGGCGGCATCCGCGGCGCCTTCAGTAAAGCGTCGCGGCAAAGGGACGCACAGGCTGGTCTATACCAGACGAATTTTCGTAGCCTCCGCACAGGAAGTGAGCCTGTCGTGGAGCAGCCTGTCGAAGACCTCGATCCTGATTTCTTGGCGGAGCTTCCTGAAGATGTTCGCAAAGAGGTCATTGCTGACCATCGTCGACGCCGGCTGGCTGCGAGATCTGGCCTCGATGCTCCGAACCGCCGCCAGCCTCTGATCTCCGACCCATCGGCAGGCCAGAGACGAACAACCTTCCCAGCGCCACCGCCCAAAATTGCATTCGCGCAGTCGGGTATGTCCAGCACGCAAGAGATCAAGGACATGATTGATGCGTGGCACACCGAAACGCGTGCGGACGGTCCTCACCGAGAGGACGTGGAGGTGTTGTCCAGATACCTGCGGCGGGTCATACTCGAGGAGCGCGATATGGAGAAAGTGAGCAAGGTGTTCAAGTGGCTTGTTCTCATCGTCGAACAGGACGGAGTTGAAGGCAAGGGGCTCGAATCGTGGAGGAGAGCCGTCAAGGACGTTAAGGAGGATATCCAGGCGGCCACGAGGGAGAGGGGGCTGGGCATGTTGGATATATGAATCATGAATTACGACCGTCAGGAAGAAAGCTGGAGGCCTGATCGCTGAAAAAGACGACAATGACTGCAAACAAAGGGCAGCGCTGCTGTCAAATGATGTGAAGCAAGAGTACGCTCGCAAGGCCCAGACTGGCCACTGTCCTCAATCCTCCCGCGGCATTCTCGCTCGTCTCGTACACGCTCAGTTTGAGGTTTCCGCCGCACGCAAACTCCCCGTCGCCTTCGCAGGCCATGTCGCATTCCTCATCGTCGACCTTCTTGGCGATGCCAGCCAACGTGCTCGCACACCAACATTCCCTACACAGTCAGTGTCGTTCCTCTTCAAGCTGTGGCCCTGACTAAAATGGCATGGTTTCAAAGGCTGGTTGGACACGTAAGGAGAACCGCAGAGAACATACCTAGCCCATTGTAGCCCAGCAAAGCGGTACTCCGTGTCGCCATCTCCGCAGATTTCGAGACACAGCTCGACGGTCATCTCACCCTCCCTCACATCTGTGATTCCACCGTCCAGCGCGCGGACGCCAGACGAGTCTTCCTGGTTGGTGGTTTCGTTGTAGCATCCCTGGTAAGCGTATGTCTTCGAGTCGTCGTAAATGGACAGATCCTTGGCGTGGACGCATGTCGCGACACTGAGCAAAGTTGCGATGGTGGTAGTAAAGGGACGCATGATGAATGGATTCCAAGTAATGAGCGAGTGAAGAAGACAAGTTTGAGCAGACGCCGAGGAAGATCAAGACGTTTAAAGAGGACCAAGACGTCTAGGACAAGTGAAGCTTTTCATGATGATAATTTCCCCTGAAGCTTATGTGCATGAGGTGCCGGCTGGGCAGCTCTCGCTTTGGGCTAGCTCTTACTACAGGCAAGGGACATGGCTGAGGTGGGGAGGACTACACTACACAGAACCGAAGGGTTGATTCATCCCCCTTGGGAGCGATGCGAGCTCTCGCGACATTTGTAATATCCGGTGATGTACTATTGCTGGTGTGACTTGAGCATTAGCGATGGTGGATCTGTCAACCGTTATCTACAGCAGCGTCTAGCGTCGCTTAGACAAGCTCCAGCTCCACAGATTGCGCGCGGAGAATGTGAGTGGGTAGCTGAGCATTGGAACCCTCTAGTCGGCTGGCCCGCATCTGCGCGCGGCGACATTCTGTCTTTTTCACGAACCTACTTCATCCTCCTCCAGATTGACTTCGCGCTTCTCTCCAAACACTCCAGAGTTCCGCGCGAACACACTCAGACAACCAAACCCACGAGCGACGCCTTCGCGACCGCTGCACCCACATCTCCGCCACCATGTCAGGCAACTACATTGACTGGACGAAAACGACAAAGTCCAAGAACTACCATGGCGCAGGGTCCTTTGCTACATTCATGATCATTGGCCGTACGTCGCGTGCCCTACACTTCTGCAGAGAACGACGAAATGCTGACAAGATACTCTAGCGACATGCTTCTTCCTGGGCATCCTCTTCGCCTCGTTCCCCTACGACTTCCCCCTCCTCTGGTCCAAGGAGCCCGTGCCCGAGGGCTTCTTTGACCAACTCGAGAGCCACCTGCGCTTCATGCACCAATCGCCCCCGCTGATCGCGCGCATGCTCAACATCATCCTCGCCACCGTCTTCATCGGCTTCATCATCAAGATGTACCGCCCCTCCGAGGCCAACTTCCTCTTCGACGGCGCCTCGGGCATCCTGTACCTCATCGGCGTCGCCGTCTACTCCTCCAACACCATCAAGGGCCTGCGCGCCGTCAGCGAGGGCGTCTGGGACACGGAGGAGTACAAGGCCACCCGCGAGGGCCGCTACCAGGGCGAGGTCATCCTCGGCAAGGAGGACAGCCTCCGCGTCCTGGCGGCCAGCAACACCATCCTGGCCCTGATCCTGATCGGTGTCCTGGTGCTCCAGGCTGGTCAGTGGTACGCGGAGAAGAAGGATCGGGAGGAGGAGCAAGAGCAGCAGCGGCCCCACGAGGGCGCAGAGGACAAGAAGGGCGAGGCGAGCAAGACTGCCAACAAGAAGAAGCAGTGAGATTGATCATGGGAGCGAGGCTGTCGTGGACACGGCAGACTCATCGAAGAAAAAGTGTACATCTAGTCGGAGACAGTTATTCGCCATCTTGTAGGCGTATTTGACGCCCCAATGGATACAATTGTGCCTTGGGGTGCGTCTTTTGCTTGCTTAAGCATGTTGCGCAGAGCTACAGGCTTAGACGCGAAGCCAGCGCAACGTGTCTATGAAGCCACTTCTGTCAGCCCTCTGAGTCCTGTCGCCTATAAGAATTGACTATGACTTCATGTACTCGATAATTGATGCGATACCACTCGACGATAGTATCAGTCTACATGGGCTCTTATCCGCGCTAACCCACCAACCCTTTCACGTGACCGGCGTTCAGCAGCGGCATCGCGCTCCGACGTCGGATTTTGGCATATCATCACCAAGCCTTGCAAGCCTTGCACATTCCCTCACCACCTTCGTGGCACGCACCCGGGATCATGTTCTCTACCACCTCTGGGGCTGTGCGCGCAGGCGCCCGCCGAGTTGCTCGATACCCTGCGTTCATTGGCATCGCTGCTCCGAGTTCAAACCAATGCCTCTTTATCTCCACCTCGACGACCAAGGCCGCTTCGTTCCGCCCTGCCACCCTTGGTAGCCAGCGTGTTGGCCAGCAGCGTCACGGCTACGCCACGACGACCAACCCGAACCCCCCGCTCGGCAAGAAGAATGCCTCCAACGACGTCCCGTCTCGCATTGGCTTGATTGGCGCCCGAGGGTACACCGGCCAGGCCCTGATCGACCTGCTCAACGACCATCCCTTCATGGACCTCCGCTACGTGTCTTCGCGAGAGCTCGCTGGCCAGAAGCTCGACTCCTACACCAAGCGCGACATCACGTACGCAAACCTCGGCGTGGAAGAGGTGGCTCAGCTGGACAAGGATGGCCAGGTTGACTGCTGGGTGATGGCTCTGCCCAATGGCGTGTGCAAACCATACATTGAGGCCCTCAACCAGGTCCGGGCGGAAACCGGCAAGAAAAGCCTCATTGTCGACCTCTCGGCCGACTACCGATTCGACGAGACGTGGACGTACGGTCTCCCCGAGCTTACCAAGCGCTCCGCGATTGCCCAGTCCAAGAACATTTCGAACCCGGGATGTTTCGCGACCGGTGCCCAGCTGGCTCTCGCGCCTCTTCGCGGCCATTGCCTCGATGCCCATGTCTTCGGCGTGAGTGGCTATTCAGGTGCTGGAACCAAGCCATCTCCCAAGAACGACCTCGACAACCTAAGGTAGCTTGCTGCTGGCGAACCTCGTTTCTCATTCGTCTGCTGACATCTCTAGGGGCGGCATCATCCCATACAGTCTCACGGGCCATATCCATGAGAAGGAGATTAGCCATCATCTGGACATCAAGACTGCGTTCCTGCCTCACGTGAGTTTCCTTCTTCTCTATTGTTCGGTGGCCCAGTCACATCTTCTGCCGCCTTCTCTGATCCTAGAGGCCCATTGACAACTTTTGATGCTGATACGAGCTTTCACAGGTGGCCGAATGGTTCCGTGGCATTCATCTGACTGTCTCGATTGACTTGAATCAACAAATGACATCGCGCGACATCCGCCAGATCTACCAGGACCGCTATGCTGGAGAGAAGCTTGTCAAGGTCTCAGGAGAGGCTCCTCTGGTGAGGAAGATCTCTGGGCAACATGGCTGTGAGCTTGGTGCCTTTTCCGTCGACAGCACCGGCAAGCGCGTGGTTATGTAAGTACTCAATGACCCCTGAGCACACGAGCCATACTAACTATGCAAAGTTGCGCTACGATAGACAACCTCAACAAGGGAGCCAGTACTCAGTGTTTGCGTAAGGCCCTCCTCTCCTCGTTGGATCAAGTTAACCTAGATTGCTGACAATCTCTTGTAGAAAACATGAACCTTGCGCTGGGATACGATGAATTCCAGGGCATTCCCACGGTATGATAATATCGGGTAGAGTGTATGGTATGTTTATACGGGAGATAGTCACCTAGAATATACTTTCGAACCATCCTTGCTTAGGTCGATGTTACATGTGGGATGTGTGGCTTAGCTTCACTGTGAGCTTGTAGAGCTGAGCCAGTGTGAATGTCTCCACACAGGGATGATACCCTTGTGTTCAGTGAGCTGTAGTGACCATGTGATGTTCAATATTACCGGTACTCTGGCCACATCAGAAAGACTTGAGGAGCTGTCAATATGCCTGGCAGTCCGACAACCACGGCTCACCACTTTACACGTAGAGCACTCTAGATTCTAGAACCCTCAAATCCCACTTGTGACTAATGAAAACCTGAGATCCAGGATGGACATGGTTTCGATGCAGAATTAAGGCACGCAAATAATCCCTCGACGCCAACATGGTCCGATATGTACCCACCATCGCGGCAGTCACAGGCCAGTGACAGTGAAGATCCTCTGCGGGCTCATCTTATCAATCTGATCTCCCGTCTCACCATGCCCGCAATGCCGTGTGCCCAGCAGACGAGCGGAATTTTTAGGGTAACGACTTGGCACGTCGTCCGTAGATTTCTGGTGACGTTCGTTCGTGGTGGGTCGATAAGGCCGCGATAAGCACCCAACGGCTGCCGCCGCGCTGCGCGCCATTTGAATTAATTCTTCACCGCACAAACCCATGACAATGTGAAAAGCCTTTCCATCCTACCCTCCTCTCATTCATCCCTACTAGATCCTACCCCTCTCGAGCCATTTCAGCTTTTCACACAATGTGCTGAGACTCCCAAGGGACATCCTGCAGACTCCCAACACCGGTTTCGCGTAACGATGCACTGCCAGTTGCCCCGCGGCATCGACCACCGGCTCTAGGATCTGCAGGCAGAACAGTCAGACAGACACACAGACGAAAAACAACAACAACAGCCTCTTGCGTGAAGGTTGGACGTCTCTTTTTTCGCAGCTGCATGACGACGGGCGCCGCGCAAGGCGGTGTAACGGTCATGGAGCCTAGCCCCGTCGCCATTCAGACGAAGGATCTCGCAAACAGGTCCGCTAACCGGACCGCCCTCCTCGACGCGGTCGAGGATGTCCTCTTTGGCTCTGTAAGTTGCTCTATTCTCAGTCCAATGCCGGCCAGAGGGCTAACACAAACGCCAGATAGCGGGCGTAGTCGGCAAATACATCGAGTACCCCTTCGACACCGTAAAAGTCCGTCTCCAGTCCCAACCCGACGGCGTACCACTACGATACACCGGCCCTATCGACTGCTTCAAACAATCACTCGCTTCTTCGGGCATCCGCGGTCTTTATGCCGGCATCTCTGCGCCCCTCGTCGGGGCGGCGGCCGAGACATCGTCGCTCTTCTTCTTTGAGAGTCTGGGTCGGGAAGCCCTCTTCAAGCTAGGGTGGGCGGACAGGGAAAAGGGTCTGAGCCTGCCTGCGCTGTGGGCTACCGGCGCCTTCTCCGGCGCATGGACAAGCCTTGTGCTCACGCCTATTGAGCTGGTCAAATGCCGGATCCAGGCGCCCGGCCACGGGAGCGGCGGCGTGCCATTGAAGCCCTTTGGCGTGATCCGGGATGTCTACCGCCATGAGGGTCTCCGGGGCTTCTGGCACGGCCAGCTCGGAACGCTGATCCGCGAGGGCGGTGGCTCAGCCGCCTGGTTCGGCGCCAAGGAGACCACCACCGCTGCCTTTTACCGCATGGCCGCCAAGAATGCATCATCCGAGGCGGAGAGGCGAGATATTCTGCTCAAGCCGCTCCCTCTGTGGCAGCAAGCGGTGGCGGGCGCGTCCGCGGGCGTATCATACAACTTTCTCTTCTTCCCTGCCGATACCATCAAGTCGCGGATGCAGACTTCGCCTGTGGGCGGCACGAAGGGCAAAAACACTTTTGTGCAAGAGGGCGCGGCGATATGGCGCCAGTATGGACTGCGTGGACTGTATCGTGGGTGTGGAATCACTTGTGCACGCTCTGCGCCGAGCTCGGCGTTCATTTTCATGGTTTATGATGGGCTAAAAAGGCGGTTTCCACTACAATGAGCCTTTGATCAGGATAGATGGACATAAACGATCCAAGGTTGGATATACACAAATATATACCAGATAGATAACTACCAGAGGGCAGACGAATACTCCCGGACGAAATAAACCGCATCTTCTCCAAATAGCGTTCGTTGCACGACCCTACTACTCCCTCTTGACCTCCTTGTCCCGCAGATCCCAGTTGTTAAGGACACCAGCGCCGACGCACAGATACGTCGCAAAGCTCATCCATCCCATATAAGGCAGCTGCAACCACGCGCTCGTCTCATCAATCCCGCTCCACAGATAGGTGAGGTAGCCATTCACGCCGAGCAACGCCAGAATATCAGCGGTAGCGTAGGCAGGGCGCTTGAGGCCAAAGAAGAGAGGTGTCCAGACCAGGTTGAGAAGGAGCTGGATGGAGTAGAGGGTGAGCGAGTGCCGGGTCGTGGCGACGGTAGAAGGCGAGGCGAGAGCGGAGAGACCAGTCTTTGCGGCGCGGTGAGCGGCATAGCCCATTGTGCTGGTCCTATGGTTAGCTTGTGTGTCTCAAGCAAAGTTGGGGTCCATGAGACGAACGCGTAGAGCACGGTCCAGACGGGACCAAAGACCCATGGCGGGGGACGCAGAGGGGGCTGCTTCATGTTGAAGTACGTCTTCTTGGTCTCGGATGCTTCAAGCTCGTCAGTCACTGTGGTTGGTTCTTGGTCGATCTGTGGTGTACGTACGGCTGATGCCATAGCCTACCGCTGTCCCGAGCGCGATGGGCAGGAGGACAGAGGCGGCTGGGTTGAGGAACACTGCCTCGGGGATGGTAATGGATGGAATATATGTTGTCATTTTGGTGATGTTTGAGCAATTGGCACGCTTGACTTGTTTCGCGGGAAGGTGTTGCTGTTTGTTTGAAGTTGGGTTATGGTGAGCTCTCAACTGAGAAGTGGCTCGACTACGGACTTCAGTGACGTAACCTCGGAACTCATGGATGTCCGAGGTTCATGTTCAATGCCTTTCAATACTTCGACGCGCAAAGACGCATGTCTGCCATTACGTGATCCTGACTTTCCCATTGTTCCTCAGACACAGTATCCCGCGAGTTCCGAAGCGACATTCATTCGCGTATGAGCTGTCTTCATGTGATCGTCGCGTCGAGGGGGGGTCAGTATCCATGCTCTGCAACGGCATCATCTCACCCAATTGAACAACAGCAACCCTTTCCATCGCGATCAAATCGGGTAACTGACTGACTCGAGGCGCTATCTATGCTTCTTTGTTTCCTATTTACGCAAGCGCACTCCCTATGCTTATTTCACATACTATCATTGATCCTGATGAATCTTCCCTCCACTTACATCCTCGCCTTGGGCCTCCACTTGGCGTACGGGTGCTCATCCCCAGCAACAACCAAGTGGTCGACATCAGACGTGTTAACAAGGCCAGGATGTACTTCACTCAGATCCTTGATGCCAAGAAGTTTCATCACGCTCTCCATCTCCTCCTTGAGTACTATGTCGTGTCAGCCGTGCCAAGAGCACTTGTCCCGTTCATCAAACCATGGACTCACATTCGACGAGATGCTCCGCTCCCTCGGTGCCATAATGCATCGAGTATAGGAATGATCTCCCTAGGCCGACCGCCTTGGCGCCCAGGCACAGCGCCTTGATGATGTCGCCTCCCCTTCTATACCCGCCGTCAACGTACACCTCCACCTTGTCAAACACCTCTGGGCAGTTCCTGTGCATCTCCAGGAGGAGCAGGATACTAGGCGGCGCAAAGTCCAGATTTCGCCCTCCGTGATTGCTCAGCATTATGCCCTCGACGCCGTGCTCTACAGCCAGCCGGGCATCGACCGCCGTTGTGATGCCCTTGAGGACAATGGGAAGATTGGTGACACTCCTGATCCAAGCAATGTCCTTCCATGTCATTCCTTGGTCAATGTAGCTCCCCATCATCTGCGTCAGCCCACCACGCTTCTTTTGGTCCACCGGGGCTCTTTCGCCGGTGACAGGGTTGACGATGACCTCGTCAACCTTGAGACGCTCGTCAGACTCGCGCTTCCCGCGTCCGGCAGCGTCAACCGTGAGAAACACAGCGCGAATGCCCAGCTCTTGGGCGTGGCGGAGTGCTGCAGCAGATTTCGACTTGTCCTTGTTCAGGTACAGCTGGAAGAAAAAGGGGTAGCCCGGGGCTTCGGCGACGACATCTTGGAGCGGATGACTCGACGCAGACGAGACCTACGCCTGTCGTGAGCAATCTCCTCACTCACCTCGCTGACGCCCTGACTCACAATTTCGAGGATTCCAGTTGATTTTGCGGCGCGCGCCAACCCTTTCTCGCCATCCGGATGAATTAGCTTGGCTAGGCCGGTGGGACATATGAACAGCGGCATCTTCATGGGAATCCCCATGACACTCGTCGACGTGTCTACCTGCGCCACATTCTTCATCACCCGCGGTCGAAACCAGATCCGTTTGATCATCTGCTCATTTGCGTCGCGTGTCCAGCAGTCTGTCGCGGCCGTCGAGTAGAATGCGTATGCCTTCTTCGAACCCGTCCTGGCAACAGACTCCTCAAAGTCATAGAGGTTGATCATGTTGTGAAGGGGGGTTTTCTCCTCGGTCTCTCCTGGTGCCTTCGCTTTCGATGAGTCTGGCTTGTCTTGTGCTCGAGTCCATGCCTCAGTGATTGTTGATCTGTCTAGATTTCCCTTGAAACAATCCGGGCTTAGGTGCTCGCGTACAATAGATCGAGCGTGAATCTCGGAGTATGCTTCTGTCGCATCACGACCGGCATACTTGAGGATGACTTTCAACCTGTCAGCATCACCTTGGTGAAGAGGAAGATTAGAGCATCCATACTTGATGCGCCACCTGGGTGCTGGGGCGCAAACTTGGTTACATCCCAGACTTCATCGTCGATGACTATCCAGCAGTCGTTGGGGGTGCCATGTTGGAGCACGGTTTGGGCCGCTATTAATTGCGTCGCTTCCATTGCAAGGTAAGTACTCTTATTCACGCGAATTCATCAAAAAGAAATACTTGCCAGAGACCGAATTGGCGGTCGCCCGACATGTTTTGAAGGATCCAAGTTAGCAGACCCCCGGACTTGAACAACTCCAAGGTCTTTCGGACTGGGGCCGATTGCGGGGAGGCGTTCTGGCGCCTCTGTTCCTTATAGCTTTTACGCCGGACTTTGTCAAATACCACCGCTACTTGGGTCCGATTGCAGGTCCACCCAAAAGGCCGAGTAGCGGACCTTGGGGGCGTCCGTGGACCACGACTTCACGAGTCGACTTGTGGGCGATCTCCTCGTCGGACCCGGGCACTGGGGGCCGCTGGCACCGAGCGCCGCGCTACGGAGGAGATATCACGTGAGCCCATACTTTGAACGGACTCGAATAGAGTGCCATTTCTCGCGTGTCCATACTTTGCTAAGGGATTGACTCTGAGCATTCTTCAAAGCCAATTTGTGGCCAGAATTTTGAGCCGAGTCTCAAAGTCCCAACCGCCCTGAGCAGCCACAGCCAATCATCGCGGGGTTCATCGCGAAATGTCCCACGCACGGGCCGCGACACACGATGCAGCGGCTCCACCTACGCGGTAGCGGAGGTCGCGTCACAACGCGTCTTTGATGGACAGGGATACAAATTGAATTCGTGGCGCGCTTGGCTGAACAGACGACTTCATATCATCCTGCGGGACTGTGCTGCATCTTCATATTCACCACTCCAAACCTGTACTTGTGCGCGACGTCTATTCCTGGGCCTTCTTGCTAAGTTTACGCATCGCACTTGCCTCGACCTTCATCGCTCCTTCTCTATTTTTCGCCTCCTGCATCATGAGCCCAACATTGGGAAAGAGATCCCGGACTGTGCTCGAGGATGGTACGTGACACATTGTGAGCGAATTGACCAGTCGTTCCTTCCGCTGACATTCACGCAGTCAGCCCACAGACACCTCGACGAACAACGAGAACAACCAAGCCAGTCATCTACGACGCGGAGAACATTGACCCCGAGGTGGTTGACGATGAGGTGCTCGACATCCTCGAGGATCTTCCCTCCACCAAGCGTCAGCGCACTGCAAGCAAGAGGGTTCCCGTGACACCAACGACACCAAGGCACCGCCATGTGCTGTCCGACTCCCCATCTACCCCGAGACATGTGGTCATGTCCGCTGGCAAACTTTTCAAGCGCATGACGCCCTCATCACCTTTGACGCCCTCGGCGGTACAGACTGTGTACCACTCAGCCCGTCAAGTGTTTACGCATGGCGCTGAGCCGGGTACCCTGGTCGGGCGTGAGGAGGAGCGGGCGACATTGACGGCCTTTTTGGCGAGGTGCAACAGCAAAGACGCAAGTGGTTGTCTGTATGTGAGCGGGCCTCCCGGCACAGGCAAGAGTGCCATGATCACCGAGCTGCTGCAGCCTTACTCGACCCGAGAGGATGTCAAGTCCGTCTACATCAACTGCATGAGCATCAAGTCGTCAAAGGACCTCTACAACACGTTGCTTGGTGCCCTGGGCGAGGGCGAGGACAGAAATGAGGCAGACGCCATGTCAACACTACAGGAGGTCTTGTGCCAAAAGAAGCAAGGGTCAGCATCGACATGTCTTGTCACGCTGGATGAGATTGATCACATCCTCACCCTCGGTCTGGAGAGTCTCTACCGCCTGTTTGAGTGGTCCCTTCAGAGCCCCTCGCGTCTTCTCCTCATCGGCATCGCCAACGCTCTCGACCTGACGGATCGTTTTCTGCCTCGCCTCAAGTCGAAAAACCTCAAGCCCGAGCTGCTCCCATTCTTGCCGTACAGCGCCCCACAAGTAAAGAACATTATCACCACACGACTCAAGTCTTTGTTGCCAGCGGGCGCCAAGGAAGGATTCGTCCCCTTTATTCATCCCGCTGCCATTGAGCTTTGCTCGAGAAAGGTGGCGAGCCAGACGGGTGATCTGCGCAAGGCGTTCGAGATCTGCCGCCGAGCGCTGGACCTCATCGAGCAGGAAGTCCGGTCCAAGCACGAGGACGAGGCGAGGGAGGAGCTCCTGCAGATGACACCGTCAAAGAAGCCACTCGGCGAGAAGATCAACGGTGCCTCCTCCGACCGCCGAAGCATTGTGCAGATCATGGCCAAGTCTCTGAAGGAGCTCACGGCGGACGATGCGCCGAGGGCGTCCATTGGCCACCTGAACAAAGTCACGGCAGCGGCTTTCAGCAACGGCACGACGCAGCGGCTCAAAGCCCTGAACCTGCAACAGAAAGCAGCCCTCTGCGCTCTCGTGGCTTACGAGCGTCGCGCACGGGAGAAGGTCAAGGCATCCGCGGAGGGCACGCCCTCCAAGTCACGCACCCTCGCGCCTACGGTCAGGATCCTCTTTGATACGTACAGCACATGCTGCACGCGCGACGCGGTTCTCCACCCGCTCTCCAGCTCCGAGTTCCGCGAGGTGGTCGGCAGCCTGGAGACATTGGGCTTGGTGAACGCAGTGGATGGCAAGAACGGGAGCTTTGTGACGCCGCAGACACCGAGTCGCAAGGGTCGCAAGCCCACCGCAGCCAGTGGCGATGACAGGAGGGTGGCATGTGCAGCGGGCGATAAGGATATGGAGAGCATGGCGGAGGGGATCGGCGCGGGTATACTCAAGGCCATTCTGAGTGGAGAGGCATTGGACTAAGGATTCTACTACGGGTGCACTTGATTTCTGGGTTTCATGGCGAGGCGCACACGGCATAGCATGGCATACTGGGTTGGCGTCCAAATTTTCAGCATAGCATCCAAGACACAAAGTTTTTTTTCCCGCACACACACGAGAATGCCATGAAAATTTGATCTTCAATGCAATGCCTCTTCCGTGCGACGATCACGCCGCTGGTTGCCGTGTTTGTAGGATCGTGGCGAGGGAACCACATCTCCTGGACAAGGGTACTGTGAATAGGGGTTTCGGAGGGGGCGAAGCCCCCCTCGCATTCTCGTATGTAAGGTATCAACGACATGGACCTGCAACGAACGTTGTCCCCAGCTAGCTTTCGACGTCGTTTGGCTTACAAAACAATTGACACTGTCACTCTTGTCGAGATCGATTTGAGCCAACGTCGACATTCTAAATCAGGCGCTACGTTGCGCGAGTCACGACTCACACTCACTCACACCCGCTCGGAGTTCGGATCGCGGCGCAGGTGCCCCAAGGACCCTTCGGACCAAGCTTTCCTTGGCAGGACTGGCGAGCTCTTGGCGCTGCATCGACCTCAGCCTCAGGCGTCTTGGGCTCGGTTGATTCGTATTGAATGCGGCAAGGGAGGTAGGAGACGAGCGAGTCGAGAAGCCATGTCTGTCGGGAGACCAAGGCCAGAGGGGCGAGGCAGCAGACGAGCAATACTGCTCGGTCGTGACCAGCCAGGAGTTGGACAAAAGTCCCCCACTCCCACCACCGGAACCAGCACCAGCACCACCATTACCACCGCTGGCACAACCACCGCCAACTCTAGACCAGGCACCACTGCCACTCCACCATCACCGCCGACATCACCAGCAAAGAACGTTAGTAGATCCGGCTCTACATCGACCAAGATCTATACGAGACACGCTTGGTTGCGACCCCTCACCCCACCGATTGACTCTTGGCCTCGGACTCCTCACCCCGAGTCCCCTCCAGCCTCAACACCAGCCTCACCTCCAGCCTCCGCCACGCCTGTCCCCCCCAAACACCAACACCAGGGCCGTCACCACAGGACCCGTCACAACTCGACCGTGACCGCGCTCACTCCGTCTGGCTCGTCCGCCTCCTCGGTCTCATCATTGCGCGTCGCGCCCAAGCCACCGGGGATGGGCAGCAACAACACCTCGCCTTCCTCACAGCAACCGCCTCACCAAGACCCCAGCTCGCCCGACAGCGCCAGCGCGCGACAACCCGCAGATACCGCGCACCCCGCGCGGCGCGCATCCGGCTCCTCCTCTACAGCACCGTCGACAACGACCGCATCGTCATCCAAGAGCGGCTCGTTTCTCTCCCGGTTCAGCAGGTCGGCGCGGATTCGAAACATTGTCGACTTTTACGTCCACACGCACGAGCCACACAAGATCTATACTGCAGGCGACCATGTGCGCGGTTCCGTCTGTCTCACCGTCGTCAAGACGGTGAGGATCACACACCTGACGGTGGCCTTGAGCGGCTACGTCCACGTCGTGAAGGACCCGAGAACGCGGTCGCGCGCTGCCCTGGCCAACGCGGTGAGCTTACTGCCCAAGGGTGTCTCCGAGCGGCCGGCGTATCATGGCAATGGATTCGCGAGCATATTCCAGGACGAGCTGGTGCTGAGCGGGGACGGCAAGCTCGAGCCGGGGAAGTACGAGTTTCTGTTTGACCTGGTGTTCCCTTCGAAAGGGTTGCCGAGCAGCATCGATGTAAGTGGGATCTGGCGTTGCGAGGGATTCGTGGGGGCCCATACTGACCGTCGACAGTTCGAGCGCGGGACCATATCGTACGTGATTTCGTCGACGTTGACGCGACCCATTGCCATCGCACCGACGACTACCTGCGAAACAAAGATCATGCTCAACAACAAGGTGGATATTGGACATTGCGCCCCTCCCCAGCCAAGAATCATCTATATCGAGCCCCAGGCCAAGAAGAAGCGCAGGAAACGGTCGACTGGCTTGGACAAGTCGATAGCCCCCAGCGCAGAGCTGAGCGACATGTCCACCGAGTCTGGCCACGAGTCTGCGGTTCTCGATGACATGACTGTGCGGGAACGGTCCATTGACAACGACATGCGCAGTGAGATCAGCGGCGAGAGTGGACGCAGCGTCAGCACGGGGGGGCTCAGCCGGGCTCACCTGGCGCAGGTAGCGTCTGCCAAGCAGCAGGTCGTTGATGATAAGACCATCACGGCCAAGATTGGTTTGACGAGAGGTGGCTATCTGCCGGGCGACACCGTGACTGTGCGTGTTGATATTCAGCACATCAAGTATATCAAGAGCATGAACGGTGTCATCGTCACGCTGTTCCGGCAGGGGAAAATCGACTCGAGCCCGAACCCGGACATGTTCAACAAGCCATTGAGCAAGCAGGAAAGGCGACAGATGCAGAGGGAGGACGTCCCCAAGTCGAAGACGAGGCTTGGGGGCCTCACGTTGTCCTCCGCCAACTCGACCAGCATGTTTCGGAAGGACCTAGATCAAGCCACTGCGCCGATCATCATCAATCCCGCGACCCTGCAGGCCTCGATACCCGTCTCCGTCAAACTGCCAGGGGAGTGTTTCCCGACGATCAAGGGCGTACCCGGAGACATGATGCGTTTCAGCTACCAGGTCGAAGTCGTGGTCGACCTGGGTGGGAAGCTCTCCAATCAGTTCAAAGGGAGTCAAGAGTCAAGTCACGGCCACGGCATTGGCCAAGAAGGGTCTACGATGTACGACAATTCGAGTTTCAGCTCCCGGCGGCCAGCGACAGGCATCACCGACACATCGGCCATCAAGCGAGAGAGGGGCGTGATCAATGTGACGCTCGAGACGCAGATTGGGACTGACGACAGCACCCGCGGCCGCGCACGACAACGAGTGTCGCCGTCGTCCAGGACGGTGCGGACCACGGCCAGCGAAGATGACGATTATCGGAATGCCGAGTTCAGCCACGTTGATGAGAGCCACTGGGCGACGCCCAATGCCAACGGCAACCCGTCAGACGGATACTTCCCCATGCAAAGGCAGCAGCAAGGTGTGCCTTCGTATCCAACTCCAGCAACGCCATCCGGGCCATCGCAGCCATATCCATACACCGTGCACGGCGAGTCGAGCAGTAGTGTACCAGCGTACGAGGCACCGCCACCTCAGCTGCCGGACCAACGTGAACTCTCGGAAAAGGAACGCGTTCGTGAAGCAGAAACGAGGCTCCTCCCGAGCGCCCCGCCAGCTGGCCCCTCAGCAGATGGTCCTTCAGCTCCTCCGGCGGACGAGGATGAGGACGACATATACGATGCTGACGACACACCTCGGATGCCCCATGCAGGACCATCGTCGCCACTCTCCGAGATTGGACCTTCGGCGCCGACAGAGGACGATCTCACGGCCCTTCCCATCCACCCGCCCACGGAGGACAAGCAAGAAATGGAACGAAGACGCCTGTTGAACGAGGCCAGCGCGCCACCTGAGATGCCAGACGAGCTCACTCGCGCCTCGAGACGGGACACGGCGACCGTCGCGGGGCCGAGTGCGCCCGTCCTGAACGAAGAAGATGAGCACGATGCGCAGCCAGGGCCGTCGAGCAGGGGGCATCAGGAGCAGTTACCAGCGTATGAGCGCTGAGTCGCGACATGTGTGGTTGTGTGCCATACGTCACGAAGATCTACGAGGGGCAGGTTCATGCACGGCGTTGGGCGATTTTCCAGACATGGGTACATTTGTGTGTGCGTGTGTGTGTGTTCTACATTTGTGTTCTACATCTAGAGACAGCAGCAGCCATCTTCTATATATCTAACCTAGTGCTCAAGTACGACGGGCTTGCCTTGCTCCCAGTTGTCAAGGCTGTCCTGTATGTTGACCCAGTATCGCAATCGCACGGCTTCCTCCTTGGCGGCTTGAATGTCATCGCTCCCAAACGCCCTGTCCAGTTCCTCCTCGCTGTTCCTGATGCGCTCCTCGTTCTCGGTGCGTAGATCGACAAGGTCGTCCTCAGCCTCGGCCTCCTCGATGCTCTCGCGCGCCTCGAGGACCTCCATCAGCAGCTCCTGATTCTCCGTCTTGAGCGTCTCGTCGTTGGCGACGTCGACGCCCCGCAGACCGAGGAGGTACTGCGCGCGGTAGAGGGGGTTGGCGAGGGTGCGGTAGGCCTCGTTGATGACGGAGGAGATCTGCTCGGCCTGGGGCCGCGTCGCGGGCGGGTGCAGGTCTGGGTGGTGCTTGGCCTGGAGCGAGAGGAATTCCTTGCGGAGCGTGCGAAGGGGGATGGGGAAGCGGCCTGCGGGCGGTGGGCCGTCGGGGAGCGTCTGCGGGAAGAGAGAGTAGTGTGTGGGTTGTTGCTGGGCTGACGGAGACTGTGATCGCTGCGGCGCTTCGGACGAGAGGCTGTGAGGTGTCGTGGAGAAGGCAAAGGCGAAGGCGGCGCCTGTGAGGGCTGGACGTGGTGAGCAGGCTCTCGAGGTTGCTGCTGTCACGGCTGGGAGGATGGAGGCGCGCGGTGCGCTGTGGCAGCGGGTGCAGACGCGGCCCGCTATCCTGGTCGCAGTCGGTCGCATTGTGTGTGGTGTTTCGTGGCTGTTTGTCACGAGTAATGACTGACACTATGGGGATCTAGAGAGAAGTTACAACTTGAATGTCGTCGTGCTTCGATGTCCATGTCGGTCTCCGAGCGGCGAGAACCACGAAATTTATTGATGACGTAAAACGCCGACACACTGGCTCTACAGGGTAGCCAGATCAAGTGTCCGATCTGAACCCCGGCATTTCTGCACTCCGACTTGCGGAGGACTGGACCCTTTGGCCGACTGTCCAACTTGAGACTCAACCAATTGCTGCTCATTCAATTGATTTGGTCATTATTAGCCTTCTCCATGTTTCCCCAGCTTCGAATTTGCCCGTTCTGCCCAACGTTGGATCGACGACTCTTCAGATTGTGGACGAAGGCTGCTTCAGTCCTCGGAACACTACCAGACAGCACACAACAGCTTTCACACTGGGCCGCAATCTAGGCTGTGATCTGAGAATAGAGAAATTCATCTTATCCCACCACGCAAAGGAGTAGAGAACGGCGGGAATTGCCGCATCTGGGCGTCTGGGCATCTGGGGAGCTCCACACCTCGTCACCACAAAAGACGAAGTCAAACTCCCGCCGGGTCAATGGACGCCGAAGGCGCAGTAGTTCCGTCCATCATTTTGGGGTAGAATATCCCCATCGTTGGAGTTCTCTGATTCCATTCCAAGTCTCCCCATCAACTTCCTGGTCACAATGGCGAAGGTATTCGATGCGGCTGAGGGTAAGTCGACGGTCTCTGCTGTTCAAGCTGAATGACTTGATGAGCTGACTGGCGGCTCCAGTGGCCAAACACAACACCAGCGAGTCCTGCTGGGTCATCCTCTACGGCAACGTCTACGATGTGACCAAGTTCCTCCCAGAGCACCCAGGCGGCTCCAAGATCATCCTCTCGCTCGCGGGCAAGGATGCGACCGAGGAGTACGACCCCGTGCACCCACCAGGCACATTGGAGAGTGAGCTCCCGCCCGAGGCCAAGCTCGGCCGCGTGAACCCAGACTCCATCGTCAAGGAGAAGGACGAGAGCGTGCAGCAGGACCTGAAGGAGCAGCCTCAGGCGCTGCCCATGGAGGCGCTGCTGAACATGGACGACATTGAGGAGCAGGCGACCCGGCTCATCTCCAAAAAGGCGCACGCGTACTACTTCTCGGCTGGCGATGATATGCAGTCCAAGAGGTTCAACAACACAGTCTACCGGGACATCCTCCTGCGACCGCGCGTCTTTGTCGACTGCACAGCATGCGATATGCGCACCACGCTCCTCGGGCACAAGGTGGGACTGCCCATCTTCGTGGCCCCGGCGGCCATGGCACGTCTCGCGCATCCTGATGGGGAGAATGGCATCGCAAAGGCGGCCGCCCACTTCAACGCCATGCAGATTGTGTCGAACAATGCGTCCATGACGCCGGAGCAGGTCATTGAGGGGGCGCCGCCAGGGCAGTTGTTTGGCTGGCAGATCTACGTCCAAAATCAACGCGAGAAGTCAGAGGCCATGCTGCGGCGCATCAACAAGATGAGGGACCACTACAAATTCATCGTCCTCACGCTGGACGCGCCCGTCCCCGGGAAGCGCGAGCTGGACGAGAGGGGCAACCTGACCAACGGCATGAGCGTACAGAGCGGGAGCAACGAGAAGGGCGAGGGCGAGAAGCGGCCCGGAGGCGGCGGTGTTGGGCAGCAGCTCTTCTTCGGCACCGCGAGCGACCTGACGTGGCAGACCACGCTGCCCTGGCTCGCCAAGCACACTGACCTGCCCATCGTGCTCAAGGGTCTGCAGACGCACGAGGACGCGTACCTGGCGGCCAAGTACGCGCCTCAGGTGAAGGCTGTCATTCTCTCCAACCACGGAGGGCGCGCCCTCGACACGGCGCCGCCCGCCGTGCACACGCTGCTCGAAATCAGGAAATACTGCCCCGAGGTCTTTGGCAAGATCGAGGTCTGGGTAGACGGCGGCATCAAGCGTGGCACAGACGTGGTCAAGGCACTGTGTCTGGGCGCAAAGGCGGTCGGCGTCGGACGCAACGCTCTGTTTGGACTCGGCGCGGGCGGCCAGGCGGGCGTCGAGAGAATGTTTGAAAGTATGTGTTTCCCTTCATGGCATTGCGGGAAGACAATATACTGACAGCAGGTGTGATTAGTTCTGGAGGCTGAGACGGCCACGTGCATGCGTCTGCTGGGCGCAAAGAACATTTCTGAGCTGGGACCCAAGTTTGTAAGTTCCCTTTGGCTTTGTTGCCATGTTTCACGATCAGCTGCTGACATGTGTTTCTTTCCCAGATCAACACCCGCAAGGTTGAGCGCGACATATACGATGGCGAGCCGGGGCTGGACAAGCAGGGCCTGTGGGAACGCGCCAAGCTATAGCCGGGTTGAGGTTGGCTGTACGTATATAGAAATGCATGTTTGAATACACAAGCGATGGTAATTAGACGGCATCGATGTCACCAGGTCACCTGTGTTTGATGAAGCGAACGGAACCTGATGCAGCGCATTCATCGGCATCTTGCTGTACTAGTTTGTGTGGTCACTGGTCACCGACTCACCGCTGACAGTTCCACCGTCCTGACGCCGCCAGTCTATCCGTACAGTAAATTAGACTGGTGAGCCGCATCAGACTCAAGAGCAGAATGCTTCTTCTTTTCCACGGTCAGAAGGCTGTGGATGCCACGAAAAGAACAAGCATCACGTGTGCATCCAGCTATTGAAGCCGGGTGTGGTGCGCTGGGTGGCAACAGACGTCCAAAGCCTCGACCGCGGGATCCCCTCGAACCTGCACCAACAATCTTGGAGAGATGGTGCTCAAGCAGGGTTCATGCGTCGATGGCTGATCGTCCGGCGGGCTGCCGAGGACAGCTGCGGCTTGGCGCGTGGAGGCGTCGACGACGCGACACATGAATTCTCTGCTACTGTAGTCTGTAGACGATGCTGATATCTGAGCGCAGTGGGAGTCGAGAATTATTATTATACTCGCATTTCCAGTCTAGCCGCCCACCCCTGCTGGGACAAGACGGCGTTTCTTCTTCCAAGTTCAACATGGATTGATCTGATCCACTTGGACTCCATCGAGTCCATTCTCCGTGCCGGCCATCCGTCCGTCTCAGAGTCTCCCGAGTCTGAGATTCTCGCACAGCCTGGTCAGATGCGTGATACTCGCACCTCGAGAGGGCAGCAAGGTGCATTCGCAGCGAAGAATGTCGTAAGGGTCGTGTCATGACAAGTACGTGAGCGACGCCGCCTAGGCGCGAACGTGGACGGTGCACTCTCCCGGCCGAACTCTCAACAGATGGTGTGGGGAGCAGAGATCCAGCCTCCAGGAAGAGAGGGAGAAAATGAGACATCACCTCGGCTATGAATGAAATTCGCCTGCTCGCCTGGTCCCTTGGTTTGAGTGGGTGGCGCGGACAAATCGTCCTGTTCGAGGATGGGTACAAAAGTCAAATAAGCTTAAGCCGCTGCATCTTGATCGCACGCACAGCCTTGGTATCACGCTCTGCCCTCACTCGACCAGTCGTCTACCATACCCTAACTATACTTGGCCTGCAATCATGTGCGCAGTTCTATCACAAGCTACCGAGGAAGCAGGGGCAGCTGAAGTTGCTCCCGCATTGGCAGAGGCAGGGATCCTCGCCTCACCCGCACCCTCCATGATCCATGATCCATCTGCCTTCCCCAGATGCAGCTGTGGAGTCCAGGCAAAATGTCCCCTTTGGCGGCTGGCCTTTTGTGTGCAAAAGCTGGGGGAGGGCCGATTCCTCTGCAAGAATTGCACGCTTGGCGCCGGCCACTTGCCCCCTTTGGTGCCACACTCCCCCTTCTAGTTCCATCTTCAGGGTGTTCTCTTGGACTCTTCGTGGCCCAGCCCAGGCCCACTCGGCCGCCTCTTCGCTGGGCTGCTGGCAGGGATCCGCGCAGGCCAGAGGCGAAACAGCAAGTAATATGGCGAGACCTGGAGACCCTCAGAGCCAGACTGGGGAGCAAGATGAAGCTGCTGCACGGTACGCTCGGCCTGTTGGCCTACGGTGTACCTCCCACATACCTTGCGCATTCCAGCCCCTAGACCGACCGATGGGAGCCAGATGACACGCGTGGGGCATATGTACCTTATATTCCATCATGCGCATAATGAATAAGTACGTAAACTTGTCCACTCTAAAATCAGTCACCCCTGTGTCTGTCTCTCTCTCTCTCTCTCTCTCTCTTTCGCTTCTTGCCCTCGTGACACCGTCTATTTCTTTTCTTATACAAGGGCCATCGGGTGGGATCTCTGTCTGTGAGGTGAACCTTCGTCGCAGACCATATCGCCATCATGTCACTCAAGGACGAGACACAGACCCATCAAACCGCTGGTGGCGATGTCGTTCACAGACGGTCCAAGAGACGCAGGTGCGGCGCGCACTGCAAGAGGTTCTGGTGGGCGTACCTCATCGCGTTTGCCTGTGTTGTCGTGCTGGTCGTGTGCCTCGTGTAAGTCATCCCGCCCCTTGGTCCTCTCCACGTTTCGCTGATGGCCGCTACCCAGAATCTTTGTTGGCGTGCCCAACATTGCGCAGGACAAGCTCAACGAGGCCAAGCTGGAAATCCAGGGCGTCAATATCCTCAACACGGAGCCCAACAAGTTCCTCATGGAGGTCAACTCCACCATCACCACCGACGGCTCCATCCACGCCGACGTCGACGCGTTCACCGGGAGCATGTACCTCGAGGACCACGAGCCCCACGTGGCCTTTGCCATGCTCAACTTCCCCGAGACGTCGGCCGACAAGATGCAAGTCGTCAACATCAGCCAGGAGGTCAAGGTGGCCGACATGGACGCCTTTGTCCGCTTCAACGAGTGGTTTGTCGAGCGCGAGTCGCTGCGCCTCACCATTGAGGGCAAGACCAAGGTCAAGCCCGCCGGCCTCGACCGCAAGTACGACGTCACCTTTAAGAAGACGCTCGATGTCAAGGGCCTGAACCTCCTCAAGGGCACAGAGGTCTTGGTCGACTCGGCTGAGCTCTCGCTCAAGGTCGACGACAACAACAAGAACTTTTATGGCGAGGCCGACATTCCCAACCCCTCGCACTTCACCCTCGAAGTGGTACGTAGTCATGTCTCCTGGCCGGGCCGGCGCTTCCTCCTCTTCAGTGGTGTCTTTGCTAACGCAGCTCCAGGGCAATGCCGTCTTCCACCAGTACATTGGCGATGAGGAGCTCGGCCACCTGTTCATCGACGACCTCATCCTGTACCCCGGCAGCAACCTCGTCAACGTTTCGGCCAATCTTGAACAGGCCCGCGTGGTGTCCATCCTGCGCACCCCAGAGTACTGCAAGGACGGCATCATCCCCTTCAAGCTGCTCGCCGAGAACGTCACGCGCGACGGAAAAGACATTGAGTACTTTGCCAAGGGTCTCGCTGTGGCCAACCAGACTGTCGACATCAACATTGGTGCCATTATCGAGAAGAGCCTCGGCGCCAAGATTGGCTGCGCGGATTAGGGGGCCTGATGAGAGACGGACGGACGGACGGACGGATGGACGGGGGGAACTGGGTGTTGTGGGTGTTTGAATTTTCCTCCCTCACTTCTCGTTGGGGACCATGATACCTCGTCAAGCTTGCGGCATGTACAAATCTGTTGATGGACTGCTGGAATATACTCTTAATGATCTTCACCTCGAACAAACTTTCATTCTTCTTACCTGGGTATGCACATCAATCCCACCCACGTTTCCGACCTGCGCCCTTTGTCGTGATCCCGCCCACGTTGGAGGTATGGCCCTCCGTGGTTGTCGAGGTATTGCCCCCCGTGGTTGTCGAGGGCACAAAATCGACGCTCGTCCTATTCCCTGCCGCTTTGTCTGCCTCGCGCTCCCTCGTGATCTTCTCTTGGTTCTTCCGGAGCGTGCGCCTGTAGGCTTCCCGGGGAAATGCCTTGGGGTCCCACCACCCATCACGCAACGTCGTCTCGTACTGCTCCTTTCCCTCCACCCCGACGAAGCCCAGCAGCTTGTCCATCAAGCTTGGGTTCCTCAACGCCTCAGAGTTCTCCAGCTTCGCGTTGAAGTGCACACCCTGCTTCTTCAACAGGATGAACTGCTCAAATTTTTTGTTCGCGCCAGGGGGCGGTGAGCCTGGTGGCGACGCTTGGATGTCGACATTGGGTATGGATGGGAGGGTGAGGTCATGGATGATTGTGCGACTGGTGGTATATGGTGAGCCAGGCGCTTGTGACATGTCAATGGTCGGTTCCGGAGGTGATGGGTCGTCTGCTGGGGGGAGAGATGGGCCTGGAGCGGCTGAGGGTCCAGGTGCAGGACCAGCTAGTGGTTTTTCTTCAACTTTGCGTGATGATTCTTGAGATTGCGTCCCAGCATGGCGAGGCGCATTGCTTGGGGGTTCTGGCTCTGGCTATTCATGATCAGTTCAGGCCACTTGCCATCGCGAGGAGTGTCTTTGTCACCTGTATCACTGGGGTTCCATCTTCGTCATCGCTGCTCGCATATGCAACCAGTCCAGACATGTTTGAGTCGATTGATACGATAAAATCGATGAGTGAACGACCGGTCTGTCAGTGGGCTCAGGCTTCAAGGCTTGAGACTCAGATAAGTACGTACCGAAGTGGGGGGCTAGATTGGGACTAGCGTAAGATCCGCGGCGGATCAACCTCGGCCTTCCGAGAAGTTCGTCCTGCGTCGCTTGAATCCATCACGAGCCGCGTGGAAAGTTTCAGTATCCTCATCCATCTTTCCATCGGTCTCGTCTAACGCGTCATATACAATCGCTCTCGCCTTGTTGTGTACAGGCCTCCACTGCATCCAGGGGAATTGCAACCACCTTCAGCGCTGTTGCGCATCGCTCCGAGGAGCTACCAAGAAAGTGTACTGCTCACACTCAGCCAAAGCCGCGAGGTCCCATCACCAACCTGACGACCATGGCTAGGCCAAGAGACTCGCGCTCACCAAGTCCTGCAGGCAGCCACCAAAGCTCCTCCCGCCATCGTCACTCTCACCGCAGAGACGATGATCGACGTCGCCCACCGCGCTCGCGCAGCCCAGATGTGAGTCTCCGACCCCTTCAACACTCTTGGCGGATGCAGTCTGACCTTGCTATGCAGCATCGATACCGTGACCGCGAGCGAGACCGAGACCGCGACCGCAGAGATGACCGAGGGATGCGGGACAGCCGGAGGCCGGAGCGAGGTATCGATGGTAGGGGAGACGATGACTACTACCGCCGACGAGACAGGGACCGCGATCGTCGCAGATCGAGAGACAGATATACCGACGGCAGGTTAAGATCACCGGACCGGAGACCCGATCGCAGTCGCGACGATGGCAGAGATTACCGCAGGCGTCCCGACTCACCACCGCGAAGACGCGAAGAACCTGGCCGCGCGAGGCCCCCACCAGGGGAGAACGGGAGGTCTGATGCTGCTCAGGTATTTTCTCAGCAACACCTCTTGTCTGCGAACACTCTTAACCGCTTGCAGGCTCCCAAACCCGCGGCCCCAGCGCCCAAGACCGATGCCGACAAGAAAGCCGAACGATTGGCCAAGCTTGAGGCGTGGAAAAAGAAGAAGGAGAGTGAGGCGCAACAGCCAAAGGATGTGAACCCCAGCCAGACGCGGAATCTTCTGGCTGAGATGGATAAGAAGGCCACCGGCTCTCCATCTTCGTCAGCGGCCGCCTCCCCTGGCCCCGAATCAGCCACTGCGTCCCCTTCGACACCTGCCACCCCGTACGCTGGCAAATTCGACCCCAAGGCTATCGCGAAGCGCGCAGCGGCGCGATCAAATGAGATCTCGCAAACCGTCCTAGGCTCTGTCGAGGGCCAGCCGACAGCGCCCACCACAGCCACCGTGCCTGCTAAGAAACCCACCACTGCATCCGTCCTGCCGGCGAATCGCGCCAAGACTGGCGGTTTCGGCTTCGGCAAGGCATCCGCCGACGACAAGCTCCCTGCCAAACGGAAACTGGATCTGGACGAGGAGGAGACGTCGAAACGGAAGCTTACGAAACTTCCCGCGCTCCCGGTCGAAACAGACGATACCCCGTACGCAGACCAGGATGAGGACGATGAGTCGGATGGCGATGCCTTTGCTGAGAACGAGGAGGAAGCTGCTGCCGCCGCGCGCGCGGCGCATGAGAAGCGCATCCAGGAGGCCGAGGCGCAAGCCGGGGAGAAGATGGATACCGATGGCGGCGAGACAGCCGAGGGCGACGTGCAAATGAATGGGGTAGCGACGCAGGAAACCAAGCCATCGGAGCCCACGCCTGCGCCCAAAGCTGCTGCAGCGCCCGCTGAGAAAATGGAGGTGGACGAGGCGGACGATGTGGATCCTCTCGACGCTTTCATGGCGGACCTCACCGAGCCCGATGTCAGGAAACCAGCCCGGAACCATAGCAAGCTGCAAGAGCCAGAGACATACTTCAGCGACGATGAGTACGGCCTCCAAGCGGAGGAGGATGGCGGCGCGAAGAACTTCCTCGACAAGGTCAACAAGCGCAAGAAGAAGGAGATTCCTGTCACGGACTTTAGCAAGGTCGACATGAAGCCCATACGGAAGAACTTCTGGGTCGAGCCGTCCGAGCTCAGTGCGATGACAGAGGCCGAGGTCAACGACCTGCGCCTCGAGCTGGACGGCATCAAGGTCAACGGCAAGGACGTACCGAAGCCCGTGCAAAAGTGGGCGCAGTGTGGTCTCACGCAGCAGACGCTCGATGTCATCAGTGATCTGGGTTACGAGAAGCCTACGGCCATTCAGATGCAGGCCCTGCCGGCCATCATGTCCGGCCGGGATGTCATTGGTGTCGCAAAGACGGGTTCTGGAAAGACGGTGGCCTTCTTACTGCCCATGTTCCGCCATATCAAGGACCAGCCCCCCCTCAAGGACACGGATGGTCCCATTGGCCTGATCATGACCCCGACGCGAGAATTGGCTGTGCAGATCCACAGGGAGTGCAAGCCGTTCCTGAAGATCATGGGTCTCCGTGCCGTCTGTGCCTACGGTGGTGCCCCCATCAGGGACCAGATTGCTGAGCTCAAGCGCGGCGCTGAGATCGTCGTGTGCACGCCCGGCCGGATGATCGATCTTCTGGCTGCCAACCAAGGGCGCGTCACAAACTTACGGAGGGTATCCTACGTCGTCCTGGACGAAGCTGATCGCATGTTCGACATGGGTTTTGAGCCTCAGGTGATGAAGATCTTTGCCAACATGCGCCCCGACAAGCAGACGATCCTATTCTCGGCAACCATGCCTCGCATTGTAGACACGCTGACAAAGAAGGTGCTGAAAAGCCCTGTGGAGATCACGGTGGGCGGGCGCAGTGTCGTCGCCAAGGAGATTGAGCAGATTGTCGAGGTCCGCGAGGAGTCCACCAAATTCCATCGCGTACTCGAGCTGCTGGGCCAGCTGTACGAGAACGACGAGGACGCGCGGACGCTCATCTTCGTGGAGCGTCAGGAAAAGGCCGATGATTTGCTCAAGGAGTGCATGCAAAAGGGGTACCCCTGTATGTCCATCCACGGAGGCAAGGACCAAATCGACCGTGACTCGACCATTTCCGATTTCAAAAAGGGTGTCGTGCCCCTTCTAATCGCTACGTCTGTGGCGGCGCGTGGTCTGGATGTGAAGCAGCTCAAGCTGGTCATCAACTACGACGCGCCGAATCACTTGGAGGACTACGTACATCGTGCCGGGCGCACGGGCCGTGCCGGCAACACTGGTGTGGCCGTCACGTTTGTCACCCCTGAGCAGGAGAACTGCGCGCCCGGCATCGCCAAGGCGCTGGAGCAGAGCGGCCAGCCCGTCCCCAAAGATCTCGAGGAGATGCGCAAGGCGCATCGCGAGAAGGTCAAGTCTGGCAAGGCCAAGGACACCTCGGGCTTTGGTGGCAAGGGCCTCGACCGCCTGGACCAGGAGCGTGAGGCCGCTCGCATGCGCGAGCGCAAGACGCACAAGGCGGACGGCGAGGACGTGGTGGAGGAGGAGAAGGACGACAGCAAGAAGAAGGAGGAGGACGACGCCAAGGTGGAAAAGGCACTGGACGCGATCAAGAACGCGACGTCTACTGTCACAGCCCGCACCATGGAGGAAGACAACATGCCGACGCCCGTCATCCACAAGGGCCCTGCGCCGGGCAGCGACAAGGCCAAGAATCCCCTCGACAAGGTCAGCTCCGCGGTCAGCGCCATCAACTCCCGTCTCGGGAAAGCAGGGCAGCTTCGTGCCGGCCAGCCGATTGACAACAAGGGACCCGACGCGGGCGCCTTCCACGCGACCCTGGAGATCAACGACTTTCCGCAGAAAGCCCGCTGGGCCGTCACCAACCGCACCAACGTGGCTAAGATCCTCGAGGCGACGGGGACGAGCATCACGACCAAAGGGAATTTCTACCCACCTGGAAAGGAAGTGCCGGCTGGCGCCGAGCCCAAGCTGTACATTCTCATTGAGGGTGATACTGAGGTGGTGGTGAGCTCGGCCCTCAGCGAGCTGACCAGACTGCTCCGAGAGGGCACCATTGCGGCAGCTGACGCGGAGGGCCGGACTGGTGCTACGGGGAGATACACTGTTACGTAGAGGACATACTACTAGCAGTCTAGAGGGCTGGTCTAGGTGTTCGTATCGCAGTCGTCGTGTACACATACTTCATCCTAGGGCGTTAGTGGAAAGGTTCAAGGCAAAGTCGATGTCGAGCTTACTTGTGTTGAGAACGAGCTACAAGGATTTTGGTTAATTTAATCCCTCTGTTTATCCTTTGCATCACTGAAGTTACGTGCCTCCGTCATGAAGAGGAAGGAATCTACGGAGCTATGGACTTGCGGAGATCTCGGCCTACAATTCAAACTGATGACATGTATTCAAGCTTGCCAAGTCCAACGTCCTTTCACAGCTTCATCGTCGGGATCCACCGGTGGAGGCCACGCAACCAGGTCCCCGGTCGGTCGTCGTATCGCACACGGTAACACACTGTGCCACATTGAGGCGTAAGCGCGGTGTCACCACGTTGGAGAAGAGGGTCCAGACAGTGCGACCCCGACGGCTTTGCCCAGACCTCCAACCTCACCTCATCACGACCAACACGGACGGCTTCGTAAGAGTCGGCTCAGTCCCTTTCACCGCATTGCACAATATCGATCAGCCGGTTATTCATCATCATGGGAAACATCTGTGGCAAGGAAAAGTCCGACAACTTCACTAGTCCTGGTCGGACAGTAGGCACAGCTCCTCCCCAGAACGCCGCGCCCAAGGCATCCGTGCCAAAGAAGGCGGCCAAGGTCACTGGCCCGGGCAGAACGCTGGGTGGAAGCGTCGGCAGCGGTAGCACGCCTTCTACTGAGGGACAACAGACGCCAGAAGAGGCGCGACGGCGAGCGGCAGAAGCTGCAGAGGTATGTACTTCGACTTCCGCCCCGGCGCTACGCTTGCCCTCCCTGGTCGGCCGAGAGAGCTGATTTGAGTTTTTTTTTTTCGCTTCCTAGGCACGTGCTGCTGGCGCGAGTAGGGGCGGCAAGCTTCAGGCACAGCTCGACGCACAGAAGAAGCAGTCGAGGACTGACGCCTTGAAGGAGGCTAGCAAGCAGGAGCTTGCTCGTCGGGAAGCAGATGATGCGACCCAAGCCAAGAACTGGGACTGACGGGGCCTCGACCTACCTGGGGCCTTAGTCAGAGAGCTTGAATCGGGTGAGATTGGTGGCCAGGTCTCACCAACAGCAAGGCGTTCGGAGCGTATGGGTTTTCAGTTTGACAAGTTTCTTGTTAGTAAGGGATGACACGCGACAGTCCGAGGCTATAGCACACTATAGAAATAGCACCAGTTCGTGGTGCCCTGAACAAGGCTGCACTACTAGCAATCACTGCTGCGTTTACTTCCCGTAGCTTTTATGCTTAATATGATTCGAAAACTAATTGCAACGCCGTTGCGCGTCTTCCTATGCCACGTACGTACGGCTTCAAACTGAACTAGGTGAAGTGGGACGCCTGCGTCTGCGTATTGCAACGCGACATGTCTTTAGTTCCTGAACTCTCTTTGCGATATCTCTTTGCATGATTCGTTCACATGAACCAGAGTTTGCTAATTTCTCTCATTTCGCACAGCGTAGCCTCGTAGGCCTCGTCCACTATCCCGCGTAATACACTCTAAGAAAGGCTGTTGAACCTTTGGTGCAAAGGTATTGAACGCGAGCGCAGTCGCAAATCGCCCGCAACGGCAACAGCCGTATAGCTACTGCCACGGCAAGGATGCACCGGAAGCCGCTGTGCAACTAAGATTATTTGCCTTCATCAACAACTAATAGCTTGGCCTGGCGTTTTCGTATTTGCGTGTACTAATTTGCGCGTGTAGGGTAAATGGTCGCAGACTATGAGCCTAGTCTAGCCCAGCCTAGCCAAGCCCCGCCCCTCCATCCCACCACCTGCCAGTGCAGTGCTCCGATATCCAGATGTCCATCAAGGTTCACGATCAAGACCCACGCAAAACCCGATGCAAGTTCACTCTCTGCCAAATTTGCCCTGGGTGGTACTTGCTTTGAGCGCGTGCCCACGCCGCCAGGCACCTCACAATCACCAATCCCCGGACCTGCCAGTCATACTGGAGATTATTACATGTACCTCGCAGTGTCTGGTGTGTTCAGTAATGGCCCTCGGAAAGAACAAAGCCTGCCAATCGCCCGTCCTGATCTCTTGCCTGGATTCGTTTCACCACCGGATGTTCCGCGATGAAGTCGGCGTTCCTCACGACTATGTCCCGCACCTCTTCGCCATAATCACACCCATTGTACGGCCCAACCTCTCTGAGCGACACCCATCGACACATCCTTTGCGCGCCATCAAGTGGACTCTCGCGAAAGAGGCTTCATGTCCATCCAAAGCGCCTCACCACCGCGAGCCCCTCATCACCGGGTTCGACAGGTGACATCCGCAATATAAGTCAGGGCAGACACGCGACCATGGCGTACCAGCACAATAATGGACCTGACTGGGATGCGCTGCCGTATGCAGCCGATGAATGGTCCCAGTACATGGACATGCCACCGCCGTCGCCATCGCAGGAAGTCCCAGCGCTACAGTCCTTCTCAGCAGACCTCTTAGCACAATGGGCGGACAGCGAGTTCGAGGTGCCAACCGCCACGGCGTCCGCGGTGACGAACCAGCCACCGAGTCGGAAACGATCTGCGGACAACTCGCCCGACCTCTGTCCTCTGTCACCGAGGTCTGGAAAGCGGCGCGGCTTTCCGAGTCAACAACAGCCGAACCAAAGATTCGGCCATCAAGCGCAAGCCTCTACAAGCTCATCAGCTGCTGATACCCATATGACCTTTGGATCGGGCGACAACGGGGGCTATGACAAGGCTGACGTAGCCTCACAATGCTCGTCGTGCCCTTCTTGTGCGGCCCCATGCGATGACGCCTGCGATGCCCAACCCTGCGACGAAACCTGCGAGACGGAGCCGTGTACGGACACTTGCTTCGTTGAGCCCTGCCCTCCCGACTGTGCCGTGTCATCTCCGCCTTGCAACAGTCCTGAATGTGACAAAGATGATACCTGTGCAAATGAAGCCTGTCTTCAGAGTGGTCTGCCTTCGCGATGTATCCCCGAGGCCGTCGCCGCCGAGGCCTTGACGTCCTTTGCGGACATGGATGCCTTCAGTTTCGACCTGACAGCTGGCGCAGGGGCTTTCCCAAATTATCAAAACGCGCAAGAGTACGACTGGAGCATGGGGCCGCAGGCACAGGCCCATTTGCGTTTGCCACCACCGCAGCAGCAGCACCAGCAACAACACCAACAACAGGGGCCTAGCCACTCCATGATTATCAACAACAACGCACCTTTCGACTTCAACGCCTTCCTCAACCCCGCCCCCAACGTTCCACAGGCATATGACCATGGATTTTTCAACCACTTGCATGAATACCATTGGGATCACCAGAACCATAGCCACCAGCATGGCCATGGTGGCGGCCAACACCAGAACCACCCTTGCCCTATCGACAGCTCGACCACAGTCGAGTCGACCTGCAGGTTGCCTGTCACAGCCAACACCTACATGCCTATGGCAGGAGGGTTGGGGCAACAGCCACCTTTTCAGTACTGCGGCTACGCGTCGCATAACGCTGCTGCGTACGCTGACCACGTTCTGACTGCTCATACAGACCTGCTTCGCCAGTGGCCATTGTTTAGCCAGCAAAACCCCTCCAATAGCACCTACATCAACAACTACCATTACATGCAGAACCAGAACAACATCATAGGCAGCCAGCAAGACATGAATCAGCAGGAATGGCAGCAGCCTATGGCACCGCAAGAGCTGCGCATGGGCTCCGCCCCCGTGTCTTCATCTACAGCCGCGTCTGTTCCTCAAAGTCCCCAAGGGGAGCAGAGTACTCCGAGCACGCCGCCGTCGCTGGAGATGACCGACGCAGCGAGCGATAGCGCTGCGGCACAAGTAAAGCAGCCCAAGGAGTCACAGCTTCTTGACTGTTCCAATGCATACAAATGCTTCTGGAAAGACCCTAGCACCGGGCATATCTGTCAGCTGAACTTTGACTCTGCGGATGATCTGGATGCGCACAGCAGGTCGCAGCATGTCAAGATTCTGGAGCGCTGCGACTCTGCCAACCCAAAGGACGTTGACAGACACGGACAACCCAAGCGTGGCTACAAGTGCATGTGGCTTGGCTGCAAGCGGGAAGGGGATATCTTTTCCACACGGGCCAAGCTGTCTCGACATTTGCAGACACATACGGGATGTGAGTCAACGTCGAGTGTATATCCATCTGCATGCGCATGCGGCTAATCATTGAGTAGTTAAGCCTATGGAATGTCCATATTGTGGAATGCGTCTTTCTGCCAAGCAGGCACTCGATCAGCATGTCCGCACCCACACCAACGAGCATCCATACAAATGCCATTTCCCAAAATGCTCCAAAGCATTCAAGCAGCACAGTGCCCTGAGTACGTTCTTCCATAGAGGCCATGTTATTATTCCACATACTGATACTTCCTAGCGATGCACTTGCGAACTCATACTGGTGTGAAGCCCCTACAATGTGATATCTGCCTCGCCACGTTCACCGAGTCGTCCAATCTCAGCAAACACAGGCGAACCCATAATGAACATGGTGACTTTATGTGCAGAATATGCGGCAAGGGGTTTCATCGCCTGGATCAACTGCGACGTCATCTGCATGCGAACCACAACGACCAGCCAGAGGTTGTCAAGCAGAATCTGGACGCGGTGATACATTTGAAGAAGAAGCCTCCTCAGTTCAGCTCGCAAACGCCGACCTCGATAAAATCGGAAGCGGCTCCTGACGAAGAGCTTTCAGCATGAGCAAGGAAGGGTGTGGACCTTTACAGGAGAAAGGTCTTGGGGTGCACGCGACGCCCATTTCAAAAGTTTTGTGTTTTTACTAATTTGCATGAGAGACTGGTGAGTTGAGCAGTGGTGTTACGGAGTTCAAAAAGTAAAGAAGGGTCGCTTGTGGCGTGGCGGCCGAGGTTGTAATGAAGAGCCTTCTGGGGGAGGCTTTGAGCATCTTGCCATACACTATATCTGGCAGGAGGCTTGGATGGACTCGAGCGGCCACAGGGTGTATTAACTAATGAGACGACGGATGAGATACCATAGACGAAGATAATTCTCACGAGGCAACAAGAAACAGCATGTATCACGAGCAATGGGCACGCAATGGTGATCGTGACCTCATTTATTTTTTCTTTCGGTGAAAGCAGACCATGCTCTTGTAGTCCACCCACCGTGGACGCAACCTATCCCGGCCCAACGAGGCGCAAGGCCGGGACTGGACAATGTACAAGCCGAACCAAGAGCGAGGAACTCCTCTGCTAGTCTCCAACCTGCCTCGAGATTGCGTCCGTCAGATCAAAAGAGAATAAAAAGCACGCGCCATGCCAGACCCCATGCCGGTAAATAAACCCTTTTCTACCCGATTTCGTTTGATCGTCCAGCCGTCACTCCAGGAACTGCAAATGATGTGTGGGATATTTAGGCGGCCTGAGACGAGAAAGGTCAGCGGAGGGGGCACCCAGATGTACGGGGATGGTGAAGACAAACCTTGACGGCGAACTTGCGCTGGGGGAAGTGCGACTGGCGCTTCTTGGTCTTCGCCAGCACGCGGGCCTTGTCCTCGGGTGATAGCCTCCTGCGGATGGCGCGGGTCTGCTTGGGGCGGAGGTCCAGGGGAGCGTACTTCTTGTTCTTGTAGAACAGGCGAAGCTGGGACCTTTGCTTGGCGTTGATGACGGTCAGGACACGGGCGATCGACTTGCGGATGTCGTGGCTGAGGCCAATGTCAGTACGCGTGAACACAAGAAAAAAGTTTGGGCCTTTGGCCGGCTGCGGAGGGGCACTCACATCTTGCTGAACTTGCTGCCAGACGAAGCGACCTGCTGGACGCGGAGCTGACCGAGCTCAGTCTTGAGCTCGCCGAGCTGCTTGAGCAGGTCGTCCTTGGACTTGTCCCAGAGCTGGGTAGACTTGACCTTGCCAGACGACTATCCAATTGTCAGCATTTCCGTCTTGGAACGAAAAGTCCTGCGAACACGCGACACAAAAGCCACTGGGAGACGAATCGATCGTGGGAGTCCAGCACCAGGGAGTTCCCCTTCCTCCCTATCGATCCTGGCCGTGTCGATGATTGATCCCGCAACAGTGCACGCTATCCCTCCTCTATCCCATGACATCTCCAATCGATCGATCGCCTCCAGCGACATGGGGAAAAAGAATATCGTCTTGTTCGCAGGCGAGGCATTGAAAGGGCCGTTACTCACCATCTTGAATACCTTCGATGGGGAGTTGCGAAGTGTGTCGACGTGGGGTGTAGTATTGGATTGGGCGTATCGTGATGTTGGCAACGTCGAGCCTTTCGGGAGGTGAAGGGGCACGGAAAAGTTGCCCAACCCTAAGTGTGCGGGCGAATTTTGCAGTGGATTTTGATTGGACAGCCCCATTTGTGTGTTGGCAGAAAAACGGTATCCGCTGTGGCTGGTGATGCAGGGTGTGGCGCAGGTCATGGCCGGTGGGTACGTACTCTAAGGTGGGTAAGGCGCAGGCGCAGGTGACGCCCGGGCCTTTGTCGTCGGATATGATACAATGTACGTGCCAACAGGGTGAAGCCGAACTAGATACTATCCCATCAACACAGAATAACCACCACCACCATGTCTGCGCCGACGGGCAACGCGGGCTGGACGCAGCTTCGGCAGCAAGCGCGGAACCTAGAGACCCAGGTTTGTGAAGCCCTGTATCCGACCTACTGAGCTCTTGACACTGACCGGGACAGACACAAAGCCACTTCCATACGTATTCGCAGTTCGCCAGCACGGCCGACATCCCGAAGAAGCCATCGCCAGAGGAGATTGAGACCGAGAATAAGATTGAGGAATTGCTAGAAAAGGTGCGCCTCCCCACGACCGGGCGACCCCCTGACGGTTGCTCGCGCCAAGCTCTCAGTAACTGACCATGCACCAGCGCGACGGCATCATCACCCAGCTCGCTCGCCTTCTGGACTCGGAAGCCGCCCTCACCTCCTCTGCCGTCAAGCAGAACAACCTCTCCCTTCTCAGAGAGAACCTCGCCAACCACCGCCGCGATCTTACGCGCTTGCGCTCCAACCTAAAGGAGGCGCGCGACCGATCGAATTTACTCGGCAGCGTACGCGATGATATCAAGGAGTACCGTGCCAACAACCCCGAGGCGGCCGAGGCGGAGTACATGGCGGACGAGGGGCGCCACATTGACCGCAGCCACGAGATGACGGACAACATTATCAGCCAGGCGTATGCTATCCAGGATAGCTTCCTGTCGCAGGGCGAGACCATGGCCAGCATCAATAGGAGGATCAACATGGCTGCCAGCAAGATTCCCGGCATCAACACCCTCATGACCAGAATCTCGGCCAAAAAACGGAGAGACGGCATCATCATGGGCACGTTTATCGCTTTCTGTTTCATCTTGTTCTTCTTCCTCTCGTGACGGGGGGAAATGCGTAACAGGGTCTCTATTATCTTGCATGGGCGAAGGCGTTCAGGGACGGGGGTTATCAGCGTATTTCAATTGTACAATAATAATATGACACAGTCAGAGCTGGGCGACAAGGTGTTCCGCTAAGCCCGTCTTCTTCATCGCCTGCTTGCGTCCATCATCACAGATCCAGCGTTCCCGATCGCAAGTGCTGTCTGCTGTGGGCCTCCCTCGCCGTCGCTGGCTTGTAGTTGGCCCGCCTGACTTCTTCCGCCATCCTGACCAGACCCCTGTTGAGCCCTTCGAGTTCATCTGGATGGGCCGTTCCGCTACCCGCCCAGCGTATGCGGCAGTTCTGGTCGACGAGGAACGTGTAGCCAACCTTGCTGTTCAGCAGACCAATGTGCTCCCTGATAGCATCCGACAGGCCCCTCTGCACGAGGAAGTACTTGTCCCAGTCCCGTTCGGGGAACTTCTTTCGCAGGGAGCCCATGAACCACTTGACCAGCATGGCTTTGGCTCGGTTGTCCTCGTAGTTGAGATAGACCATTTGCGCCACGTCTTGGTTGTGCGTGACGGCCTCGTGCAACCCCGGGTTGGCGTCCGATGACACGAAGCTTTGTATTTGTGTTTCGGCCCACTGACTGCTGAAGACGGACACGACAGAGGCCTTGCCCGTCAGGACAGGGGTCGTGTCGGTCGGCTGGGAGCCTTTGACGAGCGTTTGTCCGTAAAAGTTGGGAAAGTAAAGCGAGAGCTCCGCCTTGAAGAGTCGTGGCGGCGAGATGAAGGATTTGCCCTCGTGGAATTTCAAGTTGCCCCAGTCGCGAAAGTACGGTTTCGACATTTGCGCCGTGCTAGACATGGTCAGTCCTACCGTTGCAGCAGTAGATGCGCGCAGAGGTTCTATGGACTTACAGCTCCTTTCTTCGCGCCAGATGCTTGTCATAATCCACAAAGTCGTCTCTCCTTTGCCTGATTGATCGGCTATCCACGCCCGTGTTCTCGCCTGCTTGCGGCGGGTTGGGCAGCCCTATCGGCCGAGGCAGTGGCTTGGGCGTGAAACCTTCATCAATGCGTTTGCCATAGCTTCGTGGCGCGACAATCTCGGGACCCTTGATCTGCTCCTTGGGATTGGGATCAGCGCCGGCAGCTGGTTTGACTGCTCGATGAGTCGAGGTGGTGAATTGTCGAGACCGGCAGACGGAACACGGAAGAGGCTGTTGGCGGGGCAGACGACCAAGCGCCCGAGCCAAAGGACGGGCAGACATGATGCTGGATATGGCGGATAGCTGACCGTCGCGAGCGAGTCCAGCAGCCAAGACGGCGGTCGACGTTGAAAATCTTGGGCTGGCTTGACGCGCCTCCAGGGGACTGGACTGGGGTAAGTCCTAAATCGGCCTAGTGTCACTGTGGTGGGGGTCTCCAGTGACGCTTCGGCTAGACGCGGGGCTGGGCATCACCAGTCTCAATGCCGACTCAACCCTTCGGCTCAAGAGGAACCACGGCTGCCCGCCTCTTCGGATGTAATTATTGAATTTGTTTCTGTACCAATGCTTTGATTCTCTTCTTTCTTCTTTCCACCACCTCACATTTATATTCAGCGCCCTGCAGAGAGCTCACCATGTTTCTGCAACGAGGATCTCGAGCGCTGTCGCGGCAATGGCAGACGTCCAAGGCCGTTGGAAAGGTCATGGCGGGACACCAGCAAGCATGCCCCGCCAGGTGGTTTCACGAGTCGAGAAGGGTGATGGCCATCAAGGCAGTGCCTCTGGCGGATATTGGTGAAGGTGAGTTTGTCGTTGCTCTTATCAAGCGTGAACCGAGCTAACACGTCCCAGGCATCGTCGAATGTGAGGTCATCCAGTGGTTCGTTGAGCCTGGCGCTACTGTCGAGGAGTTCTCCCCCCTGTGCGAAGTCCAGAGCGACAAGGCGTCGGTCGAAATCACAAGTCGTTTCCCAGGCACAGTCAAGAAGCTGTACTACGAGGCTGGCGACATGGCCAAGGTGGGCAAGCCCTTCATCGAGATTGACACGGCCGACGATGCAGCTCCCGAAGCTGTCGAGCCTGCCACGACACCGAGCGAGGGCGCAAAGGAAGTCGAAGCACCATCAGCGCCAGCACCACCAAAGCCTGTCGAGAACACATCCCCAGAAGTCCCACGAGTCGATGATCCGCCGGCGCAGACACAACCCAAGGTCAAGGGCAAGTGTGCAGCCCTGGCCACGCCCGCAGTCCGACATCTTAGCAAGGAGCTGAAGATCGACATCACTGATATCGACGGCACTGGCAAAGATGGGAGGGTGCTTAAGGAGGACATCTACAAGTTCGTCAAGGCCAGGGACAGCGCGCCCCCTGCTGCGCCCGCACAGTCGGCGACCACCCCAGCACCTTCATCATCAGACACATCGGTGCAGACCGAGACATCAGTCCCCCTCACCAACATCCAAAACCAAATGTTCAAGAGCATGACTCGCTCACTGAACATTCCTCATTTCCTCTATACGGATGAGATTGACTTCTCGTCCCTTGTCGAGCTGCGCGCTCGCCTGAACAAGGTCCTGGCCAAGTCGCCAGCTGTTGAGGGTCAGTCCGGCAAGCTCTCCTACCTCCCCTTCATCATCAAAGCCGTGTCACTGGCTCTCTACCAATTCCCCATCCTCAACGCCCGCGTGGACGTGGATGCCACGACGGGGAAACCCAGCCTCATCCACCGCTCGCAGCACAATATTGGCGTCGCCATGGACACGCCCCAGGGACTGCTCGTGCCCGTCATCAAGAACGTGGCCTCGATGAACATCCTCTCCATCGCTGCCGAGCTCACCCGGCTGCAGACCCTGGCACAACAGGGCAAGCTTTCTCCCAAGGATCTCACGGGCGGCACCATCACCGTCTCGAACATTGGCAACATTGGTGGGACCTACCTGAGCCCTGTGATCGTGGACAAGGAGGTGGCCATAGTGGGCATTGGACGGATGAGGACGGTGCCGGCCTTTGACGGGAACGACAATGTGGTCAAGAAGCAAGTAACAAACTTCAGCTGGAGTGCAGATCACAGGGTCGTGGATGGCGCGACGATGGCCAGGGCGGCCGATGTGGTGAGGAGCGTGGTCGAAGAGCCTGATGTTATGGTGATGCATCTTAGATAGAAGGCTTTGACGTTAGAAATGCACTAGACAACCTGCATAGCAATCAAGTGGTACAAGAGAATTAGTCAAATTCCCCAACTTCTCGGTTATTGGTGCTATGCGGCGATGCCCCTTCAAATGGTGATGATCCAACCAACGCCTGACTTGGTGAAGACGTTCCCTTACAAGTGATCCTTCCAGAAGATGTCCTATTCCTATTCCTGCCCAAAGGGGGGACATGTCCGACTACGGCCCTCAATCCAAACGCTAAACGCCTCATGCTGTCCTTATCGTATCGAAATGTACCAGGTCATTGCTGCTCCTCCTCCACCTCGTCGTCGCCCATCACCTTGACGACCCTGTGGAGCGCATCTCCCTTGACCTCCTCGAGCGTCCGGCTGACATCCACTTTGATGACGTCCTTCTCATCCTCCCCGGGTCTCTCGAGGATGTCGAACTGGCTGTGCACCATGTTGGCGCCCATGTAGTGACCCTTGCGCTGGGCTACGCGCTGCAAGAGAGTCTCTTCTGACGCATCGAGGTAAATGAAGTGGATGAGAAGGGACGGATCGTAGTAGGCGGCTACGCGGATGACGTCGCGGTATTTGCGCTTCAAGGCTGAGCAGGTGAGCACGACACCTTCTGAGCCCGAGGAGATGAGACGAGTCGACTCTTCGCGCAGAACGGTCAGCCAGTCCCAACGGTCGGCGTCGGTGAGGGGTGTGCCGTTGGCCATCTTCTCAATGTTGGCAGGCGGGTGGAACTAAGTTGCAGTCATTAGAAGGGGAATTTTCTATAAATCTGGCAGAGTAGTACAACGGTAACTTACAGAGTCGCCTTCTATGTAGGGTAGGCTAAGCGCCTGGGAGAGATGCTCGGCTACTGTCGACTTGCCGCACCCTGCAGGGCCAGTGACCAGCCAAATGTGGTGATGCTGGTAGGTCTGCGCGCGGCCGCCGGCAGTCGTTGGCGCAGCGGCCTGGCCGGAAAGCGTGGTCATGGCCGCAGTGTCCTTTTGGCCCTGAGCAGCGGGCATCGGAGCGTCGTAGGAGAGCATGGTTGATCTCGGCGTTCCAATCGAAGCCGAGGTGCGTGTATAATAGCCTTATATAGAATGCGAGGGTGATGGAGAGGTGCGGCGCATGTGTGTACAGCAAACACCAGAGGTCGTGTGAGCGATGACGCTATTGTACGTCTGGGATCACGGCTGTCTGCCCGCCCAATTTCTAGCACCAGTGGCCACAAACTTGCCAAGTCGGAGCTGAATGGAGGATAAATTGGTTAATATATCTTCGCAATCTGCGTGTGTCGTGCGCGAGAAGGATTGCGGGAGGATGATGTTAGGTGAAGTAGAGTTGTTGGTGAAGCAGTGTCTGGCTGTTGAGGGTGTGAAGGTCCAGGGTCGCATTCAAAGGCGTCAGCGAATCAATGATTACAGCAAGTCACAAGACTAATGAGTTGAAACGGAGGAGAGCGGGCAAGCCTCTTAAATATAATTGTCCCAAGTGCCTTTTTAGCCCGTCGGCAGCGTGGGACTGGACTGGAGCGTGGCTCGGCGGACATGGGGCGTCCAGGCAGGCCCCCATCGTCATAGGTACTTACAGTACTGGCCAAAAGGGGGGGATGGATACCGTAAAGTTTGAAGAGAAAATCAGGGCGGGATGCTCACCGACTCGCATCCCTAATTCGGCGCTTCTAGAAAAGAAAATGTCATGGCGCCGCCAGACTCCAGTCCGTCGGTCTCAATTGCGGGGCGCTGAAATAAGGGGAACGTCAATGGGGGTACTGTTACTCTGTTTCGCACGTCAACTCTTGATCATCGCGATTGTATGATCTCCTCGATACATCAGTATTCTGACGAGATTTCCGAGTGGCTGTGTTGTTCGCGCATGACCTGCGCTTGACTTGAAGCAGCGGCTTCAGCCTCAACAAACGGTGCCTGGCTCACAGTTCACTCGCTTGCGAGTTGCGAGCCAGCCAGACGCGGCTTTCCCCAGACAGACCACGAGGGATGCACGACGTGCTCCGCACCACTGCAGGTCAACCTCGCCAAAATGCAGCGGCCCGTCATGGTAGGGTAGGTCGTCAAGATCATCATGATTTGCCCGAGATCCAGGCCATTGGGACGACAAGGTATTTAGGACCAGCGATGCTTGTGTTGAGCCTCGCGTGCACTGCCAGGCACTGATCTCCAACATCAACGTGCAAACAGCCGCCTGGTGACCAAACAATCCCGTCCTCAAACGTCGGGGTGTCAGACACCCACGGGCCCCTGCTGCTGCATTGATTTTTAGGCGCATGTGCCCCGCGGCCATCGGCACCTTGGGATTGGGTCACACTGGGCTCTCCCTTCAGGCATGACCTCTGCTCATGCCTCATGCAGTGATACATTCCAGCCAGCACACGAACTGCACGTTGGATCGCTTTCGGTTTGCGATACCTCTTGTGCTTGGGCTTGTATAAGTAACCACATCAGTGTGATAATGCGCGCACAGGTGATCGAGCGGACGACTGGAACTTGAGCGGAGTTTCCTGTTGCTGTTAGTGGCCTTTTTCACATCCCACGCTCAGCGTGGGGGTTCGCTGATCGCCTGAGCTACGGCAGGGACGCTAGCCGCAGCAGTGGGCGCCAGATCGCTTGATACGGTAAGCGCCGGCGAAGTCGGCCTGTGGAAGACGGCTTCAATAAGTACGATTCCAGTTCAGCAACTGAATAAGAACCACGTATTCCTCGTAAAGCATGCCTTGAGAGATGTCTGTCGGCAACTTACCTTCGCTGGTTCGAGCTTGCAGAACTATCAGATACTTCTGAGTCTGGTCGCGATCATGAGGCACCGTAGTTGAAAGTAACTCCCGGAAAGCCATCCGGCACGCAGACTGACATGGAAGGTACGTAAGTACGTAACCAGCCAATTAATGTCCGTCGGGGAGGTTCCCCGATGACCCGCACCATTTTCAGCGTGACTCGATGCTGTGTTTTTTTGAACACGAGGGCCCAAAAGGCACTTGAAGAGTGTATTGTAATTATAACTACACTGATGCATTTCAAGATAATCAAAAGCAGACGTGCCGGCTGCCCGCCGATACGAAGCTGGGTGAGATATAATATTGGCACTGTCAGCCCCCGAATGAACTTTTTCTTCCGGCAAGTGATGAGTGGTAGATAGATCACCATCCACACTTACATTGACAGCGTATGATTATATGATAATAAATTGTCGGCGCTCTTTCTTTTGATCTGATTCAGCCTATTGGGCATCATCATCTCATGACTTACATAGAGTCTTCACAGGACTGGACGCAACACGTCACGGGTAAATCTCATCTGCGCCATTTGCAAGCCGGATAAACGTATCGGGCATTCATATCCCACCAACCCAAGTGGCTTTGTGAGTAAGACTTACTCAAAAGGACACCCAGTACGCCGTTTGTAGAAGAATGTACTTCGTCCTCTGCAAGATCGTACCTTGTCTGAATGCTGACTGCATTTGGCCAGTCAAATCGAGCGCCGACATGGAGGCACAGTTTCTATTCGTTGCGCAGAGCTCTGAGGCCTACCAACACCAGATTCACTCACGGTTGTTCCTAACAACTTGAGGAATATGAAACCCCACGTGAGGTGACTGCACGCACTGAACAAAAGGCCTTTGGAGCTTGAGCTTCTATGAGCCGCTTTGAGCCGTCTCCGGGTGCTAGTGGTCAAAGGTTCCCCGCCTCAGGCAGACAGATGGCCTGAGCTGTTAGTGATTCCGCCCGTTACCTGCAGTTGGCACTAACACCCCGCCGCAGGTCTAGGCATCGGGGGAAGCCACCTAGCTGCAGCTAATGGGGCGTCACTTGCCAGCCTCCAGTTGCTGACTGCTGACTGCTGCCCATGAGGTGGTGCTGCATTCATCGGATCTCAAACCGGCCTCATGTCGCTCCTTTCGTCCCCTTCGTTACTCCTCAGGAGACTGCCCATCTCAATCAGACACGCGGCAATACGACCCTCTTTACAACCACGCCGCGTTACCCCTAGGTTCTCCAAACCTATTCTCACTCAGCATCAAAGATTTTCATCCACCATGGAGGCCCAAGAACTCACCCACTATCTCGCCGATCAGCCGCCCACTGTCGTGAGGCTTGAGATTGAGAAGCACTTTGAGGCTCTCAACGACAAGCAGAAGCGATACGCTCACTTCATCAGCAAGTATGCACAACTGAGCTGCCTTCTCTCACCATTCTCACACACGGTCATGACGCTAACCCACCTGCCCGCAGAGCTTCCTTTGCAGGCACGAGAATCGTCTTGCGACAGCTCTCCCCCGAGTCTGAGCCCATCTACGACCTCATCGTCTCCCTGCACAAGAGCTGCAATGGCGACTGGAAGGCGTTGCAGAGCAAGGCCGGCATCGAAGAGTCGGAGCTCACCCACTTCCTCGAGTACGCTGCCATGTTCCTCGGCAACACAGGCAACTACAAGAGCTTTGGTGACTCCAAGTTCATCCCCCGCTGCAAGCCCGAGAGTGTCGCGGCTCTGGCGTCAACCAGCCCGGAAGCCTCCAAGTTCTTTGAGGCCACCAATGGAGCGATCTTCAGCGCGGACAATCCCTCCATGTTGCACCTCGGTTTCCCTGACGCTGGCCACATGACCACCTACTACCCCGATTCGCCCCACATCAAGCAGGCTGAGATCGAGGCCGTGTCTTCATGGATGGAGAAGAAGGGTCTGCTGCCCGAGAACAACCGTCTGCGCAAGACCAAGGACGGCAATTTCGAAATCCTCATTGCCTCGGCCATCGTCGAGGCACCGGCTGAGGGAGGCGACATTGGCAAAGATACCGTCTTCACTGTGGAGGATGGCTTGCTCAAGGGCAAGACCATCACACTCGTGTACGGTGACTATGCGGAGGAGATGAAGAACATCACAGCGTACATCAAGCAGGCCGGCCAGAACGCCGACAACGAGACCCAAGAGAAAATGCATGCCGCTTACGCCAAGTCCTTTGAGACCGGATCGCTGGAGGCCTTCAAGGACAGCCAGCGCTACTGGATCAAGGACAAGGGCCCCATGGTCGAAAGCAACATTGGCTTCATCGAGACGTACCGTGACCCTGCGGGCGTACGTGGTGAATGGGAGGGCTTCGCATCCATGGTGAACCTGGAACGCACGCGCGCCTTTGGCGCTTTGGTCGATGCTGCGCCCTCGCTCATTCCCCTTCTCCCCTGGGGCGCGGAGTTTGAAAAGGACAAGTTTCTTTCTCCCGACTTTACCTCGCTCGAGGTATTGACCTTTGGTGGATCTGGTATCCCCGCCGGTATCAACATGTACGTTATTCGCCGCCACACACTGCAAACCACAATGCTGACCTACTAGTCCCAACTACGACGATATCCGCCAGACGGAAGGTTTCAAGAACGTTTCCCTCGGCAACGTCATGAGCGCCAAGGCCCCCAATGAGAAGATCCCCTTTATTCGCGAAGAGGATCTCGAGGTCTACCAGAAGTACCGTGATGCGTCCTTCGAGGTCCAGGTCGGTCTCCACGAGCTCACTGGCCACGGCTGCGGTAAGCTGCTCCAGGAGACGTCACCTGGCGTCTTCAATTTTGACAAGGAGAACCCTCCCGTGAGCCCTGTCACCAACAAGCCCATCACAACTTGGTACAAGCCTGGCCAGACCTGGGGCTCTGTGTTCGGCAGCATTGCCGCCTCGTACGAGGAGTGCCGCGCTGAACTGGTCGCCATGCACCTCAGCTGCGAGTTCCCCGTGCTCAAGATTTTCGGCTTTGGCGACGGCAGCGTTGACATCAATGGTGAGGCGGGCGATATTCTGTACGCATCCTATCTCTCGATGGCTCGCGCTGGTCTTGCCTCTCTGGAGATGTGGGATCCCAAGAGCCAGAAGTGGGGACAGGCGCACAGCCAGGCTCGCTTCTCCATCCTCAAGTGCTTCCTCGAGGCCGAGGATGACTTCTGCAAGCTGGACTACAAGGAGGCTGACATGTCGGACCTGACCATCAAGCTGGACCGCTCCAAGATCCTGACCGCTGGCCGCGATGCTGTCGGCAAGTACCTCCAGAAGCTCCACGTCTACAAGTCCACCGCCGATGTGGAGACGGGCAACAAGTTCTACGTCGACATGACGACTGTCGGGCTCGACTTCTGGGGTACTCAAGTCCGTGACCTGGTCCTCGCCAACAAGCAGCCCCGCAAGGTCTTTGTGCAGGCCAACACGACCCTCGATGAGAGCACTGGCAAGGTCTCGCTCAAGCACTACGATGCTTCGCTGGTCGGCATCGTCGAGAGCTGGGCGGACAGGAATCTGTAAATTAGTAGCATAATTGGCATTTGCATGGGTGGCATAGCATGGGTAGCGGTAGAGAAGAAAGAGTAGACTAGATGTGGCCTACACTCTCTGAATAGAGCCCACTCACGTCCTATGCGATTGTTCATTACACGTTGCGAGAGCGCCATGTCATGGCTCCGGGGAAGAGGGAAAAAGAGGTCTTGGTTTGTTCATGCTCGTTGTGTTTTTTGACTGTAAAACCTGATTACAGACGCCAGAATGTGACCGATGCCGTCGACTTCCAAATGCAATGGGCCAAACCAGCCCCCAGCCGGGAGACCCTGCCCGTTCTACGACACCATTGTTTCGTAGCGCAACCAGAGTCTGTTCGCCTACGCCTTTCCGCCCCGCAATGTTTGTTTCCGTCGTGAAAATGATTGCCCTTGTCCTCACAGTCCCCCGTTTCTCCGTCTACCACTTCATCTCGTGGGGCTTGTCGCCCTTTCGCAGGCTGAAGCTGCTGCCGAGGTAGCTGGAGAGGAACTGGACCTTCTTGATGTTGCTGAGCAGAGGCTTGTCGATGGCCTTCTGGTCCGCCGCGCGGGAGCTGTTAACCTCCTTCTTCTGTGCATCGCATTAGCTGACTGTCCCAGAAATGTTTGTTGACGGCTTGTGGGCTGGTCGTACCTTGGGCTCCTCGCCCTGCTTGAAGAAAGCCTCCTCACCAGCCTTCTCCTTGGCCTTCTCGGCGGTGAAGTACTTTGGTTGGGAGATCTCGTCGACCTTCTTGGAGTCGAGACCGTTGACGTCGACCTTCATGGAGGTGGCGATGACGTAGCGGGAGTTAACCCGACGCAGGGGGACGCCGTTGATCTTGAAGGGACCGGTGACGAGGAGGACACCCTGATCGAGCGTCTTGAGGAGGACGACACGCTTGCCGCGGAAGCGACCAGCGAGGAGGATCAGGACAGTGCCGGGCTGGAGGGTCTGGCGGGGGGCCCAGGGACGGACCGTCTTGCGGACCTGTGAGACAATCGTCAGCATTTGTTCTTGTCCCAGTGAATGTGCTCATGTTGGTGGCATGCTCGGAGAGTCGAATCGATCGCTGTCATGCGCCCGCCTGTGCGATGTTGAACGTCGCGGCCGCAGGGTCCCATGTGTGCGGGACGGCCGATTCATAACCATGTCCTCCGATGATTCGCATTCCAAATTTCCGGCGCGCCGTCGCTGACAGTGTTCTCGAGTGTCGCAATTCCTCCTCGCATGCCACCAATGTGTGTATCGTGATCCGACTCACCTTCTTAGGCTGGGCATCGTCCTCGGCAGGGTACCACTTCTGAGCCTTCTGCCCAGCAGCGGGGACCTCCCGAGTCGACTTGCCGAAGGTCTTCTTCTGATTCTCGACGGCCATTGTTGACAAACTCTTCGCACGCGGGCACTGGGTGGTGAAGGGTTAGTAGGGTTGGGTGGTTGTTGAGAGTTGGTGATGATGGGCTGGCAACCGTAAAAGTGGAAGGGGATTTCCGGTGGTTCGCGCCCTACAATCCGTCCAGGTTGTGCGTGGAAAATTGGTGCCCTCTGGCGCTAGGCTTTTTTAGGGGCTGGTGGGAAAGTGGGGTGACTCAGCGCGTCTTGGGGCTGCACGTGATGTGAGTCGAAGAGCTGGGCGGACTACGGCATTGGACAAATTCCGATTACCGCAGAGAAGGTCCGCTTAAGCTTTGGACATGCCATCATTTCCATGCCAGCTCGGCCGGCCGTCGGAAGTTACCAGAAGATGCTATCCTCGACTGGGCGTCGTTCGAATGAAGAGGAAGCTTTGCACCATCGCAGCTATTAAGTACACGTGCATCGCACCGGGCGACTTCTAGCTTTGAACTTACTTCTCTTCTAGTTGATGTCCTTTACTCTGTGAAACTTTGTCATATGTACTGAGCGCAGCCGCGCAGCGGCCTATATTCAACATGCAAGCTCGACGACAAGTACTTTCTTCAGCCCAGCGACTCGCTGGCGCTGTACGACCACGAACCCAAATCACCCGAGTAGCGGGCTTACAGATTCTGCGACCAGCTACAGCCCGGTTATTGCCTACCATCACTACTCGCAACTATGCAAACGGACGACCGCACCCTCCAGGTGGCACGCACCGCATGGATATGGGTGGTGGTGAGGAGAAGCCAGCGCTGGAGCAATACGGTGTCGACCTCACAGCGAGAGCGAAAGACGGCAAGCTTGATCCTGTGATTGGTCGAGACGGCGAAATTCAGCGAACGATCCAAATCCTCTCGAGACGAACGAAGAACAACCCCGTCATCATCGGTAATGCCGGTACGGGCAAGACAGCCATCCTTGAGGGCCTAGCCCTGCGCATTGTACAGGGGGACGTGCCCGAAAGTATCAAGAACAAACGAGTCGTCAGTCTGGATCTAGGCTCCTTGATTGCTGGTGCCAAGTTTCGGGGCGACTTCGAAGAGAGACTGAAGAAAGTCTTGGATGAGGTGCAGAAGGCAGAGGGTCAGGTCATCCTCTTCATCGACGAGCTACACACACTCCTTGGCCTGGGCAAGGCTGAGGGCTCGATCGATGCTTCGAACCTCCTCAAGCCAGCTTTGGCCCGAGGCGAGCTCCAATGCTGTGGCGCTACCACGCTTGCGGAGTATCGCCAGATTGAGAAAGACGTGGCGCTGGCGCGACGCTTCCAGCCTATTATAGTGAACGAGCCATCGGTGGAAGATACCGTCAGTATCTTGCGCGGTATCAAAGAGAAATACGAGGTTCATCACGGAGTGCGGATCACAGACGGAGCGCTCGTCGCAGCTGCCACTCTCTCGAACCGTTACATTACAGATCGCTTCCTGCCCGACAAAGCGATCGACTTGATGGACGAGGCTTCGAGTCATCTCAAGCTACAACATGAGTCAAAACCCGAAGACATTATGCGCTTGGACCACAAGATTATGACTATCCAGATTGAACTGGAGAGTCTTCGGAAGGAAAAAGATGTTGCCAGCAAGGAGCGGCGCGAGAAGCTTGAGGATGAGTTGAAGAAACACCAGGAAGAGCTCAAGGCACTCAACGAGCGCTGGGAGAAAGAACGGGCAGAAATTGAGGGCGTCAAGAAAGTTCAAGAGGACCTCGACAAGGCCAGATTTGAATTGGAACAGGCTCAGCGCGAAGGCAACTTTGGCCGAGCATCTGAACTGCGCTTCGGTGTCATTCCCACACTGGAACAAAAGCTACCCAAGGAGAACGAGACGGAAAGCCCAGGCACAGCACAGGCTGACCAGCTTGTTCACGACTCTGTCACCGCGGACGACATTGCCAATGTTGTCTCGAGAATCACCAGTATCCCAGTCACAAAACTGACGTCTGGTCATATCGAGAAGCTGGTCCACATGGAGGATAGCCTGCGCGAGTCTGTCAAAGGGCAAGACGAGGCCATCAAGGCCGTGTCAGACGCTGTACGTCTGCAACGTGCAGGTCTGAGCGGCGACAACAAGCCCACAGCCTCCTTCTTCTTCCTGGGCCCTACCGGTGTGGGCAAGACTGAGCTTTGCAAGAAGCTTGCCGGGTTCCTCTTCTCGACGGAGTCGGCGGTTGTTCGTTTCGACATGTCCGAGTTCCAGGAGAAGCACACGATTTCAAGACTTATCGGTGCGCCCTCTGGCTATGTTGGATACGACGACGCTGGTCAGCTTACGGAGGCTGTGCGCCGCAAGCCGTACGCAGTGCTGCTCTTCGATGAGTTTGAAAAGGCTCACCGCGACATCTCTGCCCTCTTGCTTCAGGTCCTCGACGAAGGCTACCTGACCGATGCACAGGGTCACAAGGTGGACTTCCGCAACACAATCATTGTGCTGACGTCGAATCTTGGCGCCGACATTCTAGTCGGCCACGACCCTACACACCCTTACCGAGAGACCGAGAACGGAGACATCGATCCTTCCGTGCGCGACGCCGTCATGGATGTTGTGTCCTCCGCCTACCCACCCGAGTTCCTCAACCGTATCGACTCCTTTATTATCTTCAAGCGCCTCGCACAGAGCGCTATTCGTGACATTGTCGACATTCGTCTGCGCGAACTACAACAGCGCCTAGACGACCGACGCATCACACTGCACACGCCCAACGAAGTCAGAGATTGGCTCGCTGAGAGGGGCTACGATCCCAAATTTGGTGCGCGACCGTTGAACAGGCTCATCACCAACGAGATTGGCAATGCTCTTGCTGCAAAGATCATCAAGGGCGAGCTCAAGGGCGGAGAAACAGCCGAGGTGAAGATCCGAGATGATCAGCAAGGGCTGGAGATCAGTAATGTTGCGACTGCAGCGCCTTGAGATCTTGTAAACTACGTTGTATGACTTGTACATTGTTGGAGTTCTGTCTTATACCCTGTATATTTGTACAATAAGCATAAAAATATAATGAATGTAGCTAGGAACACTCTGTTCACTTGTGGTGCAAGACCGACATCTACAGAGCATCCTGTATGTGTTGCGTGAGTGACATGCCAAAATCCCATGCACTGCTGCTGTTTTCAATATTCTTCCATGCACTTGATTGAGATTTGGTAACTATCATGGCTATCATGATAATCTTGTTCATTGCGGAAATATTCATAGACGAAACATGATCATAACGTCCACCCTTACGAGGAAGCGAACAATCGACACGCGAGAAACTGAAAGAGTTTAACCTCAAACTCCCCAATGTACAAAACCCTTTTTTCGTTGCCGAAACTGCTGTCCCCCAAGAGCCTACCAGAAGACGCCTTCCTGACCTCCCATCCAATGCAGCTTGACGTGAATCCATTTTCCCCAGTACAGTCACAATGGCGGCGGCACCCACATCGAGTAGCATGTGAGGGTGGGGACCCCATGTTGGTGGATGGCGAGATGAGCCAGACGTGGAGTTATCAACAAGGTTCGATTGGTTTGCCCGAATGAAGAGAGTGCGAATTACAACCGAAGCCCCGGCGAGGGATGAAGATAGGACGTAGCAGCGAAAAAAGCAGGAAGGTGTTGTCGTCCAGTAAAGGCCTCTCTATTGTTCTCTCTACTGGTGGCCAGCCTTGCGCAGGGTGGTGGCAAGCCACTCGAGGCCCTCATACAGGCCGTCTCCGGAGGTAGCGCAGGTGGACTGGATGTACTGTGATGGTTGTTAGCGGGGCGAAGGAAGACGAGATGGTGGCCGGGACATACCCAGGCGCGTTGACGCAGGCTGTGGAGACCAAGCTTGTCGGTAATCTCGGCAGCGTTCATGGCATTCTAATAAGTCTTGTCAGCAAATTGCCATCATCAAGTCCGATGGAAACACGTACGGGCAGATCCTGCTTGTTGGCGAAGACCAGAAGGATAGCATCCCTGAGTTCGTCCTCGTTCAACATGCGCTGCAGCTCCTCGCGGGCCTCAACGATACGGTCGCGATCGTTGCTGTCGACGACGAAGATGATACCCTGGGTGTTCTGGAAGTAGTGCCTCCACAGAGGACGGATCTTGTCCTGACCTCCGACATCCCACACGGTGAACTGAATGTTCTTGTACTCAACGGTCTCGACGTTGAAACCTGGCATGCGCATTAGCGGATGGACTCGGCCGCCCGCCCCTCGATGCGGTCTGCGAGGGCGGAGATAAGGATAGGGGTCGTACCGATGGTGGGGATTGTGGTGACAATCTCGCCGAGCTTGAGCTTGTAGAGAATGGTGGTTTTACCGGCAGCATCGAGACCGACCATCAGAATGCGCATCTCCTTCTTCCCCCAGAGCTTGTCGAAAATCTTCGAGAAAGCGAGACCCATGATTGCGACGTGCGGCTAGGCCGTGGAATTGACGAGAAAGGGGTATTGCGATGAGAACGGGTTCGTTCCTGGTTGCCACGTTGTCAGTCAGCACGTTTATGAGGAGGGGTTTTTTTCGGGCTGTGTAGTAGCAGTGGCGGACAGGCGAAGGCGCAAGCGTGCAGGGCGTTGGAGAAACGACGTGATGTCGCAATTGACTTTTGAGATATATCTCTTGCCAAAAGAGCGACTCTCATGTGTTTTTGAGCCTCGCAATACAACATGTAAAGGACACCTGTAGTCGGTGGCGTGGCGCTGGCAGGCGACTTTGTCTCCTAGGCTGCGACCCAGATCAAGGACGGGGGGAAGCATATGGGCGTTGTGTCCTTAACCATGGTCGCCAACTCTCGCTTCTCCAGTCCAGGCAGCCGCGAAAGAACGCATGTGTTGTGCTCGTGGGTACGGTGGTGCAAACTCACGATTCGTCAGGGTCGGTTCCTCCTGATATGACAGAAGGCGACGGTAGAATGGGATGGAGGCCGTTGACGGGTTGATGAAAGGTTGTCGGTGTAGACGTGAGCCAGGGATCCAAAGGTCAAAATATGGGATGCTCAGGCGGGCTGGGGGAGGGAGGGGTGAGGTGTGCTGGATGGCTGGTGCTTGCTGAATTTTGGGGCCACCTCAGCGCCTTCTACGGAGTACGGTATTGATCCATTCATTGACATGTGGCGCCGCCCAGTCAGAGGCTGGAATCCATTCCAGTGATAGAGGACGGACCGGAGCACCGCCACAGCGCGCAATGGACCGTATCCACCCGAGCTCCAGCCAGTCCTTCCCCTGAAGCCTGCTGTGCATGACTGATTGATCGACCGATCGCCCAGAGGGACGAGCGCGAAATCATCATCACAAGTATGCTTATTAGCAAATCCAAAGTCGCAAACAATGATAACTGCTTCTGCAATCTTTACTTGACCCATTGACTGACAATGGTGTCTGGTTCTGGTTGGTGTACCGAGGCCACAAGCCTGTCACGTTCCGAGCTCATTCTAGCCACTGTTTTTGGCTACCCCTGAGCAGGCTACCTTAAGCTTGGCTGGCTGGAGCGCCACATGTTCGGAGCCCCATTTCTCCCAGCGCCGGCCAACCGCCCTGGGCCCCTGTAGCATCTAACCGCAAAGGTGTCAATTCGAGAGACGCCCTAGTCGAAGCTCATCGTCCACGATCTCGGAGCTGCGCATCACCCATCCGCTCCCCTCGAACGACTGCGGCCGATCCCAATCATGCGTTTCTTCACGGCTGCAAAGGCCCTCGTGGTCGCCGCTGTTGCTGCCTCGGCGCACAACATCGTCCTCCCAGCCCACGGCGTCGAATGTTTCTACGAGACCCTCCACAAGGATGATACCATGACCGTGACGTTCCAGGTTGGCGACAGGGAGTTTGGGTCAGCAGGCAACCTCGAGATTGACTTTTGGGTACGTGGTCGCACATGATGGCTGGCAGGCAGGCAGGCAGCACGCTGAGACTGAAGACAGATCATCAACCCCAGCACAACATACGAGTACAACGTAAAGTCCGTGACCTCGGGCGACTATACCTTTACGGCGAAACATGACGGACGATTCTCCTACTGCTTTGGCAACCAGCACTGGGGGGCCAACACCAAAGAAGTCTCCTTCAATGTGCATGGAGTGGTCTACGTGAACGAGGCCGACATGCCCTCTGATCCCCTCGAGAAAGAAGGTAAGTGCGGCAAGTGTCACATGTAGACAAAGCTGACCAGGAACACCAGTCCGCACCCTCTCCGATCTTCTTGCCCAGGTCAAAGACGAGCAGCAGTACATTGTCATCCGTGAGCGCACCCACCGCAACACCGCCGAGAGCACCAACTCCCGAGTCAAGTGGTGGAATCTGTTCATTGTGGGTGTTGTTGTTGGCGAGTCCATGTTTCAGGTCTGGTGGCTGAAGCGCTTCTTCGAGGTTAAGCGTACTGTATAAAGGAGCTGTGTGTGGGAAGTTTGGGCGAACAAAAGAGGCTGGCTGGCTGGCTGCGTGTGCATGGTATTTGATCTCTTGATGGCGCACAAGGAAGGAAGGGTGTACGCGATTCAATGCAAGTTATCATGAACGTTTCGAAGAAAGATACGAAGCGGTTTCTCATTTCCAATGCCAACCTTTGAAAGGTCTGTGTCTAGTTGATTGAACTCTCTATACCCGAGGCTCCGAGCCATGCTATACCCAAAACGCCGACATGTAATCATCTCAAAATGTACAGAACACAACGCTCATGATCCTGGGTCAAACTCGGGAACTTGCGCCCCCTCCTCTGCTGGCTCCTCCACAGGCAACTCAACTTCCTTCACAGGATGCAGCAGCATGGGAGGCAGACACATCCGACCTTCACCTCCGGGCATAGATCCAACAGAGCCACCCTCTTTGCTCGCATCGGCTGTCTTTTCAAACTCCTCGCCTCCGTCGTTGTTGACCTTGAGTCCCAGCCAGCGCCTATACAGGTTCGGCCCAAACCCAGAATTGTAAAACCATGACAGCCCACGTAGATTGTGCTCGCGATCGCCGTAGACGCTGTTTCGAGCTCCACCACTTGAGCCGTCACGACCGCCGTTGAAGATGGAGGCCATGTATTCCAGGGGCCACTTGCGGTCGACGTATACCGGATGGGGCGCGTAAACGGCCTTGTAACCGTGTTGCAAAGCAACCGTGGCAGGCCACATTTCAGGGAAAGCAAACTGTTTCTTGTAGGCGGTCATCTTGTGCATTGTCAGCAGTAGCCGGCGTGACATGCGAGAGGTTGTGATGATGTTGGCGCGGCGAGGCGGGTTCCCATTGGTACGGTTGAAACCAGTGATGTCGTCCTTCAGCAACCAGGTCGTGCCATCTGGGTCAAAGATTGGATTCAAAGAGATGTAGTCCGCCTCTTCGCCAACGCCCCATACATTGCGATCCTTCTCAGGACCACCATGAGGGGGTTTTGGGTCGTCGCCAGGCATGTACCAGTCGTCATTGTCCTCAGGACGTTGTGGCCCCCAGACCATCTTGCGAGGTTTCGAGGCCTTGTCGGGGTCGTCCTTGAGACCAGGTGCCTTATTCCAGAGGGTGTCGGGGTTCAAAGTGCCCATTTCGTTCTGGATGCGAGCCATCTGCGAGAAATCCTCCCATGAACCGTGAACCTCAGGTATGTAGAAGCGGGCGTTTCTTTCCCATAGGTTCTTTCGGGGTTGGGCCTTGGCCCACTGTTCAATCTTGCTGAAGAGATCGTAGTAGTGTCCGGTGTAGCGGACATCCATTTCCCATTGCCAGAAGTACTCGTATTCCGGATGTTGGTAGGCAAAATGCTGCATGGCCATGGTCAGGCCACGATACACACCGTGTACTGGCAGGTCGGGGCCACGGGTGTATAGGTCATAAATGCCTTGGTAAATAGATAGCATCTGGGTTTCGGTCCACAAAGTGACCAGCCCACGAAATTCTTGCGGAATGGTGTCTTGGATTCGTTTCTCATAGGCGTCGTGGTCGGCCCAGATCGGATGCTGAGCATCGTTTTTCACCTGTACAAGGAGGTGAACGTCGTAACGGCCTCCCGACGCGAGCGAAAGCTCTGTGATCATAGAGCGCAGGGAGGCCATGTCATCCTCCCGAAACAAATATTCGTCGTAGCACCTGATCACGACTGCCGTCCTTGCTTTCTTGGCCACTTCCGTCTTTGGCTTATCGGCCTTGACAATGGCGTCCGCTGCATCTGTGCCATCTGTTCCTGCGACGACTTCTTCGGTCTCATTGAGACTCCGTTTAGCAAGACTGGCAACTGGCGCCGCTGAATCTTGTATGTAGAAGCCATGGGCCGAAGAAGCCTTCGCTGGAACTTCCACGAAGCGATTCATGTTGGCACTGTAGCAACGTCTCTGAGCCTCGGCCCAATCGACGTCTCGGAAGTCCACCCGATGAGTGTCTTTCCAGACGTCTGCGGAACCAGAGTTTTCTCCTCCCTCACCCGTCCCCAGACCGCCGTTTTTGAGCGAGTAACCAAAACCGTAGGGACCAAAACGGCCAAACCTTTCAAAGCATACCTCTTCCGGGAGGTCAAACAGTTCATATGAGCCGACGACGTTGCGCGGAAACCCTTTCGGTCGGCCTTCAAAATACCGTACGGAAGGGATTCGAACCTTCCCAGCAGCGTCCAAGAAGCATTCGATCATGTCAGACTCCTGCGCACGTGTAGGGTACTCATTCCAGGAAAGGCTGGTAGGTGTATCTCTTTCCCCTTGTGCGGATTCTCCAGAGGGTATCGGGTCATTCGACTTTGGGTATTCAGGGCTGCTTTGATGGAAAGGCAGGAGAGTTCGGATACCGCCATAGTACCTTTCCAGGAAGGGGAATCGCTCCCATACTGGAGGTGGCGGTACAGGCCTGTGTTCTGATGTGCCGCTTGCAACCTTCCAGTTCTCCACCTGGCTTGCCCTGATCAAGCTGAAAATCATGAGGAAGAGGAGCGCTCCAATGCCAAAGCACAGATAGCGGGTGACTTTGGTTGGTAATCGGTATGGGTAGACGCTGGCTATCTTGGTGGCTTGCCTCCTTTTCGGGAGCATGGGCATCCCGCTGCCCAGCGAGCCCGATGTGTTTCTTGAGGACCCATTTGAGCGAACTGGGTATGCATCGTACTCGTCGGAGGAGGCGTAGTAGTCTTCGTCGTCCGAGTATCGTTCTTTCGATGGGGACCCTGCTCGTGTCCGTTCGTACACCGGCAGCCGCTCTTCGCGATTGCGGAAAAGACCCATGATGGATGGGCTGTTGTACGAGACAGTCAGAAATGCTGCAGTGGAACAAACGAAGCGAGCAACATACCAGGCCTTTGCAGGCGGCGGTGGTGTCTCAAGTGTGCACGGATGTCGCGGTCGGTAGATGTTGACGTCGATCTTGATATTGATTGGACGAGTCTCTGTTTGCTTCGATTTTGAGTTCGGCGGGCGCAGAATTTCACGATTGCTTCTGCCTACATCAGTGTTGGGTTTGAGAACGCTAGATTGATACCAGGCGAGATGAAGACTGAACCAAATGCACATTTGCTTTCTGGAAGGCTAATAATGATGCCAATGTTGTGGCAGGGGTCCTCGACTTCGCGTTGCTGAGCAACGCGCATATGCCGCGAAGGTGTGGATGGCGGCTCGTTATCGATAAGTGACAAGACGTCAGTTTCTCCCCAAGGCACCTTAACTACTAGTACTGCAGCAAGCAGCGCAAGCAGAGTTCACACATTGGAAAACATATCCTGCAACTTGACCGAACCATATTACAGGCATTGCAATAGACAGTGCTTGTCTCAAATCTCGAGTCTGTGTGTAGACTCCTGTCACCTGTGAACATCAGTCGGGATCCGAGACTGTGGTATCGAATTCCGGCCATATCCACACAGCGCAAAGACGACTGCCGCGCAGACGCTGCTCAACTTTTAGACGCGCGATCTACCTTCGCTAAATAAAATACCACCACACACTATTCACCATGAGTCGATTGTCGCCGGCAGATGCTCCAGAGCTAGAACCCTCAGCTGCGCCCAGGAGACGCAGGCATGACGATGAGGATGGGCCAGACGAGCCCACGCCTGCGCGCCCGAACAAGAAGCAAAAACCGCCTCCCCAACCGAAGCAAAATACCGCCGTCTACGTAACAGGACTTCCCCTCGATGCCACGGTAGATGAGGTGCACGAAGTGTTCTCGAGAAAGTGTGGAGTCATAGCGGAGGAGATTGATAGTGGTGCACCCCGGATCAAGATGTACACAAATCCAGACGGGTCCTTCAAGGGCGATGCGCTTGTCGTCTTCTTCAAAGCTCCGAGTGTGCAGATGGCAATCCAGCTGCTCGACGATAGCTACTTCCGATACACAACAAACGGAACTACCACTGGGCGAATACGCGTGCAAGAGGCAGACTCAAGCTTCAAAAAGGTCCACTATGACCAGGAGGGCGCAGCAGACGAAAAGACGCAGGCCAAGAAGCCGCAAAAGAGCAGCAAGGACAGGCAAAAGATCATCAAGAAAACCCAAAAGCTTGAAGCGAAGCTGGCAGACTGGGACGACGATGACCCCTACACGGGGCCTGGCCAGGCCGTGAGCAAGTGGGACAAGGTCGTCATCCTGAAGCACATGTTCACGCTGAGAGAACTCGACGAAGACCCCACTGCGCTCCTGGATATCAAAGAAGATGTGCGCGATGAATGCGAAAAACTGGGCACCGTCACCAATGTCGTACTGTTTGACGAGGAAGAGGACGGCATCGTCACAGTCAAGTTCAAGGAAGTCGAGGCAGTGGACGCATGCATCAAACTGATGCATGGCAGAGCATTTGACGGCCGCACAGTTGAGGCCTATCGGGCAACGGGCAAGGAGAAGTTCAAAATGTCCAAGCAGGAGCAGAATGGGGATGAGTCCGATTAAAGCAGATGCGACTGAGCATGGCACGTTATCCCGGTTCAGGAACGGCGATGGACAGATGTCTGGTGGTATGGCTCTGCAAGCATATTCGTTTCCACTTCACCACCAGGAATACGCATCAATCTCTACCTCCTCTGAAAGTCCATTTTGTACGGCCCCTTTGACGATCGTATACGATACATCAGCTTCATGACCCGGGTGCCGCTGGGCCCATACCTTTCGTACGATTATCAGCATTGTCATAAAAGCGACAGACTTCACTGTGTCCATCCATGTCCTCAGCAACGCCTCTGTTGCGCGTCACTACGTTCGGTGCTGAGAATTGTACAACACGCGGTTGCAAAATGTAGTAGGAAACGCCTCAGTGCCCAAGGTTTTGAATTGCTCCATCATACGCAGCTAGCACAGGCCTGTATAGCTGGTTGGGATCTCCGGCCCGTGTCCCGAAGTTATTAGTCCTCTCGTCCTTGTCGGAGGGGAAAAGAATCTTCCTGATCTTCAGACAAAGTGGCTTCACATTGACAAAAGCCTTTGGGAACTCGTTCATTATCCTTTCAAGACCGTTCACGGTCATGTGATCTTCCTTTGCATCTTCGATGCTGGAGTGGGCATAATGCGATGCCATTGGTAAGTTGGCACGGCACTGCCCCGACGAGAGATGCCTAACCGGCGGAGAAGTGGCATGGCAGCTGAGATCGTGGAGCCCGGCCAAGCATCTCCTCGACAGTCACAAGACAAGACTTTGACGATTCTCCAGTGTGATCGCTATGACTCTCGATCCAAGTCGTCGTCAATCTCGCCCCTCCTGCGGCATCTTTAATTAGGATTCAACTGCCCCCAACGACGTGCTGCCCTTCTGTGATCTCGGTCAGAATCTCGTTGCCCATGGTCATGTCATGGTCATGGCGCCCGCGCGCACGCCCGTCGTACCTCGAGAGGAAGCTCCGAATCCGCTACGCCAGCTGAGGCCGAAGAGCGCCCAGTTTGTGACTTGTCCAGGCTGCCGCCATGGAGGCACCACGGTGATAGCAAAGGAATGGCTATCTCGACGGACGTGAGTCCCTTGCCCGCCATCATACTTCACGCCACTCAGCCCCTACCTAGTCCCGTGCCATCTCGTGCCACAGGTACACTGAGGTACACTGAGCTCACCATGGTCGCAGGTATGTAGCATGCATGGCCGTCGTTGCTGTCCTTACACCCATCACGGCCGGCACGATACTGTTCGTATTGCCGCTAGTGTTGCATCCACAAGCTGTCACGCACTCGTGCCGTCGCTGCGGTCTGCGCCTGGCCATCGCCACGGGCGCCGAAGGCGAGCTCAGGTATACCGTCCCTATGGACGTCGATGATGAACACTTTATCCCCGCGCCCGATGACTGGCGGCCCCATCTCGCGCGCCTCCCTGGTGGCATGCGCGTGGCCAGATCGCCGCTCGGTGCGCCCCCCGAGATTTCCGAGCGCGAGATGAAGGCATGCGACACGCGCTTCGTCAAGAGCCGGCCCCTCAGGCGGCTAAGGCTCCTCGCGGACGACACGATGGACCACGTCGTGCGTTGCCTCTTGGACGACGACAAGAACGGTGGCGATGGCGGCGGCGGTGATGCAGAGGTGCTGTATGAGATACACGCCAGCGGCGTCCGCGCCCTCAACTCGCCTGACGCCCCCGACGCGCACATTAAGGTACAGATGCGGTCGCCGCCAGCAGAAGACGTCGTGGCCGTTGGGCTGCCACCTTACACCAAGGAGACCACCGACGCTACCCACGAGCCATCCGCATCGTCCCGTGCCCACGTCTTTACGCAGGCATGCCGCTATCAACTCTTCGCGAGCGAGAAGCGCAAGTATTCATCTGTCATGTTCCTTTCGGATGCGTCAGGGCACGGCGAGACTGCTTACATCAATCGTGTGCACGCCCGCTACCGCGCCTTTTTCTGGGCCGGCAAGCCCATCTGGCGCTGGCATTCGTCCCAGGGCGCCCTCCTCTGGATGTCGCGCCGCTACCGCGACGCTGAAATGGCTGCTATCGATACGCGGCTCTGCCTGATCGATGACTATGACCGATTGCTGGCCGTCGTCGACGGATGGGACGGGCTGTCCTTGCTCTGTGCCGCCGACGATGCCTTCACACAGAACACACAGCGGCCAAGTATCCCAGGCGTCAAGAGTAGTACCATCACCCTGTACGCAGATCTCGACGCCCAATTGTTAGGCGAGGTCCTAGGGAGCCTATGTGTTTTGGCGGTGCAGGTGAGGCGTGTCACGGCCGAGTTCAAGAAAGAGAATGAGGAAAGGCAACGCAATACCAGACAGATAAAATAGATAGTATGTTAAGATTTGATTTGTATTTATATGCTCCACCGCATTAGGTCTTGTTGGTTGCTATCAGTATGCTTTATTTTTCAGTGGTAGCCTACTAGCATTTTCAGCTGTTCAGTATGCTCAAGTAGCGCTCACTCTTCCTCAGCTTTTTAGTTTAGACACGGTCTGTTCATGGGATCAATATTTGCCCTATCTTGACGGGCTCTTGAAATCGTGCCTAGCGGTGCATGGGCTGATGGACTATTCGAGAACGCCAGTCGACGAGATGAATTCCAGATCTATGAGAAGGCCGTCACAGGTTGAACTTCAGGCGGTATGAGGTTCGTGTTTGACCCTCTTCTATATCTAGTGGGGGTACAGCTTTTTCCAGCAGGAACTGCGGACACTGAGCTGACTCGTAGGTATTGTACAAGTATACGAGTCAGCCCAGAGACACCGGTCCTCGCATCTGGGTCTTGGCTCTCCTGGCCTGAACTTGAACTGATGGGTTGATCTGCCGCTGGCCATTTAAGTTGGCATTTAAGTTGGGGCCACGGGTTTCAGCCTTTAGTACGGATAAGAACCCCCCGGACGGAACCCCGGAAAACATGTCAAGTGCCGTTCCCTCCCCTCTGCCGGAAACCACCCTTCGAACTTAATATATGCAAGGAACTTGGGCAAGTTTGGAGAGCCGACTGACTGTCCATTGGCTCACCCCTTGACAGGAGCGGGCATTGTGGAACGATCCTATACTCTTTACGTACCGGGGTCAACGTTATGTAACAAACCCTTGACACCCCTGCTATTAGCATGAATTCGACTTCATATACATACTGGGCCTTCTATTCGTATTTGGAACTCTAAAACGCCCTTCGCGATGAGAATTGCTGCAAAGTAACCTTAATGCTATGACGCCCACAATGCGATAAGGGGTCTTCATCCACAACGTTGTCTCATAGCCTCGGGCCTGCCGATGGACGCGCAGTACAGTATTACCTACCTACATAGAACGAGGAACGACGATGGTATCGCGAGAACGCATAGAAGGAGGGAGTATTAGAAAGTTACAAAAGGTGAAGTCGTCCGCATCCTCCTTCATCATCCATCCTCTCAGCAACCCGGTTCCCTTACAGCTTCTTCTCAACTCTTCGCTTCAATTCTACAATTTCAAGACTCTTATAAAGTCAGTGACTTTCAATATATTCCTCCAAGATGCCTTCTTTCACTACCGTTGTCGCCGCCCTCGCCGGCTGCTCTGCCATCGTTAACGGTGCTGCCCTCCCCGCCAATGTCCAGAATGGTCTTACTACCACCACCCTCGAGACCCGGGACAACATCCTCAGCAAGCGTGAGCCCGTCACTGCTGCTATTCTGACCGCGGCTGGTACCGCGGCCGTCAGCGCCATCGTCAGCCAGGCCGTGACCGCCGCTGCCTCCTTCATCGGTGACATCGCCAGCTTCGACTCTGGTCGTGAGGCCTTCACCAAGCAGACCACCGACGAGATGATGGCCAGGAACCCTGACCCTGAGCGTTTCCAGGCTGCTGCTTGCTACAACAAGGGCTTCTCTGTCGCCGACCCTGCCAATATTGACGGGCAGTCTTCGGTCAAGTTCAGTCAGGGAATCCTCAACACGGACTACGAGTGCATGTACATTGCCGCTCCTAACCAGTTCTTCACCGAGGGTGACGGTGGCTTCATCAACGTAAGTGCCGAAAGGAGTCACAAGCAGAAGCTGCCGCGGCTAACAAAGTCCACAGCTTTCTTTCACTCACACTGATCGATGCACTTTCGACCAGGAGACCGCGGATCTCACTTGCATCTAAGGAAGGCGCTAGGGCGGAAGTATCAAGGGCAATAGGTGCAATTATGTCCGTCTGGCTCGTGATGGACACTCGTGAATGAGGAGAGGGAGGAGGAGGTATCCGTAGTGACCAGAGAAAGAGCTGTAGTTGAAAATACGTAACAGCAAGGTACTTCGTTGTTTCACCGTAATATTCATCTATAATGCAGTGCAGTTTCTGCAGGGAACTTCACCAAGTATATACCACTCAGCTCAAAGCAGCTTTCCAAGCCGTGCGCATATCAGCATCCTGAAGCCGATGGCACTGCGCCTATTCAAAGCCCATGCCCAGCCATGCTTAGGAGCTCCTGCGACCGTCACAACGAGAACGTCGTCTGCTTTCGTCCTAGCCTTATTTTATTTTTTTTAAAGGGCTTAATGGGTCGTGATCCGAGTCTGTTGGAGCTGTGTTTAGTGCATGTATCTGGTCAGAGTTGATTTACTCTGCTCCAATGAGTTGCGTACGCCCTCGTTGGTTGGTTTACGAGGACATATGATCACAATTATCCATGCAGGCCTCAAATTTAGCATCTGTTCTAAATGGTATTTCGTTACAACAGGGGGGCTGCCATGGCAAAGCTACCATTGTAAGTGCGTCTGGCGAACTGAACCAAGCCGGTTTCATTGAGTTGCCTACCCTATGACAGCATTGATATCTCTTAACTTCAAGGAGCGCTTGGTCGAATGGACTATGCATGCAACTTTTATGTCTTAAAAATAATAGCAACTGAATTTTATTATCACCCAGCTCGGTGTGTCCCTGTAGCGTACTCATTGTGGTGGATGGACCTAGCATGACTTGTATGTTGAAGCATTTTCAATCCAGGGGTCTCAAAAACAGCAGGCATCCAAATTGTCGTTGACTACTGCCCTCCAACTGTCTTCTTCACACCTTCAACGAAAGCCTCGATAGCCTGGCCGCCACCCAGTGGCATAGTCCCGTTTGGCAGATAACCTCCATTTTCCACCCGGATGCCCAGAGCATCTGCGACTCCGGGAAGTCCACCATCCCTGAGAGCCTGACTCAGCACACCCAAGGCCTGGAAGAACTGGGGGCTGCGAAGAACTTTCTTCAGAAGCGCCTTCTTGTCCTCGAGGGACATTGCTGCTTTTGCCTTCTCGACCTCAGCAGCAGCCGGTTCGTCTTTGCCGCTGAACGCCTCTGGGTTGGGTCCCGAGAGGACCAGCACAGACGGCGGGAGGAAGCCGAGAAAGGTGTCCAGGCGGGCGGGATTATTCGATGCGATGTAGTCGACCATTGGCACAGTGGTGGATGTCGGTAAGAGGTGGCTCAAATGAGGATACGGCTTGTCCTGTGTCTGACTCTGACTGCCGGACAGTCCTGGCTGCCCCGCGAGGGAGCTCAAAAGATTCCTCACGGCCTCAGAAGCATCCGAGTTTCCAGCCGGACCCCTATCACGAACTGTTAGCCTAGCGTCCTTACATAGCGCGCGCCAAGATCTGAACGAGCCATCACGTGGGCATGGAATTCTCTGATGTACTGTGATGCATCTATTGACGTACAGTCGAAAATATGATTTCATCAAAGACGACATGCTCATCCATGCAGTTGACCTCAAAGGCTGCGTGGGGTTGACCTACGCTCGTGCTCCATCGGCTCCTCCCTCTCTTGAGCTCTCGCCCTCTTCGCGCACATCACCGCCTGTGGCGTCCGCGCCCGCACCACCGCCTACGCTGCCACGGGGCCCAAGAGACGGTTCAGCATCTTCCATATCCTCGTCGTCGTCATCGTCGTCAGGTTGGTTGTTTGACCGTCGCACGTTGGCCAGCTCCCGTGTGACGTCCACCTCTTCACCCTGCAGTAATGAGTTGACAATCTCACCAATCTTGCGGTCTCGAGGGCTGAACCAGCTCTCATCCCCATTCTGGCTCTGGGGCTTCGATTGCAACCAGAAGAGGTGGCGTTGCGAGGAGGAAGCGAACTTGAGAGCGAATATGCGACCATTCGTCTTCGCGGTGGGCTGGGGAGATGTCTTGTACTCGTAGGGGACGAAGGAGCCATCGGTAGGGACCATGACAAGGTCTAGCTCTGGATCGGTGAGGGGCGCATCGCGTCTCCGCCAGCAGAAGTGGATGAGGTCTAGACATTGTTAGACGCGTGGACGATTGGGTGCTTGCTGAGCATACCATCTTCAGAGTATAGGTAGATGTAGCCGGGCTGAGCTTGTGGCTTGACCTTGAATGGTTTGGAGGAGGTCTGTATCGGGATTCATTAGTTTGGGAGCCAGCCGAGCGCACGGTGTTGGAAGCTCACGTCGAGATCACATTGACCAGCTTTGAAGGTGATGATCGGTGCGGTGGCCATGTTGAAGCGTTGACCTTGAGCTAAGTAACACCAAGGATGACGAGGTTGTGATACAAAGCGTGGAAATGCGGATTTGTTGCTCCAAGGTGAAGGCTGGTGTGTTTGCGACGTTGTATCACCGCGCTGGAGTTTATTGGTAACAATGGAAGGTTCGAAGCTCCAAGGCTCCAGTGGCTCTTACGTCGGTCAAGCTTCGGCGGCGCGCATCAGTGACGGAGTGTTAGCGTCAAGGTGGGCTGTTGGAGCTACCGGGCCGGCTTTCTTCCGTCACGGAACCATGCTGGACCCTGCCCCTCACTTGCGCTGTAGTGCAGCGGCGGTCTGGCGGTTCACGCCCAAGGTGGCCAGGCTGGGAGTGGACGCTGGCAGCAAGGGTGCTTGGGCCGCAAATTTGGTGTAAAAAATCTCAACCCCACCTCGAATCGATTGACCAGACAACCACCGCACCTTTTTTCCTCCTCATTTCCCATCGCCTCCTCTTGCGAAACTTCAATTTCAAGTCCCTGTCCTTCATCAAACGTACTCTCCATCTCCCTTCCGCTTCTCACATACAAAATGGGCTTCACCGACCTCGTTTCCAACGCTGGAGCTACCAGTACGTTTCGCCATTGCTGTCGTGGCTAATGCGACGCTCCTTGCCTCTCAGCACCCAGACACTGACAGTTGAACTCAGTGCTCAACAGCTGGTTGACCACCCGCTCCTACATCACTGGGTAAGTCGCAGATGACCTTCCTTCGGACGAGCGCAGCGCCTTTTGTACGATCAACGACCTGAATGATGAGAAAAATTGGTCCGTGTTTCAGAGGCGGCTTAAGACCCCGCCAACTGACGAAGCAACAAGCACTTTGTGCATCTCTGATTTTGATCATGGCATGCGCTTGTTCCTGAGGAGACGAACCCGTCAGAACACTGCTGACCCTTCTCCTAGCTATGCCCCCTCGCAGGCCGATGTTGCCGTCTTCAAGGCCCTGAGCTCGGCTCCCGACTCTGAGAAGTTCCCCCACGCTTCGCGTTGGTACAACCACATCGCTACCTTCGAGAGCGAGTTCGCCACCCTCCCTGGCGATGCCTCCAAGTCTTTCGAGGCCTACGGCCCTGAGGCTGGCGACCTGACCCTCAACCCCGCCAAGGCCCCCGAGAAGGCTGAGGATGACGACGACGTCGACCTGTTCGGCAGCGACGACGAGGAGGAGGACGCCGAGGCTGTCCGTATCCGCGAGGAGCGCCTGGCTGCCTACCGCGAGAAGAAGGCTGCCAAGCCCAAGACCATTGCCAAGTCTGTTGTCACCATGGACGTCAAGCCCTGGGGTAAGTTGGCAACGGAATACAAAATTGGACTAGTAGCCATACTAACTATAATCAGATGACGAGACTGACATGGCCGCCCTGGAGGCTGCTGTCCGTGGCATCGAGAAGGACGGTCTTGTCTGGGGTGCCTCCAAGCTGGCTGCCGTCGGCTTCGGTATCAAGAAGCTCCAGATCAACTTGGTTGTCGAGGATGAGAAGATCTCCACCTCTGACCTCCAGGAGGAGATTGAGGGTTTCGAGGATTACGTCCAGTCCACCGACGTTGTTGCCATGCAGAAGCTGTAAGGTAATCAGCAGTAATGTTTGCACGTTTTGATTTATGAGGCATGACGGGATGGAGGATATGATGACGCCACGAAAAGACATGGGCGTTCTGTTGAGCTTAAAAGGGATGTCATCATGAAAAAGTATTCCGTATGACCTCGCTATGATAGACCGGCAGCTTTTAAATGAAACAAAACAAATCAGTAAAAAGCGATTGTGTATCCAGAGAAACACCCCCTTCAACACGCCTGCAATGACTGGGCTTGCACAAAATTCTTTTGGTACGAGATGGCAATTCGTGAGGAGGGGCACAGGCGGTCATGGCGGGGTAATTCGAGGTCTTTGGGCACCGACGAACACTTGCGGTTCAATTTGTCTCGACGCGTCTGGCAACGCGACCGGACGCGATCGCCCTGTACCGGTAGCTACATCTCGCTGACACGCACCACTCTCGCAATCGCCGCAATGTATGGAGACACGGGCATGAAGCTTGTATGCTGAACGGACCATTCTTTATTGACACCGCTGACTTGCTCCAGGTGCAACACGCCAAGCGAACACAGAGTCTAGCCCATCTGCCACCCTACCAGACCGAGCTCGTTCGTGCAGTCACTCGCGAAGTTCGCGATCTGGACAAGGATGTCTCCGAGCTCCTGGAACCGTTCCAAGGCTCCTTCGACCCTTCCGCCGATCAAGCCGTCGCGACGACGCTCCTCGTGAACCACCTCTCCATGCGGCGCAACAAGCGCTGTCTCTTGGCCTACCACCGCACCCGAACGGAGAAACTGGAGGAACTGGTATGGAATGGCGCGGACGTCGTCGACCTATCCGGGCAGCAAGTGCGAGCCGACGGCGCGACAACGACGAGTAGCCTGAGCCCACAGGAGGAGGAGTACGTGAGACAGTATAGCGATCTTCTGGCAGCGTACAAGGGGCAGTGGACAGATATCGACCTCACGGGTAGTCTCGAGCCGCCTCGGGATCTGTTCATTGACGTGAGAGTGCTCAAGGATGCGGGCGAGATTCAGACGGAGTATGGGTAAGTATCATTGTCAACGCTGTCCTCCAGCGCCCAGCTGACGATATCCAGGGCGATCACCTTAACGAAAAACAGCCAATTCTACGTTAGACAGGGAGACGTGGAGCGGCTCATAGCCCAAGGCTACCTGCAAAAGCTAAGCGGATGAGCCTATTTGGCCCGCACACCACGACTTGCGACGTTATAATCATGAACCTTCGACACCGCTGCCGCCTAGAGGGGGTGATCGCCACTTTATTATGCCGCCGCGGACCGAGACCGCAACGGCCATGCCGAACGGCTAGGGCCAAGCGTACATGGGGCGACCCGTGTTTGCGCGCCTAGAGTCTCGATCATCAAGCCGCTTCACACCCGTTGTCAGGGTGGACAAGTCGATACTAATATGAAATGATGCGATTGTTCATCAGTTGAGGACTTGAAGTCACAATGGCGCAAGACCAATGGACGACCAGGAAGGGTTACCCCACGCACGCTACGACTCGGCGCGGCTCAAAGTAAGGCACTTGTCCTGTGAGACCTGCAGAGCATGGCGAGAAAAAACGCAAGGATGGTGTTACTAGCCTGCATGAACCACATGAGGCCCGATTGCGAAGCGAGCGCTGCAAGTGAAGAGAGAGCAAGAATAAAACCTGTAAACAAACAATCACAGGATCGATGAAGCTTCGTCAATACTGAGGATCGTTAGCTTGCTAACAATCAGGATGGGCAACAAATAACTGGGCAGGCTGAAGTTCTAACGTTAGTCCCTCGCCTAGCGACCTTACCCTTGTAGCAAATGCACGTTGGATGTTCGTCATGCACATGCCAAATTTTTATTAGTGTTGGCCCTCTGCTTCGCATGGTATCCCGGTTTGTATGTATGCGACGCTTCTAGCCGGACAGCCCGATGCCCAAGCCAATACCTGAGGTGTACATGTAATTATCATCTTTTCCCTCGCTGCCTTTACTTTCCGTCTTGTCCTGCTTTTGTCACCCGACTATCAGGTCTAATCCCGTTCGAAGGGAAAGATTCCACCGGGGCTAGATTGGCGGGTCCTGTCCAATGTTGATTAGTGCCATACGTTATCGCGCTCTTGCTTCTCTACCAGCGATTGACCCGAGCAGACGACCAATTCTCATGCGCCCTTGACTTGACTCCTCATCTTCCGCACCAGTCTGGCTGGCGAAGAAACAGAAGTACCGCGCGTGCGGTATCTGACAACGGACGACAATGTCTTCCCCGATGCCTGGGTTCACCCATTGGAGGACGCGAGCCTCGAGCGTTTCCACAGCACCAGGCGACAATCGACGGCGACATGATTCTACAGAGTTTGGTAGTTCGCCCCCGCCAAGCTCGGTCATAGGGATCGATCACCCTAGCCGGCTATCTTCCTCATTCTCCGGACAAAGAGAGCCGATCAGATCGTTCATCCATGGCTCTGGGAGGGAACACCTAGGTACGCATGCAAAACCTTGCGCCAGGCGCAGAGGCTAACTTGAATGAAAAGCTCCCAAAGACAGCACCCACACTGCACGAACTGTTCGCGAAGACACGGCCGATTTAGCCACCTACGTTCTCACGGATGGCAAGGACGAAGGGAGTCGTTCTTTCCTCCAACGCTCGCGACCCTCGGTGTCAGACGTCTTCTCCTCAGAACCAGTCGAGTCCGAGGCAGGCGAGGACCGAAACCAGGACGTTATCCTCGAAGTCTCCGAACCCCCGAGTCCCAATGATGGGGAGCAGGAACCGGAGGACGAGGGCCCCTCGGCGCTGGCGAATCTGTTGAGAAAGTCGCCACCGCAGTCTATCGCGCCGGATAGATCACGACCCAGGAAGGGTGTGGGACACGAAAGGTCCTTGGACGAGCCTGAAGATCTGAGATCGCGGCGGTCGACCAGGGGGGAAGACGCAGCAGACGACGAGGAGCACACCGAGAACACGCCTCTGCTCAGCGGAGCCACGTCGCGAAGCCGCACACCCGACGAGGACGTGGAGGACATGAGGCCAGAGCCACGCAAAAGTTGGATGGGCGGCCTGAAGTCGCGTGCGCAGGGTGCAGGGCGTCATGCTGCCCGTACCTTTGCCGTGGCAGCGAACCCAAAGCAGTGGGATGGAAAAGCCATCTGGCAGACGTGCTGCGTTGCGCCGGCTTCATGCTTGCCTGCAGTGTGTGTTGGACTTCTGCTCAATATTCTGGATGCATTGTCCTATGGCATGATCTTGTTTCCTCTGGGCAAACCCATCTTCTCGCATCTAGGACCCGCTGGAATATCGATTTTCTACGTCAGTACGATTATTTCGCAGTTGACGTTCTCGACTGGGAGTATCTTCAAGGGATCCGTCGGGTCTGAACTGGTAAGTTTCCCATTGGCATGGGCGTCATCCGGTGGTCGACTGACACAACACAGATCGAAGTGGTTCCTTTCTTCCATAACATGGCGCAGAAGATCACCGACATTGTGGGCGTGGAGAATCCTGACGCAGTTATTGCTACGACGATTGTGTCGTACTCAATGAGCTCCATGATAACGGGGCTTGTCTTCTATCTCATGGGCAAGTTCAAGTTCGGCTTCATGGTGGGCTTCATCCCTCGACACATCCTCATTGGCTGCATTGGCGGTGTCGGCTGGTTCCTGATTGCGACTGGCTTCGAGGTGTCTGCCCGCTTGGAGGGTAGTCTGGAGTATGACCTGGACACGCTACACAAGCTGACACGTCCCGAGACGCTCCCGCAGTGGATTGTGCCTCTGGTGCTGGCCATTGTGCTGTTCTGGGGACAGGCGAGGGTCAAGTCCAAGTACTTCCTGCCACTATTCATTTTGGCGATTCCCCTGATCTTCTATATCTTTGTTCTGTCATTGAATGCGCTTGAGATCGACAACCTGCGGGACAAGGGCTGGATCTTCGAGGGTCCTCCGGCTGGAGAGCCCTGGTGGTATTTCTATACCTTGTTCAGTAAGTCACACTGTGGGACATTTGGAGCTTCGGCGGCTAACAATGGTCAGAGTTCACACTGGTTCGCTGGGATGCCGTGGCGGAGTGTATTCCTGCCATGTTTGCCCTCACCTTCTTCGGTATCCTCCACGTCCCGATCAACGTGCCCGCCTTGGCTCTTCAGTGCGGCGAGGACAATGCAGATCTGGACAAGGAGCTGCGCCTGCATGGGTACTCCAACTTCGTGTCAGGATGCTTCGGTAGTATCCAGAACTACCTGGTCTACGCCAACACGCTCTTCTTCATGCGCTCTGGCGGAGACTCCAGGCTTGGAGGATACATGCTTGCCGCTTTGACGTTTGGCGTCATGACCGTGGGCCCGTCGCTAGTCGGCTTCATTCCTGTCATGATGGTCGGCTGCCTCATCTTCGACCTAGGGTTCGAACTACTCCTGGAAGCTGTCTGGCTTCCACGGAAGAAGCTGAAGCTGGCAGAGTTCCTGACAGTGATTGCCATTGTGCTTGTGATGGGCATTTACGACTTTGTCATTGGCATTGGTGTGGGTATTGTACTTGCCTTCGTGTCGCTCATTGTGCAGACATCGAGAGTCTCCGCAGTGCGCAGCACATTCGCCGGCGACACCGTCACCTCGACTGTGCGCCGCAATCCATCGCAACACCACTATCTTCAGCGTGTGGGCGGCCAGATCTTCGTCATGAGACTCACTGGTTACCTGTTCTTTGGTACCATCGTCAGCGTGGAGAACAAGATCCGCAGCCTCCTCGACCACAAGACGTTCTCGGAGAAGCCAATCAAGTTTCTCGTACTTGACTTGTGGCATGTCACGGGGTTGGACTACTCGGCTGGCGAGGGCTTCAACACGATCAGCCGACTCTTGGGGAAGAAAGACGTGGTCCTGGTGCTCAGTGGTGTGGAAGACGACAGCCAGCTTGGCCGAAACCTACGCGCGGTTGGTCTTGGTGCTAACGGCACCGAGGTCGTGATGCTTCCAGATCTAAACTCGGCCCTCGAAAGCTGCGAGAACGAGCTGTTGAAGACCCTCTACGCAAGACAGGCAGAGATGAATTCGACCAAACGAGTGGCCACAGCTAGCCTGGATGTTCCCAAGCAGACAGAGTCGAGCTTCTCCTCGTTCGACCCACCCTTCAACTCGCCCCGACAGACGCATCTAGCGGAGGCTGCAAGCGACGCCATCAGGTCGGACGAAGTGCAACAGCCGCAGAAATGGCAATCCTTCAAGGAGCCGCTACGTCTCATGCTGCAAATCTTCCAAGGCCTGAGCGACAAGAATGAGGATTTCTGGTTCCAGCTCACGCACTATTTCAAGCGCCGCGAGCTTGCCGCAGGCACAGTATTGTTTCGCCGGGGTGAGGAAGCCAACGGCTTCTACCTCGTGGAGCGCGGCATCCTGCGGGCCGAATACGACCTGCCACAGGGATGGCTCTGCGAGAGCATCATGCCCGGGACTACCTGTGGTGAGCTGCCCTTTTTCAGCGAGACGAATCGGACGGCGACGGCGCAGGTGGAAAGGGAGTGTGTGGTGTGGCAGATGGACCGGGAGGGCTGGAAGAGACTGCAACAGGAAGAGCCCGAGGTAGCGCGGGAACTGCTGAGAGTGTCACTCAAGTTGACGAGCGAGAGGATGAGCTCCATCACTTCGTACATACTCACTCTGGCCGGCTAGGAGGGCCATGTGTGCGGCATCAATATAGCGGTCGATTTTAGGCATGGCATCAAGCATATTGCTCGCAGAAGGACATAATGTACTGACTTACGCAGAGGACGTTACTCCGTACTCATGGTGAATATGCTTTTGGTGTCTTAGTCAGCATCGCCGACATACAATGAATGTGGCGACTTTTGGCAGTCTCACGGTACATGTAATCATTCAGGAGTCTTCACGATCACTCACCGAAGGCTTAACTATCATCATTTTCCCACTCTCAAATTAGACACGCTGCTCCCGCTCAAATCGCTCTTCACGGGCCCAGCCCATCACAAAAAAAAGCAACAGGCAGCCGCCGCTTATACAAGTTGAGCGCGCGGCCTTACCAGTGCCTAGAGTACATCCGCCCAAGTGCCTCACAGCCATGCCATCAAGTCTCAGATCCATACTTGGAAAATCAAATCGCATCTCCAAGCCATCGTCCACCTCCAAATCGCCCTCTCAAAGCCCACAAAAACGGTCATCACCTCAAAAACGCCCCAACGCCAGGCCAAAGTCACGAAAGGAGGAAGATGACGAGCTCATATCACCACTCGAAGACTGCGGTGTGGCCAAGCTACTATCGGAGCACGACTTGGTCCTGCGAGATGTCGTACAGGCAATGCGCTACATCAAGAACCACATGTTCTCCCCTGTTCCTGATCGTGGGTTCCACTCCACGAGGACAGCAGAGCTGCTGAATTTTAGGCGCTGCATCCCCGGCATAGTCACCATGGGACACTTGCACGCGATTCTGGATTCCCCCACCAGTACGGAGAGGGAGGTCGTGGAGCTGATCAGCAAGGGCGTCCTGCGGAAGATACGGATCGAGAGACGAGGCGGGATGGGCGAAGCGCTTGTTGAGACGGCAGACTATCACATGATGATCGAAGACTCATCGCTGGACGAGGAAGTCAAAACCACGTACAGGAAATACCTCAAGGAGAATCCATCTGTCCAGGTCATCCCCGCCGGGAGCCTTTCGCCCTCCCACGCCGATGCTCTCATCCGCTTGGGATTTCTGACCGGGTCCGGGCCGAGTGGTAACCCTTTCACGACCCTCTCTGTCCGCCCCGAAGATCGGACAACAGTCACCTCTATCGAGCGGATATCCAGACATGCGTCTGGAAGCGTCTCCGCGGTGGGGGGCCACATGGCAGTGCACCTCGCTGGTGGAACACCGGGGCTCTCCAGGTCCAACTCGTCCTCTTTCGGGGACTTGAGGATTGCGATTCCCGGCAACGGGGCGTACCTGAAGCTGGCGGCTGGCGGCGTGGATTGGATCAAAGATGCGCTGGCACGGACAAAGTGGGGAGAGGCCCCTGAGAGCAGCTTGAAAGACCGGTTCCAAGGGGGCGGTCTCTATGGACCGAGATGGAAGGACCTGTGGGGATTGGAGTGGGAGTGGGCGCTGGGCGAGGCCATTGGGTTGGGTGTTGTCGAGATATTTGACACCGGCAGTGTTGGCAGAGGTGTCAGAGCCATTGGAGGTTGAGTGCTGTTGTTATTGAAGCAGAGGCGTCTCTGTGGCAATACAGTGTCTGTCTGAGACCAACATGAGCCTGTGTATTACCTATTCGTCTTGGTGCGAGACTGACCATGCCTCACAATGACGGCTTTGAGAACTTCCGGTCAGAGGAGTCCTGAGGAGTCAAATGCTCAGCTGCGTCGTCGTCACTATAGGTCAAGTAAGAAGTGTCGTTCATGGCGTCGGTAGAAGGACCTGGTACGGTACAGACAACCGGTCACTCAGAGTCGAAATCTTGCTGCGAATGATTATTTGGCGCATTGTGAAGGAAATCAATGATTGCAACCCCATCAAGATGCTCGCAATATCAACACAGTTGTCATGCTCGCAACCACATCAGGAAAGGTGAGAAATGGAGATGAAAAATGGAGATGGCCCATGGGAGCATCCGCAATTCAATGCAGCCTGCGGCCTACCGTCATCTGCATATTCCCGCGCTCGCATAACGCATTGTACATTCTGTGAGTTGATGGCTTCTCGTCACGCAGTAGCAATTGGGCAGATCTTCGGTGCAGTCTTGCTGATAAGTCAATGGCGGCGGACTTCTGAAGGAGTGATGTTAATGCTGACCAGCCCGCCACAAGACGAGGGAGGTGTGCAACGCAAAGCCATTGGGCCTAGGGAGATGTGAAATGTGTGATAGCGTTGGCTTCGGGCATATAGCATGGAGCATCGAGGTCCAGTTGTAACCTGTGGAGGAGATGACTAGCGTCAATGTCCGCCGCGATCAGGGCGGCCCCTGAAATCGTTGGTCAAGGGCCCTCGTCGCTCATTTTGTGTCCTCGAATTGGCTGACGCTGTCAAGGTGTTCAGAGCTCAGGTCGACGACTAATGAGGACCAGCGAGCCCTGTTGGACTCTGCGTCAGTGAGCTGGCGTTGGCAAACACGAACGAACCCCCATCAACCACCAACAGAGGCAAAGCGTGGCGACAGGTTGCTCGAACTGAACGCCATCGACCATTACTATGTAGGGGAACCCCTAACTCAGAGATTGCAATCTGAGGCGTGAGGCCGTGTCTCTGTCACCCTGGCACCAGGGGTAATGGTCTTCGACCCCCGGCAGAGTAGGTACTGGTGATTGAGACGCCAGGCCACGCAATTGCCTTTGGAACCAGCATCTCACCTTGAGTGCCCGGATTAGACTCACATTCAACAACAACAGCAACAACTCAACTAGACATTGCAAAACGAAAAAAAGAGCGCGTCTGCCTATATATATGGATGTGCGGAAGAAGCACTCGGTAGATGAGGACTGGAGGGCTGGACTGGACGCGAAGGCTCAGCTCGCCGAACGGTGCAGTGGGGGTTCCTTCCCCGGCTCCAGGGGTGGGTGCCTAATGCCACAGTATCGGCCCAACTGATAGGTACGCCATTGCTGTTAGTCGCCCATGCTCATTTTGCGTGCAGCTGGCCTGGCTTAACATGTCTTCACACGAGTACATGTGCCTTTTGAAGGCCTCGTACCATTGACTTCCAGTCCCCAGTAAGTAGCCTTTTACTAGCGTTTTTGCTGCCCGCTGTTGTCTCCCGGCCATCGTCACCCGATTACGGATCACCAAAGGCCGACGGCCAGGCACTAACGAACAGAGCAGTGGAGTAGCCGCATTGGGCCCTTTCCAGTCTCTAAAGGGGAAAATGACCAATCAGGAGCGGTTCTTTCTTGGCTGCACACTGTAATTACGGTAATTACAGCGCCGTCTCCGGTTTGTAAGGGTCAACGTCCTTAGGATGACCGGTACCCCACCGTTCCTGGCCTGGCCCGGCCCCTGGCGCAGTGGCGCAACGACTGGACATGAGCGATGACTGGAGTCCAGCACTCCAGCGTCCATATCGCCCATTGTCAACCCGAGTGATCCATGGGCATCTGGCTGTTTTTGTGGTGGTGACTGAGGTCCCTAACTTATCATACCCCAGACACGTCGGCAAATTTCCTCTTCGTCTTGTTCCTCGATCGCCTCGGTGTCGAGCAACAGGCGATAATTGAAGTGTCTCACGTGCTCGTTCAGTATCACAATTCGCAAAACCCTTATTACGATCGCGCTACAGGGTCAATAGCCACTCTCCTACGGAACCTTAACGAACGTCAATCCTCTTTCTACCGGTCTTTTCACCACGCCGGCGACAGTACGTCCTGTTGGTGTCAGACACTATCACGAGACACCAAGAAAAACTGTTGCGAGACCGCGGCAACTGCGACGACCACACACCATCCTCCAAATGCACATCTTTAGCGTGTTTCTTTGATCGCCTACCTTAGCCAAAGGAGAATACTAGGGCAACAACGCCAGCCGCTATTAGTGCCTAGCTCAGGTACTAAGCAAGCTGAAGATCTCTCCATCGGCATCTCAAAGGGGCTTTTGCGCGTCATTCGCTGTTTACCCATATCCCTCATTGTTCCCCCAAGGGGCACAACTGCGCTCTCACTTCTTGGTACGTACGTCTGGTCCGCCCGCCCTTAGATCCGAGACACTATTGGCCGTGACCTTTTGGCGCTCCCTCAAACTGACAACATCCACCAGAAGATACCATCGGGAGACTCCCTTCAAGCAACAGTTCTTGCGTCACTCTTTTGCTCGACCGTTGCGCCCGCCCTCTTGAGATATTCGACGATTCGAACCGACTGGACCACAACCTCCGCGAAACGTACATAGATGCCTCCGACTTGACGGGATTTCGCGCGGAACTCCAAGGGTGATACGACGCCGTACCACCGAAGTGATGAACGACATGGCAACGACGCTCCCCAGACCCTCACGACCGTCCAACGGGCCTCCGAATATGGCCCTTCCAGCTCTACCCAGGAGCAAGTCTCGCAAGAGCACCGGAAATATCCCAACACCGAGCTCGAGATCGGCTCCTGGCACACCAAGCGGCTTGCGGGCTCCTTCGACCTCGCATCTGCCTCCTCCACCAAGCCCCTCGCCTCTGTCAGGCCTACCTCAGCTGCCAAAATCTACCTCGACGCAACTGAACCCAACAACCCCTAGAACTGTCCGAAAAACAGTCAGCATCAACTCCTTCCCGCAGCCCCCCAGGGGAGGGAACAGCAATGTGCCCCCGAGTCCGCTGGGCCCCGAAAAGCCCCCCCGCACAGCGCGAAAGTCCAAGTCGTCCAAAGAAGGTCTGAACCACAGCTTCAACTCGGGCACGCCGAGTTTTCTGAATGGAAGCGGGGAGGGCAAGGCCATCACCAGCCTGCGGATGTCAGATGGACTGGTCAGTGTTGGCTCGGAAACACAGAGTAGGAGTTCTTCGGCGCAAGACTCGTACTCGACATCCGCGACAACCTATGACGACCCAGCAGATGGCTCGACAGCGCGGCCCGACGCAACAGCCGAGAAGCGCATATCAAAACCCGACGGCAAAGGCAATGTGCTCGTCAGTGTACGTGTGCGACCAACCGCCAGCGGCGACGGCAACCCAGAGGGCGAGTGGATGGTGGACGGACGCCGATCGCTCATTGCGTACAATGGGAAGGAGGGCGGAAATCACTACTACGGTATGTAGGCATCCTTGTCCACAATGATCCCATGGAACCTCTGACACCTCACAGATAACGTATTCACAACCCATGACAACAATTCGCGGGTGTACGACCACATCGCCAAGCGACTTGTGCGAAGGGTCATGGAGGGGTATCACGGCACGGTCTTCGCGTATGGAATGACGGGCACTGGCAAGACGTTCTCGATGCAGGGAACCGCCTCGTCGCCTGGCGTGATCCCTCTCGCCATCACCGACATCTTCTCCTACATCCGCGAAACGCCCTCCCGCGAATTCCTCCTCCGCGTGAGTTACTTGGAAATCTACAACGAGAAGATCCACGACCTCCTCAGCATGCCCACCGGCAACGGCGTCGGGGGCGGATCTCAGGCGGAGGAGATCAAGCTACGAGAGGACAGCAAACGGGGCGTATACGCCACACCGTTGAAAGAAGAGATTGTGCAAAGTCCGACGCAGCTTCTTCGCGTGATTGCACGCGGAGATCAAGCGCGACGGACGGCCAGCACACAATTCAACGCGAGGAGTTCGCGCAGTCATGCTGTGGTGCAGATCGTCGTGGAAAGCCGGGAACGGACACCGGCCGGTGCTGCCAGCGCAGAGAATGGTGGCAGCGGCGCCGGCGGCAGCAAGCGTTCCGGACTGTTGCCCGGCGGCGTGCGTGTCTCAACGTTGAGTCTGATTGATCTGGCCGGTTCGGAAAAGGCTGCCGAATCCAAGGAGCGACGGCAGGAAGGTGCCCACATCAACAAGAGCTTGCTCACGCTCGGCACGGTCATCTCGAAACTCTCGCTGTCCAAGGACAAGGAGGGCAAGGGGGCAGGGGACAAGGATGGCGGCAGCCATTTGCCGTACCGCGACAGCAAGCTGACTCGGCTGCTCCAAGGAGCCCTGTCTGGCGGCTCGTTGATCAGTATCCTCTGCACGATCCAGGTCGGCTCGCAAGGCACCGCGGCCACCGTCAACAGCCACACAACGGAGACGCTGAGCACTCTAAAGTTTGCATCCAGGGCCAAGAATAACATTATCAGCCATGCAAAGAAGGCGGAGGAGTCCCTCGGTGCTGGCGGCGAGGGCGGTGCGCGTGTCCTCCTAGAACGCTACCGGCTGGAGATTGTCGAGCTGAGGCAGCAGCTCGAGTCGCAGGCCAAGAAGAAGAAGAAGAAGAAGGGGAGGGAGGAGGATGCGGAGGAGGGCAAGAAGGATGAGGCGGGCAGCGAAGAGGAAGACAGTGCAAGGGAACGCGAGGACGAGAAGGCCAAGGAGTCGCAGATGGCGGAACGCCACGAGGAGCAGCTCCTGGAGATGCAGCTTGCGAGGACGGCGCTGAAGGAGAGGATCGACCATCTCAACCGTCTGATCCTCAGCTCCAAGTCGGTCGGGGTCAACACGAATGGCTCGATAAGCTCCCTCGGCCAGCACGCCAGGTTCTCACAAATCTCCTTGACCGGATCGATGCGGTCTTCGGTGGCGACGTCTGTGGGAAGCAGGCCCTTCCTCGAGAGGACGGCATCCATGACCTCTGCGTCCTCGACGATCGGCCGTCGGTCTAGCAACGGTGGGCCGCAACTCCCCGGTGCTGACGGCGAGCAGCCTGTGGACACGGAAGAAGAAAGCGTGGGCGACTTTGCGGATGGAACGGCATCACTGGCTGCGCAGAATCAAGCCCTCCAAGCCGATCTGCTCGACAAGAACCGGTACATTGCGACGTTGGAGAAACGGCTGCTGCAAGCTAGGCGCGCCAGTTCGTCGAGGGCCTCCATCGGCATCGGAGCATCGAACAAGGGCATCATGGTCGGCGAGGATCACAGCGTCTCGGCAGCGCTCAAGGAGAAGGACGTGGAGATTGCAGAACTCCGGGCCAGGCTCGACGACAAGGACCGCATGTTGACGGCACTGCGCAGCGCGGCCCGGTCCCGTGACACGGCCGAGAGCAGGACAGAGATGCGGTCGCCGGTTCACTCGATCAAGTCGGGACGGCAGTCTCTGGATGTACCACGGCCGTCGGAGGATCTCGTCATTGACACGCATGGTTCGCCGACGCGGAGCGAGCGGAGACCAAGGAAGAGCGTGGACGAAGTGACGTCGATGCTTGACGAGATGATCCAAGACCGAGTGGAGGGGGGATACATTGTCAAGGGCAACAGGGGCAGCGTCCGTCTGCCGACGAGCCAGCGGATGAGCAACCTGACGGAGCCGCCCTTCCAGGATGTCGAGCCTCTGCGACAAACGCCCACGCCCATGGGCGATAGGAGTCGAACACCGGTGCCTGCGGACCACTGATGACGGGGTACGGGAGAGTATGTTGGAGCCGCTATGCTGAGTGGAAGCAAGCAAGCAGACGGGCGTTACGGTTGCTTTTCTGGACGGGCTGCTCGCCCACTTTATAGGTGCTGCTTTGCGTTTATACCCGGTGTCGTTAGCATTCTTCTTGTGTGTAATTTTTCTTTTCTTTTCCGTTCGAGGGCCTTGGTTTGTTTGCGGGACGGGTACGTACGCGCATAATCACGGGAAAGGACGTGGTGAGCTTGCTGTTTGCCTCGAGGCCCTGCATGTTTGTTTGCGTTACTCGGATCAGAGGTGGTTGGTTGACGAAGCGATGCCGGATGTGGGATTAATTGACTATGAGTATTGTTTGCGCCCAGCAACACCGGCTGTGGTCTACTACGAAAAGTAACACTTTGTCCCCCGTGTCATCCGTGAGCATCATGCGAGGAGCCTATCGCCAGTCCAATGAGAGAGGCCTGGACCTCGCGAGGAAAGTACCCCTAGCCATTACATCATGAGTATCTCGTGTCATGTCTGTGCGCAGACCAAAAGGCCGACCAGGGGCCAGGCAAACAATGTCGATCTTCATAGCTGGAAAGCCAGGGAGGAATTAATACGACAGTAACCAGGTTAGCGCACGAGCAAACAACAGAGAAAGCTTCCACCACGACGACTCCTGTCCGTTCCGTCCCCGTCAATGGTGGAATAACTCCGTATTTCGTCAGGCAGTCATGGCTTGTCAGCCAGATTTTGTCGAGTCTCGAGCTTTGCGCGTTTCGAGGACCCTGGGAGAGACGATGGGAAAGGGGCAGGACAGAGCCTGAAGCCAGTGGATGATTGGACGGGAGAGGCGTCGCAGATCCGTGGTGAAACAGCCGGCGCTCGGGGGGCTCCAGTCGCTGGGATCTGGGTCTGATGTATCTTTTGTGCCTAAATAGGCGCGGAGGTACCTCCTAGTTTATACTCCGGCCAGTCGCACGCGCGGATCTTCCCTCGATTCTAGCGCTCTAGGGCCCCAGCCTGGAGCGGCTAAACCACTTCGAGGGTTTCATGGCTCTAATCTGTCTGGGACGACATGACGATGGACAGTGGAACTTTTTGTGGCGAGTCCTCTCTCTGCCTCGGCTTTTCTTTGATATCATCCCTTTGGCAGTTGAATCCCATTCATTCCTCGCGTTTAATCGTTCTACTACTTCTCTACCCTCGTTGGCTGGACACCGCGTCCGTCTGTGGCATCACGACTGCTGCTGCTCGAGGTTGCGTCTGCCCACCTGCTGAAACAAGCACTCAACCCTTTGCTGCTGACCAGAGACATGCGGGGGACTGGGCGAGTCAGAAGGGATTGATTGATTTATTTAGAGACAGGCTGTGATGATCCCTGGCGCGTGTTTCCGATGAGCAGCAAGGAAGCAAGCAAACAAGCAGCCAGACAGACAGGCCACCTTGACCTTGGCACGATCATCAGCCCGAGGACTGCGATATCGAGAGGCGATCTTTCTTCCCTTGGCCTCCCTTTTCTGGTTTCCCCCAAGCTCCAGGCTTGATTTCCATCTGTGCACACTTCACTTCTTTTCCGTCCTTTCTGTTTGTTTCATCTGGGGCTGCTGAACGACCACATTGGAGACCATATTCACATGCGTCCGACCTCCTACTCTGGACATTGATCGAGCGTCTACTATTCGACTGGGAACTGAACTTTGCTATTTACGACATTTCCTTATTTATACGACCACTGGCCCGGCGCCATATTCTGGAGCATCCTAACTACTACACCATCATCGTTGAAGGCTCAACCACCTCTTACCGACTTGCGACCAAGGAACAACTCTAATCACAACTTTCATACACCACAATCATGCCTCCTCGCCTCGAGCTCGCCGACTCGAACCACAGGCTGGTGATGCCTCCTTCCCGCATCAACCTCCGCCGCGCCAAGTCATATAATGCACAGGAGAAAGGCCCTCTCTCCGCCACGACCTCTCGCTTCAACTTCAACCATCTCCTCTTCTCGCCACCGCCGTCGCCCAGTCTCCCTTCGCTGATCCCCCAAAAGCCGAAGCGGACGGGCAGCGACCTCCTTCTCAAGTCCAGACCCAGCCGGGTCTTTCGATGGGGCCTCCTAGCAACCCTGCTTGGGGCCATGACCTACATTGTCAGCGTGTGCGTGAGGAACCAAGAGGGCATCCAGCAGGCCATGTGGCCGTACTTTGAGCAGAAGGAATACGAAATGGTCGGGCAGGATGCGTTGCCCGACTTCCCGACCCCCATTGTGCTCCACGACACGCGAGGCAGGTCAAAGTGGACCGTGTCCATACCGCCAGACTACGACTTTCCCCTGCCGACGGAGGAGTATACGGCCATGACGGGGCAGTGTCGTGAAGTCGCCGCGCGAGCGCGGGACATCACCGCCACAGCAGACACCTTTTCCCAGGTCTACGACACCGAGGACAAGTACTACGTCGACGTCTCCAAGGCAGAGAAGCTGGGACTGCTGGACCACGGGCCGAAGCACGTGGAACCGACGAAGCAAAAGGGGCATTTTGTCGGTCTCACGCACAAGAACGTGGCTGGTCGGCCGGTGTGCGAGTCCTCCATGACCTACGTCCTCGAGAGCACCGACGCCGGCATGGGCAACAATCTGATGACGCTGTGGACCTTTTACGGCCTGGCCAAGGAACAAGGGCGGGCCTTCTTCGTCGACGACTCGCGGTGGGCGTACGGAGACTGGACAGAGATCTTTGAGGCCCCTCCGCTGCCAGAGTGCCGACCCCCGCCACGCCATCACATTGTGCCCTGCCCGTTCCACGCGCAACACCTCGTCGTCTCGGGCTCGACGGCCAAGGACATATTTCCCTCCATGCTCGCGAAACACCATCGCATGGTAGGCGCCGAGGACGAGGTCCAGGCTCTCTGGAAGCTGGCGAGGGAGGGCTACCAGGACCTCTTCAAGCTCACGGCAGACGACGCCAAGTACGTGACGAAGCGGATCCGCGAGCTCAAGGTCCGCTCGCAAAAGGGCATCACGGCGCCCGACGCGCCCGTCATCGGCCTGCACGTCAGACGGGGCGACCGCCACCCGCTCGAGTACCAGTACAGCGAGACGTACATCCCCGCCGAGGTCTTCCACGCGAGCGCGCGGCAGATGGCCGTGGCCCACGCCAACGCGGCGCGGTACCAGACCGAGGCGCACTGGCGACGCAACGAGCCGATCCTCCTGCTCGCCTCGGACGACCCCATGGTGCACCTCGAGTCGGATTTCAGCGCGGCGGTGCTGTCGCAGGAGCGGATCCGGCTGGCGTCCAAGGACGCCATCCAGCAGCAGGCCGGACCCAAGCAGGAACCGCGGTTCCTCCACCGGTTCGTCGACGAGGCCTTTGGCTGGGAGGGTGGTTTCTACGCGCCCATGTTCTGGAACCTGGGCGTGAGCCGCAAGAACAACGCGGCCAACGCGCCAGAGGGCGTCGACGTGGGCGGCGCGGTCAACGAGGAGGCCCGTCTCCTGGCGCCGCCGTCGGAGCAGACGATCAAGCTGCGCAGCCTGATTGGGCGCGCGTACATGATGGACCTGGCGGTGCTGGCGGGCGCGAGCGACGGCGTCATCTGCGCGGTGAGTGCCATGGGCTGCCGGCTGCTGGGCGTGATGATGGAGTGGGACAAGGGCGTGGGCGGTGCGGGATGGGTGAATGTCGACGGGGCCTATGGGTGGACGGGCATTGACTGGTGAGAGGCAGTTCTTTGAACGGTCACACTCGTTGCATTTGATCTTTTGTGAGCATTCATAGCGTTTGGGGTTCCTCTTGGGCTTGTCTTGGCGTTTGGGTGGTCTGTCATAGTTAGCCGTGCGATGGGCAGATATACCAATACCATGCTGATATTTGATTTCTTCGTATACTTGTTACCCAGATTAGCTTGAAGACTGGAGAGAATTGTATTCCCACACTATGAGGCATTCTGTTGCTGGACGTCCGACTCTGGACGTCACGATGAATAAGTGGGTCCGTGAATCGCGTCTTCTGTGACTCTCCAAAGCATCATCAACTCGATTCACTCCCTTCACATCCATCATCACCAACCCACCCTCTAATCTTTAAAGCCAGCGCCATGTCGGAACCCTCGCAAGGCGCGCCCGCCAAGCCGCGCCTGAAGCTCAACGTCTCGCGCTCCGGCTCCTTCGTCACCGACCCAGCAGCCTCGACACCCGCCGTCGCAACACCCTCTGGCGACGGCACCCGCAAGGTCAAGCTCAAGGTCACCTCCTCTCAACCTCCCACGCCCGCCGCTGTCGCTGCCCCCGTCGCGCAGCCCGATCTCCCTCCGCCCCCGCCCCCAGCCAAGACCAAGGCGGGCCGGCAACCCAAGCCGACGCAGAAGCTCGTGGATAGCAAGAAGCGACCCCACGAGGACGACGACGACGACGATGACGAGGACGATGATGACGACGCCCCCATGGCGCACCACGCCAGCACGAGGATCAAGATACGACACACACCCAAGAGCACGCCTCGCGGCGGACCAACGCAGCTCGTCGTCAGACCCAGAGGACGTGCGCCCCCCCGACCGCCAGGCGATGGCTACGACTCCGAGGCTAGCGACCGCGAGCTCGACCCGCACATCGAAGAGCAGATTGTCCTCCGCATGCTGCCCGGCGAGCACTGCGACTACATCCGGTGGTGCATGGAGAACGGCAAGATGGGCATCCCCCGCGCCAGCGGCGGCGCCGACATCCAGATGAAGTTCTTTGAGGAGGAGACGCGCCGGGCCATGATCACGGTCAAGGGCCAGCCGTACGCCGCCGTCCTCGTGGACCTGCCGACCATCACCGAGGCCATGAAGAGCTGGGACCGCAAGAACTTTCTCAAGTCCGCCGACATTTGCCAGATGATCTACGTCTACGCCCCCGTCGCCAACGAGGAGGAGGCCCGGACGCGCGCGCTCCCCGCCCTCGTGACCGAGCAGAAATTCAAGTGGCCCCACGGTCTGACGCCGCCCATGCACGACTGCGTCCACCGCCGCTTCGCCAAGATGGTGTCGCGCGAGCAGATTGAGGACAAGGAGGCCTACGTCAGTCGCCTCATGGCCGAGGACGCCAAGGCCAAGAAGATCTCGTACGAGTACGTCGACGTCGATGACCTCGTCTCGGGCGACGAGGACGAGGACGAGGACATGGATGCCGAGGGCGAGGTCGACGACTCCATGGGCTACTTCAACCAGCCCATGGACGGCGTCTTTGGCGACGACGACGACGACGGCGACCTCGAGGCCGATCTCGAAGCGGCCTTTGCCAACGAGGACCTCGCGGCCGACACGCCCGCCACCGGGGCCGAGGGCATCACCCCGATGCCGGCCACCCAGATCGACACGCCCGGCAGTGCCATGGGCCCTCATGCCGTGCAGCAGTCCATCGAGGATGGCGAGTCTGAAGAGGACGCCGATGACGATGATGACGACGACGACGAGGATGACGAGGATATGGACGATGATGAGCGCGCCGAGCGGGACGAGCTCGAGGGCGTCAAGGACATCATCGCCGACATGAACAAGCAGCTGGCGGCCAAGCAGGCGGACTTGGAGAAGCAGACGAATGCCATCCTCCGGCAGAGACTGCAGAAGCAGATTGGCCAGCTCAAGTCGGAGATTGAGCTCAAAATGTCGTCCATTGGCATGGAGGCGGATGAGTAGGTGGTTGTTTACTTGATACCCTGGAGACCCTCTGGATGGATTGCATTGCATAAGGCGTTGGGAAACACACATTGGGGCAATTTTGGGAGTTGGTCGGGCTTGAGAGTGATGGGAGAATGATTATTCTTTAGAAAGCAAATTGAGCCCCTGAAATTACTAGTATGTTCAAATGCGCCGTCCAAACCCAGCCCATACATACCATGCCATTGCCCATCTGCAAATGACACCGTCAACAACGAAGATATATGCTTAGCCCTGATACTTCTCCAGGTATCTGATCATCCACCCCCGCTGCTCGCCCGCCATCTCCTGAATCGTATCCTTGACGTCCTCCCAGACACCGCCCTCGCACGCCTCCTCGAGGGTGCTCGGCTGCGACTTGCTCCGCGCGCCCAGACGGCCCTCGATCCTCTTCCTCAGGATCTTCTGCAGATGCACCGCAAAGTGCTTGTCCCGCTTCGCCTGCTGACGGAGGTACTTGGCGAGGAAAAAGTGCTCCTTGAGGGCCGTGTTCTTGTGGTCGTGGTTCCAGCGCTTCGTCGACGCAATCGCCTCCTCCAGCCGCCTCTCCGCCTGGCCACTGTCCCCGGACCGGACAGAGAGTCGGGGACTCTTCCGCCGGAGCACACGCCTAGACTCGTTGGCACCCGTCGGGGACGGCGCCTGCTCGGGTTGCTGGTTGTGCTGCGTCAGGTACCCAAACTCCCGCAGCTCCTTCTCGACGGTCTCCTTGGAGGGCAGATACTCGGCTCGACCGTGCATGTCCTCCATGATCACCCTGATGGCGCTCATCTCCCCCTCAAAGTCCTTGACGTACGTGTCCGTCATCTTCTGCAGGTCCTCCAGCGTGACGCCATTGTCCTTCTGTCCCGTGGCCAGCTTCTTCACCTGCTCGTCCACGGCGCTGATCTCCTTGAACAAGGCGGCCATGCGGTTCTCAAACTTGTCGCGGAACGCTGTGTTGTCGGCCGTGGCGTCGATGAGCAGGCGGACGTGTGTGAGGATGTCGGCATTCTGAAGAGCAAGGCGGCGGATGTTGAGCTCGAGAGTGAGCTTGGCCAGTGCGTCGGCACGCGCGACGAGGTTGAGATCTCGCGGAGGCTCGGTTGTCTGTGTCTGAGGGACGATGGCAGCGGGCGTGGCTGGAGTGGGTGTGCTAGTGATTGGGTCACTGGCAGTCTGATTCTGACCTTCAGCTGAAGGGCCAGTGACGGCGGATTGCTCGGGCATTTTACAGGACGGTCTGCTTGAACAGCGGTATCGTCGTCACGAGGATCCGTCTAGATTGCTGGTCGGGAATGAGACGAAGTGAGAGCCACGGCTGGTCCAGTTGATGATGGGGACAAGCAGAGGACGATGGACAGCGATGCAAGTGACAAGACACTGCACATCAATTAAAGGTACTACCGTACCAGATAAGTGCATTAGACTGAGAGTACCTGCCGTGGGCCTGTACACGGTGGCACGCTCTTTCCCCGTTGTCAGGGGCCACTTCGAGCTGCACCGTCAGGGGGAAGGAGCGACAGACCATGGATACCACCACAGTAACGACTGCCAGTGACCGCCAGCAGACAAAGCCTTCTCGGGTGACATTGACCCAATACTTCTTCCATCTCGGTCAGACACCTATATCATATCCCAGGCACGGTACCGCCCGTGGAACTCGGACCGCTCGGAAGGCCCCCATCAGGCACGCCGTTTCGCTGGGTATCAATCCACGAGAGGAACATGTCCACGTCCTTGGCCACCTCCTTTGGCATCGCCATCTTCTGCAGCCATACGGGCAGGAAGCCCTCGGCATCCGACGCCGTGCCCATGACCCATTCGATCCCCTCACCCGTCTCCCGCACCCGCTCGATGCTCGTGTACTTGGCCCGCACGGCCGCGCCGTCCGCCTTGTACGGGCGGCTGACGTCGACCTGATCCACGACGTCGCCCGCGTTGATCTGGACCACCATGAACTCCCGGTGGTCCCCGCCCACGAGGGACGTCGTCGCCTGCAGCACGGGGAACACGCGCTTCGCCAGCGGCGACGGGAGCTTGTGCGTCGACTCCTCCATCTTCAGCGTCCAGTCGCCCCAAATGTCGCCGTCGCGCTCGACCTGCACCCCCTGGCAGTCCCACTCCTGGATCACGCGCGTGCCCACGACGGTGGGCGTGAACTCCTTCTCCGCCTCGGCGTGCGCGACCTTGAAGCACTTGACCCATTCTTCCCACCGGGCCGTGCCGCGCTTCGCCGCGTTCTCGTGCACGCTCCTCCGCAGGAACCAGCTCTCCGGGTGTATCTTGCCCTGGTCGAAAGCCAACTCGAGCTCGGGGATGTGGTACTCCCGCGCAATGGCCTTCAGCGCGGCGGTGGAGACATCCCGAGAGTACAGGTAGACGGGCGAGGCCGCCGCGCCAAATGTCCTGTGGCCCTTGGACGTCCACGATGAAGTGTATGGGTTTTGCTTGGCGGACGCTACGTCGCCGATAAAGGGCACCGCCTCATTGATGATCGAAGTGAGGAACGGCATGAGCTCCGAGGAGGAAGCTGTGGTGCTCGGGAGCAGGGAGGGCTGGATGCCCCAGAGGCGGACCAGCGGGCCAAAGTGCTCGGTCATGGCGGTCTATGGTCGATGGCTCTGTGAGTTGTTTGGGATGTGGATGATAACAGGTTCAGTGAGCTTTGGTTGACGGGAGCTGGGTTGGCGCCGGCTGCCTCCGTTTTATATATCGCTTGATACTGCCGAACCGTGGCGTGATAAGCACGTCTCAGAAGAGGACTCCTTCTGTCATCATGTGCAGGACGCCATGATCGATATCGTCATAATGTCGCTTTTGGGTTCATGTCGACCGAGTGAGACACGAGCGAGGTTGGGATGGGTGTCCGAAAGGGGATAAGACTCGGATGCCTCTAGCTAGTACCTTCTGGCTTAGCTACCCGGTCCTCCCTAAAAGCCGAGGTTCCTCCATGGGCGTGCTCATCTATTCAGTATAGTAGAACTGAGCATTAAGCATTATAATCTATACGGCATCATCCTCGTAGCGCCTCTAATATGATGTGCGCCGAGCTCCCGAGTGCGTTATATACAGAATTTTCTCATTCTCGTCATTCTCCAGCTGAATTAATCCCGGCGCTCCCAGCGGATGAAGGCCGGCTCCAGCGGCCTGGAGAAGAGCGACTGGTAGTCGGTGCCGACCAGCTTCCGGCTGCGGTCAATGTTGCTCAGCTTGAAGAGACGCACCGTCTCGGCGATGATGGTCTGGAGCTGGAGGTTGGCAAACTGCTCGCCGATGCAGCGGTGGCGGCCGGCGCCAAAGGGCAGGTAGGGTGACGCGGCGCCCTTGCTGACGGCGCCGTAGCCGTAGTCAATCTTCTCCTCGTCCTCGACGCTGGCGTCGTTGCGCACAATTGTCGGGGCGTTGGGCGAGTCGGCCTCCCAGCGGTGGCAGTCCCACACCTCGGGGTTGGGGAAGTAGGCGGGATCGGAGGCACTGACGCCGGGGGCGGACAGGAGGGTGTGCGTCGTCGGGATGACATAGTTGGTGCCGGGGACGGGCATGGGCGACTTGACGGCACGAAGAATGGAGTGGATGGGGGCGTGGAGGCGCAGCGTCTCCTTGACGACATGCTGGTTGAGCGGGAGCTTGGCCAGGTCCTCGTAGGTGAGATCGGGAAGGTCGGCGCCGAGGTTCTTTACCTGCTCCTGGTACAGCTCTTCGCAGATCTCGGGGTTCTGGGCCAGGCGCAGCATGATCCAAGAGCTTGTGGAGGAGGACGAGTGCTGGCCAGCCATGAGCAGGGCGATGAGCATGTGCGCCGTCTCATGGTCGGGCACCGGGGTGCCGTCCTTGTAAGTCGAGTTCATCAGGTGCTTCATCATGTCGAATTCGGTGCCGTCGTCACCCTTGGCGCGGCGCTCCTTGATAATGTCCATGTAGATCTTGGCAATGGTTTTCTGCGCGTGGTCGCGCCTCCTGTTCCAAGGGAGAGGGGCCCAGTGCAGCATGAAGTTGATGGGGCTGAAGCCCATGTCGAGATCGTGGTAGAGCGAGGCGAGGGATTCGTCGAAGCGGTTGCGCACATTCTGACCCTGCAGGGCGTGCGAGGCGGTGAAGATAGTGATCTCGGCCATGTGCTTGGGAACGTTGACCATGCCCGACTCGCCCTTGAAAGCCGGATTCTTCTTGAAGTAGTTCTTGACCTCGCCCGAGATGATAGGCACGTAGGAGCGGAAGGCTTCGGTGGTGAGCGCGATCTTCATGAACTGGATGCTGTTAGCAGGGGGGCGTGCGAAGGGTGCCACGCGCTTCTCCTCATACCTTCTTCTGCTCCATGAGCTTGGCGTTGGGGCAGTCGTAGACCACATCGCGACCAAAGACGGGGGTGGTCAGGGGGGTGTAGATCTCCTCAGCGTTGACGTCCTTGAGCTTTCCGTTGAGGATGAAATCGTTGCCGGCGGGGCCAACGGCCACCGTCGTCTTCTTGCCGAGCAGGATGAAGGTGAAGACGTCGCCATGCTGTCGCGTGCCTCGTCAGCGCCTGTAGGGTACGGCCAGTCAGGAGAGCGCATACCTTCTCGCGGTTGGTCCTGAAGAATGTGGGCGGGTCCATGCCATACGTGACAGTGCTCCCGATGAAGGGGAAGATGGAAAACACCATGGGAGGCTCATTCGGGTTCTTGAAGAGCAGCTGCTTCGCAATGTGGACACCCACGGACAGCGCAATCACCCCACCAAGAACCAGGGCAATCTGCGTCGCCATGCCGAATGCCTGGAACTGCTGGGCCACGGGGTGCGTGGCGACATCTTGTAAAAGACCCATTGTGAAGTTTGGCGCGTCGTCGTCGTCGAGGGCGAAGATGCGTCGTTACAGAGTCGGACAGTCGTCGTGGACTCGTGGTGTTGTTATAGACCAAGAGAGAAAGGAGAGATCGGACCCTTGCAGATGGTCCGATACTTTTTTCGATGGAAATTGCACTGGCTCGACAGGGGCCTGGCCAACTTAATCTCAGTGGCCTAGCACTGCACCGTGTGTGATCTGCGCCAATCACAGCGTCAGGATTTCTGTGCCTTGATTGCGAGGCCGCCGTATTCGTATTCGCATCAGCACACGGATACGTGCTGTAGGAGGATAGGTAAGGTAGTCTTTGCCTGTCATATCAAGACTCTAGCACATAATACACATGAGAATTAGAAAGCTGCCAAACATGGCCCCGTCACTGAACACGCGCGCGAACCCATGGCTGGCATAATGTGGGCGTTGTTTCTCATTCAAGCTTCAATCGCGTACTCTATATCCGTACGGAACGCCTCGTCCTCTTCCCAGGCGCAGACGTTTCTTCCGTCGTCATACCCAGGTATACCCAACTCCAAACATAATCATAGGCTCGTAAACTTAATGGTGGAAGAGGCGGATGTTCTGCTCCACAAAGGTGATACCCAGCTTCTCCGCCGTCTCAAACACAGCAGCGTCGTTCTGGCTGCCGCCCGGCGCGGCAATGTACTTGACGCCCGAGCGGGCGGCGCGGAAGACATTGTCGATGAACGGGAACTGCTCGTGTTAGATTATTGCTGGCCAGACATGATAGGGGAAAAAATGCGACTTACGAAAGCATCGCTGGACACGGCCACGTCCTTGAGCTCCTTCATCCAGGCCTCGCGCTCCTCGTCCGTAAAGGCAGCGGGGACCTCCTCAAAGACACCCTCAAAGGCCTCGCGCTCGGGGCCGTCCTTGGGGAGCTGCCCGCTCACGAGCAGGTCAATGGCGTTGCTCTTGTCGGGGCGCTTGGTGCCCTTCTTCCACTTGATGCCCAGCACCCGCGAGTGGAAGCGCATCCACCAGTTGTCGGCCTTGTCGCCGGCCAGGCGGGTGCAGTGGATGCGGCTCTGCTGGCCGGCCCCGAGACCGACGACCTGGCCGTTGACGGCGTAGCAGACCGAGTTGCTCTGGGTGTACTTGAGGGTGATGGTGGCGACGGACAGGTCGCGGGCCGCCGACTCGGACAGGGACCCCGCGTCCTTGGGGGTGATGATGGTCTTGAACGACTTGGGCGTGATGAGGTAGTCGTTGCGGTGCTGCTGGAGGTTGATGCCGTAGACGGTCCGGGTCTCCGTGGGGCCCGGGGTGTACTCCTCGTCGATCTGCAGGACCAGGTACCGGCCGCCCTTCTTCTTCTTGAGGATCTCGAGTGCGGCGTCCTCGTAGCCGGGGGCGATGACACCGTCCGAGACCTCCTTGGAGATGATGCTCGCGGTGGGGACGTCGACCACGTCCGAGAGGGCGATGATGTCGCCAAACGAGCTCATGCGGTCGGCGCCACGGGCGCGCGCGTAGGCCTGGGCGAGAGGAGATGTCTCAATGCCCTCAATGTCGTTGACAAAGTAGACCTTGCGCTCGTCCTCGCTGAGGGGCGTGCCAATGGCCGCACCGGCGGGCGAGACGTGCTTGAAGCTGGCCGCGGCGGGGAGGCCGAGCGCCTGCTTGAGCTCCTTGACCAGGGGCCAGGCATTGAGCGCATCGAGCAGGTTGATGTAACCCGGGGAGCCGCCCAGGACCTTGAAGGGCAGCTTGCCCTCGGTGGTGTACGCAGCGGCGGGCTTCTGGTGGGGGTTCGCGCCGTAGCGCAGGGCCATGTACTGGTCGCCTCCGGAGGCGTACTCCTTGCGGAAGTAGTCGGAGATGGCCGTATCGTAGTCGGCCGTGTGCTCAAACGCCTTGAGGGCGTAGCGGTTGCGGCTCTCCTCGGTGATCTCGCCCTTCTCCAGCTCGGACAGGAAGCCGGCGTAGTCGTTGGGGTCGGAGAGAATGGTCACACGCTTGTGGTTCTTGGCTGCGGCACGGATGAGGGTCACGCCACCAATGTCAATCTCCTCGACAGCCTCGGGGACGCTGACGTTGGGCTTGGCCACGGTGTCCTTGAAGGGGTAGAGGTTGCAGATGACATAGTCCACCTTGTTGATGTTCTGCTCGGCGAGGTCCTTCTCGTCGGACGCGAGGTTGCGGGCGAGGATGCCAGCGTGGACGGCGGGGTGCAGAGTCTTGACGCGGCCCGCCAGCATCTCGGGGGCCTTTGTGATGGCAGAGACGTCCCTTTGTGTTCCGTTAGCCAGTCTTTCTGCGTGGGTGGTCGGACATGGGATGTGGTATTACTCGACGGGGAAGCCAGACTCGCGGATCATGCGAGAGGTGCCGCCAGAAGCCAAGATGCGGACATTCTGCGCGACGAGGCCCTTAGCCAGGTCCAGCAGGCCCGTCTTGTCAAAGACGGAGACGATGGCGATCTTTTGCGACATGATGATATGTTGCTCGGGCCAGGAATTGGGTGCAGAGAATGATGAAGGAAAAGAGCCGGTTGAGAAATCTCCCGCACCGAATTCAGCTGCGTTAGTGCTAATGAGCTGTCGAGAAAGATTGTCGTTGCCGCCCGCAGACCCCACCAAATAATTGTGAACCCCTCCATCATGGCCGCCGACGTCAACTTTTTGTTTCAAGGGTCCACAGCACTTATCCTCGCTGGTCTAGGGTAGTCAGCTTTGTCTTGGGGACGGGTTGATGCACTCAATTTTGAAGCCACGTCTTGTGCTATAAATAATGTTCCTTGACTGACATGCTATAAACTCCAGACCTAACCAAACCTATCCATGCAAATGTCGCAGCTAGACCTTGTTGGCAAAATCGCCAACCATGTGCCCTATAACGCCGACGTAATCTTCGTCTCCATGAGGCATTCGTTTCCCAACAGGGGTATCTGTCCTCCCTCAGGCATGACTTGTTCAACTCATCACAAACCGCTTCTCAAGCCACGATGCTCTTCCCCACGCTGCTCCACTTGAATCGTCGCAGGGTTCCAGACGATCCCCGGATCGCCTCCCGACCGCACGACGCCGTGTCGTTCATTCCGCCGACCGAAGCAGAGAGGCCCTCCTGACGCCCAACCTCCCTCCCAATCACGTACCCTGCACCAAAGCCCACGACAGACACGAGCACCACGACGCCTGCGCTCACGACCCAGGTAAGTAGCGTGGGTGACACAAGCGTCTCATCCTCGACAACAGCCGTCTTCTTCTTCTTGGACGCCCGGGCCGAGGAGCTCCTCTTGATCTTCCCATCGTCTCGCGAGGGTGATCGTGCGGGAGAGGATCTCTTTCTACGTGACGAATCGCCCGGGGCCTGCAGCGCTGGTTCGTCCTCGCCCATCAGCTCAGACTCAGGGACGAGACGCAGATCCATGGGCTGATTGCTTCCTCCCACGTCGTTCCTGGCTATCCTCTGGGCCTCTGCCTCTTCCTTGGACTTGGGCAGTCCTCGTGCCGCAGCGGCGCACGACAACAGAGTCGTCAGGGACGCTCGCAACGCCTCATCATTGTCCTCGCGGGACGACGGCGACATGAACTGCGGTCCACGGTGCACGCGCGTCTGCGAGCGCTGTGAGAAGGACGGCCTCGTGAAGCTGCTGTGCGGGTGGGACGACGTTGCGGCGTTGGTAGAGTAACTCCTCTGGGGGTGGCTTGGAGGGTGCGAGAAGGCATTTGGCTGTGGCTGAAAGATCGGTCGATCCGCTGTGCGCCCACCCAAAGCCGTGGCGTTGTCGCCATCATCGGACTCGTCGTCGTCGTCGTTTTCGGATGAATCATCCTCTTCGTCCTCCTCGGGCGCCGATGCAATGTTCTCCGCAGAGCTGGCGAGTCGCCTATCCTCGTCATCGTTATCGCTCGAGTCGATGTCCTCCTGGCTGCTCGAGCCGACATACATGGCCGTGCGCTCTTGCGGGAGTGATCGCGCCGACGCTGGCACCCGCCGTCGTCTGTGTTGTGAGTTGACTTGCAACCCCGTGGTCACGATCTCGTCGCCGATGCTCGAGAGGGATGACGACGAAGGCTGCGATGAAACTTCGATCCAAGATTCTGCTGATACTGATGTGAGATGTATTCCACCATGATAAGGGGCAGACGAACCGTCAAGACGCCGTTGCTGGTGTTGAGGTAGGACATGACCTAGTCGTGCAGGCGCATGCGACGATCTACCCTGTTGGTGCACGCCGTCCATCTTGCTTGGCTCGCTGCGTCGCTATAGTGTCCACGACAAATAAGACAACTTGAAACTCTGCAACAACTCTCGCACGAATGCTGCGCCTCGGTTGATAATGCGTGAGGGCGCGGCGTAGTATCACGGATAGTCGTCGTGCTGGTTTTGTCTCTTACACGTTGTCGCCGTCAATACCCCACCTTCCCTGTGCTGCTGCTGATGATGATGTCGCTGCGCTGGTAGCGATAAAAAGAAGGATCGCCAAGATGCAGGGACGTGCTGCTGTTGGGACCGAGGATGAAGTCCAGTCCGGAACGGGCGAAATTCAAATGCACAGCAAAGGATACCAAGGAAGTGAGTAACTTGGTAGTATCGCAGGATGTCACGGCAGAATGCGAGGTCGGGGGATTTTGTTGTTGGATGGAATGGATGGAATGGATGGAATGGATGGAATGGATGGAATGGATGGAATGGATGGATGGATGGATTGATTGGGGGGGTTCCAGGGCCCAGGCTGATCTGACCGGGTGCAGCAGCGCAGCTCACTCTAGGCGCATGTATTCGGCACGACAGGGAAGATAACAGCTTGAAGTAACGGCCTCTGCCAATAATGTGGCATCCAGTCCCTCATTGGTACCCAACAGATCGCCCTCACGGCGGCGGCGGCGCCAGCGCATGACCTGAGCACCTCTGCGCGCGTGCTTCGTGACAAGGACAGACAATGTGCGCCCTCGTCTCCTTCAGCAGCCCGCCTATTCACGCGGAGGCCCCATGCTCATCACTTCCCCACAGGAATGGCCATGTCTTTGTTTGCCCGTAGGCAAGGTACTAAACACTCAAAGACCATTTGGACTTTCATCCTAAGCGAAGGGACCTGGTTCCCGTACTTCCGTAACGATGACGCCTACGTAGCGCAACAGCCGCTAACAGTTTAGCCTCCCTTACCCTGCCTGCTATTTGGGGGTGAAGATGGGGGTGGGACCCTTTGCGAGAGGCGCAGGAGGAGGCGGTGAAAGCAACGGGAGACGCAGATTCGAGACTGGGCGAATCCTGCTGAGCACGTACAGTCCTCGTGAGCAAAGGGTGGTGAGCACATTTGGCTAATGACGGGCGTGGTCACGAGCGGGGTGCAGTGACCGCCCACCCACCCGTGACGATGACCGGCAGAGCGACTGAGTCTGGGTGTGGGGCATCGTAGGTGGAGTTATCGTACGGAGGACGAGTTCAAAAGTTATGCGTTGCCAAGAAACTAGCCATAGTTGGCGTCTAGCCCGAAGTAGCCCCCCGGGAAGTTTATCACCAA